CCACTCCACGCACCAAATGTCTTGAGCGACTGCCACAAACAGTATCAGTCAGCACACACACACACACAGAGAGAGAGAGAGCTTACACATGCATGCATGCACGGAGCCACCTGCTAGCGTGGCACAAACTTTGTGGGTTTGAGGCTCCTTTTTCGTAGGTGGGATACGAGGCGAAGGGATCAAAAAGAGTTTCCCACGTGCATGGATGCGTGTTGCAAAGGCCTTTGATGAGGTAACAGTACTTTGAAACTTTGTACACACTAGGCCTTGACAGGGCAGAGCTGAAATACAAGAGGTCTACTGTACATAGCAATAGTGCGTTGGTTCCTTATTTTGCTTTTTGATTTATCCCAGACGAGATCAGCTCTTGGTCGCATTCTCGCTTACTCGTGTTAGCGACACCGACAGAAACATGCCATCTACTATGCTTTCTAGATGGGCAGGAAATGGCGCCTCGGCAGCTCTTTTTGGTATGGTTGTGTGGCGTGGAGTTGGCAACGCCATAATCGCATTTTCTCAAGAGAATGAAGGTCTAAAGCAGAAAGAATAGAGGGCACACGCAAGCACGACGGACGAACGACAAGCAGCTGGAAAGTTTGGGGGCTGAGGCTGAGGGCCTAGGCTGCTCAGCTTACCATAGTGCACTTTACGCCCCGCATGAACATTGGTTTGAAGCGGGCTGAATCATTCAGAACCCGCCTATTCCGGAGAAATCGAGGTGCTATGCTTTATTCTGCAGGCGATTCACGTACAAAAGGTCCAACAGGGCTGGCTGGCTGAGTTTGAGTTTGGATGGCGATGCCATTGTCGTGACGATGTACAGGATCGAAACCCAAACGATAAGAGAAGTCGTCATGATCTACACATGATGGAGTCTGAGCATTAAACATTGCCAGGCCTGAATCAGAGCCAGAATCTTCTTGTTTGACGAGAGGTTTGCGTGGTGGACCAGGAGATCCCAAGGACAACCCCGGAGCATACAGTCCTGCTGGGGTATGTCCCATAATTGTACCATAATGATGTATCACGGCGGACATGGGAACGTCAAACAAGGCGCAGGAAGAAGGAGATGTCGTCATCGTAAAAGAAGGCGGAAATCCACTGTCGGCCTCCCAACGCCACCACCGGCAGCCCGGTAATCTACCACCATCTTTACAGTCCGTCGATCCCTTGGAAGACAGGCGCGTCCCTACTCTTCTAGGGCCATGTCAGGGCTAGGGCTAGACAGACAGGGCGCTGATCCACTGGGAACTGATCTGCCGCCGCCGCCTGCGGAACCATCTTGTTGCCGGATCGGGGTTTGCCCTTACTCGCTCAGCGCCCAACCAGACGCCATTGATCCTGAAGATCCCGCGCTTCGAGTTTCCTCATGCATCCAACCCGTCCTACTTCCTCCGCCTCTTCCCTGTCCCTCACATGCTGCAGATGGGCCAGAACAATTCATTCTGACTTGTCAATATTCGTAAGTTTGGAGGATGAGACAAAGCTGCCGGAGAGTCGACGTTATTTTACATGACATGGCTGGACTTGAATGATGGCTTTACAGATTCAAAAGAGGAAAAGAAGGCAGAAGAAGACGAGAGTATTCAATCAATGATCCGAGAGCTCGGAGGAGATCAACCGAGAGACCATTGATCGGCCTTGCGATAATTGCCGAAGCTCCCGCAGCCAGGGCCCTTCTACTTTTTTTAACTGTACTGTACAGTAAATGCAGGGTAAGATAGAGAAAGACAACGAAAAAAAAGGACCCTTGCCTCTGCCTGGAAACGCCCCCAGCGGCAATCCCTCCCAGCGGCTGCCGCCATCGCAAGACTCGACAAACGTCATCGTTGGGCCGAGCCAGGTTTTCCTGGACCCAACTTGTATTGTATGACGGGGGCAGGGGCGACAACGCTGAACTGCGTCCCATGAACATCGTGCAGGACTGAATACACGCTCGTCTCCAGGTCCTCAAATAGGCCCACTTACCCACATTAAAATCAACAGGCAGAGAGTGTGTGACTGTATGACCGTGACTATTCCCTAGGCAACATTCACCCCGTTGATCGACCATCGTCACCTTGTGATAATATACTTTGCCCTCTTTTTTTCTACGTCTGTCCTACCGGCCGGCAACATCGTCCCATCCACGAGATCCCCTCTTCAATACTATAATAAATTAGCTATTCAACGCCTCGTCTAAGTTCCCAATAAACCTTCAACCTTTCCGACTGCGGACCAGACACACTTGACGAGTCAAACCCACCTGAGAAAAGCAGACTGAAGTGACTGACTGCTTTCGTGTACAATTTGTACAGTGACATCCTCTGTTGCAACCCTCCAATTCCATGTGCTTAGGTTCTGGGGCAGTGGCAGGCAGTCAGCGCAGAGCCATCTGACACCGACATTCCGGTCTCAAACCTATCAGCTTATCCCCTCGACGTCGAACCCTGTGACTACCATCCCTCTTTGCTCGGCTCAGCTGCCAACCCCAACCCCCACACACACCTAAACATCGAGACGAACGAGTCAATATATCCGCCCAAGGGATGGATATACGTCGCCGCCTGCAGGTGTCCTGAATCGTCGCCCCAACACTCTGCCCCCCTCGTTGGGCCTCAACTGATACATCTCACATGTCACAAAAATCCTCACACATATTTCTTTTTCTGAGGAGCGACTCGAGACTTTTTCTTTTCTGATTCATGCCAACCAAGCCAGCCCAGACACAGTCAGGAAGGGTGGTGTTGTTCCCTTTCTTCAGCCTGATTGATACAATAAATACTTACTCACCGGCCCCCCCTTCGATTTGACCTGGGTCGTGTTTGATGCTCGTTTCGTGTTTCTCCATCCCAACCTCTTTTTTCCCTCATTCTTCTTCCTCTCTCTTGGTTCCAACCAACCCAGCCAACCTCGACACGGCAGATCCACCATCTTGTTGTCTCAAACTTGCCTCCCTCCTCTTCATACCACCATATCATAACATCCACAGCATTTTTCAACAACCAACGCTGCGATCTATACCCCACGACGGTCCCAACAAAGTCGAACAGCACAAGCACTCAGCCCAAACTCCATATTTGGTTGGCCACTGAATACGAATTTGTTCACAGTCAGCAGCTGCAACTTCGATCGCAGCCCCGTGAACAATAAATACACCTTACCATAGCTGAACCACCCCTTCACTCACCTGCCGGCCCTCTTTCACATGCGGCCGTAATAGCGCAAACCCCGGACCGATACGGATGACACCTTCACCACCCAATCGCCTTGTCCCATTCCAGGTGTTTGCCTACAGATCCCTTCCTCCCCTCCCTTCTTGGTCTCAGCAGGGGACACAGATCTTCGGTGCATGAACCCCAGGATTGCTGCGGAGATTCGCAATTAGCGATTTCTGAGAGCCCTTTTTTGTCTCTTTCGCCTACAAACCCCGCCATTTTCAATCTGCAGCCTTGGCGATCCCAACCCAAATCCAACCCGACCCAAAACCAAGCATTCATCAGACTACGTTCATCCCGCTGAGCTATTCCAGTGGTCTTACAAATACCCACTGGTTCCAACAAGACCAACAACAAAAAGCCACATCCTCCCTTTCAGCACAGAAGGGTACAACCAAAACAGCCACCCAGAAACACAAAGGCGCCCGAACGGAACGCCCAGGCCCGCCAACAAAAGAGAAAAACCACCACTGGGGGACCATCTTTTAAACCCCGCGAACCATCGATTCCGCGCCTATCAAATACATCAAGCTACTAAGGGCCGCGGCTTGTGTGATTGCCCCCCTCTTCTCCATTCGGAAACGGGACATTTTACCCTAAACACTTTGGCTCGCCCAGAAGCCCTCGCCCGTCCTCCCCACATTCGACGGCCCGCCGGAAAAGACCAGATCCAGGCCTTGTCCCTTGTATTTGATTTGGGTGGTTTTCTTTCTTGACCCTCTTCCAAATCGCGACTTGGACTAGAGCCATATACTGCCTGGCTTCGGGCTCGGATTCCCTTGTTTCAACGAGAGAGACAGAGAAAAAAACACTCGTCCTCCTCGGTTCGGTATTTGATACCAGCATTCTGGAGCGACCCAGACCCAGCCTTTGCCAGCCTCTTCCTTATTTCAACCTGGCCCCGGCCCCCCGGATCATCGGTCTGTCTCAACCTGAACCTCCTTATTTCCTGTCTCTCCCTTACCGATCGGAGAGTCTCCTGCATCGAAGATCACACACACACACACACACCACGCGTAACGCACGGCCATCATCTACTGGCCGACAAACAACCACAACAACAACAAATACAACACATACCGTCTTTCGTATTTGAGAGAAGGGGTTTCCGACGGTCGAGACCACTCTTCCCATCTAAATCCACACAACAAAGTGCGAAGGATAGCCCTGACTCCCTTTTCGGCACCCCCCTTACTTTACTGGGACCCCAAGCCCCAGGTGTGGATCAGCGGCGCGTTCTTTATCCACATAAAACCCTCGAACGCCCCAGAGACGTGAGGGAAAAGATCATCCAGCTCGACCATAACACTACTACACCTTTTTGCCTTTTACCCCACACTCCTCCTGCTACATTTACAGCACGTCTGTGTGTGCATATTGTCCCTTGTCATTGTCGGGACCTCAATCCTTCAGGACCCACTGGCGCACACGGCCCCGAGCACCGGAACTAGGCCCCTTGCATTGCAGCGCGCTACCCCGAGCCACACACACAATTATCCATCCCTTCCTCGGTTTCAGCCTCCCTCCGGTGCTGATACCAGATAGAAAAGTAAACAAACGTCCTCTTTTCTATCTCTCTCTTTTCTCTCCTCTTTTCCTTCCCTCTTACTTCTCTCTTCCCATTACATACCTCAACACTCCTCCTCCTCTGGATCAAGAGTCAACAACCTCTTCCCACATCAACAAGAATACACACACACACACATAATGTCTTCACAACAAGCATCCCGCGACCACTCCTGGTCTCCCGCCACAACAACCTCCTCCTACTCCACCTACCCACAATACATGATGGCCATCCCCATCGAGGACGACGACCTCACTTTCGGCGGCAAGTCTCTTTCGACCTGGTACGAGGAGGACCGTCGCCGGTACAGCGACGAGAGCTTCGACGTGCCCGACGAGCGCGGCAGGTCGAGGACCCGCGCCTACGAGATGGCGGCCCCCTCGAGCCACGGCCACCACAAGAAGCACGGACACAAGCACCACAAGAAGTCGGACCAGAAATGAGCGGTGAAACCTTAGTTTCTTTGCCGAATTGGTCTTCGGCCTCTTCTGATCCAAATAACCACGCACGCAATACTTTGCCGTGCAGGATTCTTCCTCTCGCCACACCGCGTCCGTCCAATGTCCTCTTACTAAAGGGACAAAAGACGCGGGGCTTTGATCATCATCCTACATGGTCTGCCAGGCGGAGCATCACCCCTCCTGCGCTTCGGCGTCAGCGAGTGGGTTTCCATGCCTTGCCTCGTTTGGCCTGCTTTACACACACGCATTTTATCGCCGACCTGCCAGATGTCTACCGATCTATCGTCTCTCAACGAATTCACAACGACGGCACCGAGACGCGACCACCCGATCGATCATCAAGTGTTTGTGTGTCTGCAAATGTACACGTGGGAGGGCGGCCGGGGTTGTACATACACATACACATACACATACACACGAACACGAACACGAGAGGTCGGGCATAACAAGAAGAAACAGTTGCATCTCGGCGTCACAAGAAAAAAAGAAACAAGAGGTTGGGGACTCACTCGCCACACACGATAGACCGAAAGACACGATCAAGATCATACACGCAAAACACGGTGTGCATACATACATACATACATACAAGGCAACGAGGAATAGACCAGGGAACAAGTCTAGATCTAGACAATAGAGGAGGGATCGATGGTCATAACAACACAACACACGAGGAAAGAACCTCAAGAAGGTCGCGAGGGCTCTGGACGGAAACGTTCAACTCGCCTCGAGTTATTTCGTCCTCGGCGTCTTGGCGACATGAGAGTTGTTATACATTGGGTTCCCTACCACATCGGCACGGCGTTTATTTTCCCTCTCCCCCCCTCTTCGTGGGTTTGCTTTTTTACTCATGAGATACCATTGTCATCCAGCGGTCATGGAGCACATTTGTTCCTCCCGCTTTTTCGTCATGTTTCTGCTTTCTCATACCTCATATACCATAGTTGCGCTAGATTCCTTCTTTTCTCTGTTTGTTTTTCATGGGTGGATGATATCCTCAGGGCTCCTCGCCATTATGTATGAGGGTTCCACACTGCATGTGCTCATAACGCTGGGATATATATATATATTTTCAGCAGGGCTGAATCGTTAGAGATGGAGTGTCTTCGAGGTAGTGATAAACATAATTGGATCTCACTCTTCAAATCATATCTTGCTCTCTGCTCTGCCTTCTTTGTGTGTGAAGTGACGAGTATACCCTGGACGGGGAGTTTGAGATAAGATCCGACCTTGCCTGGCCACCTCTACACAATTTGCAACGTACTTTCACATGCCCCAGAAATTCCCGGTAGAACCACTGCCCTCGACTCGCCATTTTGGAACAAAACTCTCACGTCGTATCTCTTGAAAAAGATCCATCTGAGGTTCAAAATTTTAAGCATCAACGGGGTACGGCCATTGCTGTTAAAGCACATCCCTCGTTAATCAGTCCTCGGAGTTGGACGAGCCTTGCACCAACAAGCTACCAGCTTGATTTCTTTAGAATATGCTAGCTTTGCCCGTGGTAGACGGCGTGACATGCTGCCCCGCCTCCCCCCAACCCCAACCTACACAGGTGCCAGTCCACGGCTCCATGAACTCCCGCTGCTAGCATAATTACTGAATCAATCCTATGACACATGCGCAGAGCTCGAAGCTGGCAAGCAATGTGTTATTTCTTACAAGTCATATACCCTAATGTTGCACTTGATCTAGTTATATGAATAAGCTTAGTATTGTGGCTGCTGACGCAACAACACGTAAAAAGCGGCTCTTCTTAGGCAGAAGTGCAAGTGCCTCTAAGATAAGGCTAGAGGACAGAGTGAAAGATACTAATGGTGAGGGCTTTGCAAATAATTACCCAAAGGAAACATTGGCTTTCCCAACGCAGACTCCACTCTGGGCTTTCACTACGCCGCACGCCCGAGTCCAGCTCTCTCTGCAAGGCCACTAAGTCGCCCAAGGTATAGCATAATAATTGTGGCTGTATAACTACAGCATTTTGGGATAAGCTGAAGATGGACATGTAGGCGACTGAAAAGGCTGCCCAGGTGTGATGCTCGGGTATGTTGGTAGCTGCATATTGCTTACAGGCCCCGGCGTCGTTTCTATAACCCATCTTTCAACACATGATCGGAGATCCTTTTCAAAGAAGGAAGGAGATTCCGGATGATTTGAAAATTGGTTTGGAATGAGTCACCCACAGAGGTTACGAGCATATCTTGGCTAAGCACGAACGAGGCTCTAAAAGTCAGTTTGGCATGTGCCGGCTTGTTATAAAAGACGAGAAATACCAACAGAATGGCAATAAAGCTAGATCCAATAGGCAGTGTAAGTCAGAAATGGCGCAGCTGGGTCGAAAAGGCTGAATGAAAATCACCGTGACTGGTGTGTGACCAGGACACGCGATGCGCCAGAAGAGGAATGAGGCTCACGGTGATCATGTAAAAAGCAGGGAGGCTTTTGATTTCATCATTTGTATAGATATATACGAATGCTCCCGCACCACCCCCCCCCCCCTTCCTCTTATTCCCCTATTATGATTCTAGTTCGCATCCAAATCGAAGGCTGCCCGTCATGTAATCAAGCATGCTGGGTCAGGAAACATCAATTTTGTATGAGATCAATCATTCATGACGCGGATGCTTGAGAGGCCGATATCTACCCAGCCCAAAGATTCAGCCCTTGTGCCTCACTTGTTGGCTTCCTTGGCTGCTGGAAGTCGGCCAGGCGTCTGTAGTTCGGAAACCCGATATGAAAATCAAGACCACAGCACACGACACAGTTCATGGGAACTACAGTCCAGTATACAGTTGCTATACTGTTGAATAGCTCTCACCATATTTGTCACGGGTGAATCCATAGAACCAGGAGGAAATGTCCACAAACATTACAGTGTCTCTTCCACCCGGATCAACAAGCCACGGGGATCCAAACCTGCTATGCTTACCCCCATCAGTAAGCTATTTTTAACCACCCTTGACCGTTATGAGTCTTTTGATCTTTTGAACCTGTCCACGCTGACTGAGACTATTGAAGTGGACGGACTTGGCCACTTTCTACGGCACCAACTACCTCGCCCACGCAGCAACGTTGATTGCTCGCCCTGGCCAGAGCCTCATCGAAACCATAATTGACACAACAAACGCCTTGTTCATTCCTGGGTCCGGGATGGTACGTGCCGTGCGCCTGCTGATCTTCTCTGTCGACTGGACTCGGAATCGTTCTCCTCTTAGAAGGGCCGCAAAGGCCGGCGCGCTTTGCATGGTTGTGAAAAGAAGGCATATCGGGCGTGCCACATGGTCAGGTCCAGATCCTGAACTTGCCCGTGCAGGTCGCGGCGACTGGTTCTCTGATCACTTTAGCCTTGAGACCGACCCTGCCTATGTGCCGTTTTCGAGGTCGATCCTGGGTACTTGCTACCTGCGCGACAGGGAGCAGTATTGCCTTATTGAGGTATCGCAGCTTGTGCCCTTGCGAGCATTCCTGCCTGAGGTCGACGTCCCCACCACGTCCACATTCACAAACAGTAGCAATTACCTGAGTCACCGAAAGATTGGCGTTCCAGGGCAGCTCAACATCGCCAAGATTCTTGTCAGCATTCTCCAACTCATATGGGGTATCTCGACGCTTTATAACGCTCGCGGTAACCAGATCGATCTGTATGGCTACGGGGCATTCGGTTTGACGGTAGCACCCTACGCCTTTATGAGTTTTCTCAATCTTCTCGTCAGCCTTGTCCTCCCAGTCCACAACAACATGTATCTGGTGTGGACGCCGGATATGAAGGAGGCCATGGTCAAACCTAGGACTGAGCGCCATCGTGCTGGTATTTTCTACGGGATGATTGCATCTGTTGACGTAGATGAACTGAGCCGTCAAGTGAAAAAGGACAAATGCCGACTACCTTACAACCAGAAACTTGTGAACATGCCCTGTCTCTTGACCATCTACTCGTTCATCTATCTTCTCATAGCCATTATCCCTTTGGCGATCGTGGGCGCGTTCACAAATTTCCGCACAGGAAGTGATGTCCACGTGGACAGGGCATGGATCCTGGCCTGGCTGATCGTTGGCTCTGCTTCGGCCATCTTGATTGGACAAGTGTCAGCACAGGTGGCTATGAATCAGCGAGCGGAAGCTTTTCAAGACTTTCTCAAATTCAAAACGTCGACAAAGAGTACCCAGGGGGTGAGCAGTATACGTAGCGGGGAAAGGGGGCCATCTGTTTTCTTTGCTCTGTTCGTTCTGGTACCTTTGTGGATTCCTGCCATCGGAGGCATGGTTGTGGTTGGACAAATGTTGCGGAACTTTGGAGTGTGCACAAAAATTGGCTAGTGTTCAAGAATGTTTCAATATCCAATACAAATCGAATTGTTATGCTTGGTTCGAGTGACGTTAACGACTTATTGTATGGATACGAGGAATTGGATGCTCAAAGCGTTGGTCAGCAATATTAATTGCATCTTCAGCAGGTAAAGCCATGAGTTCTAACACACCTTCATAAGCCTAACTGATATTGGCTAATACTACTTGAAATCCGTGTTCTGCTGAATTGAATAAGAGATGCCTGAGTCGGAGTGTTGAATCCCATACTCATATTTCTGATGACCTGTTCTGTGACTTGCCATGTTGAATGGTTCGTAGTACTGCTCCCCATTTCTCTCTCCATTCCGCTACTCCTCTGGGGCCTGGGCTGGAGCTCGGAATTCCAGAAGTATCTTCGGCCTCAACGTTCGTCGTAGGATGTAATGCACAGCCTGTGGCATAGCGTACGGGGCATTCCGTCTCCAGTCAGAAACATACTCTGCAGCCAGAATGTTGTTCATATTCCGAATGATGGTTGGCGCAGAGGCCATGGATCCTTCCCTCTCGAGATTCCACTCCAGCGCCTCTATCATTGCTGAAGCCATGCCCGGTGTACTTTCGGCCCAGGTGCTTGCCGCGATCAGTTCGTTCCGAGTCCCGTGAAATTCATGGCCATCTTCTACTTGGAATTGAAGCCTTTGCAGCCTCTGCCATTTAGACTTTTGTTCCACGACCTCTTCCAGGTTAGATACTGCGGCCAGACCTGCTCCGCAGCAGTCGAGAATGGTCAAAGTGTCGCATTCCGCGTCAATGATGTCGTCCTGTATATCTTCCCATCTGACGGAGGCAATCCGTTGATAGTTTTGGCTGCAGCCAGGTTAGACTGCAACGTGTCGATAGGTGTCTTTATGAATGTGGACTGCCTACTATGTTTCCCTGATCCTCGCGCGGGTCCTCGGATCGTCCACATTCAATCCATCCCAGAGTGTACGTATAATATCCCTCAGAGATATGGTCTTGCTTTGGTCTGGGACTTGATGACTGCAATTGATGTAGTGAGTTCCAATGTTCAGTTGGGAGAATATTTGCAAAGCTAGACAAGATGTTTTACCTGATCAATTTGAATCCACACCAGTCTTTTCCGTCATCAAACGCCCCGTGCCCATGGTAGTAGATTATCGTCAATGTGTCCATATCTCCTTCTTGCAAAAATGAAGCAACTCTCTTTTGTACGCATCTCTGAGATCTCAGCATGGGAATATTGTAAGATTCAACATCGTAGTTCAAGCGTTCAAAAGCGGCTTGCACATCCTGGGTTTCCTGATCCAAGTACAAGTCGTTAAATTCAAACGTAAGTAGTAAGACCCTGACATGCCCGTGTACAGTGCCAGTATCACCCTCATCCTCAGCCTCAGCCCTTCCGGCAGCTTCGGCCGGGCGGTTAGCAGTCCCATCAGACATTTGCAAGTTGTTGGATGGCTTGTGTGGTTATAGGTATTCCAAGATGGTGAATAGTTGAAGTATCGGTAATATTGCATGGATTCGAAGAGATGAGGAGTCACAATTATGTATCCGGACATGCTGACAGGCTATGGCATGGCTGACGGCAGAGCCTCTGCACTGTGTACGACGCCCCCTCTCTCTGGGATTCAGTCAGCAATGATGCAACTTGAGCGGGGTTGGTCAGCAAGGCAAGACCGGTAAATTGTGAAAGCAGTTTTTATTGGGTAGAATTATGCACGTGAATACATCATTGCATAGCCCGAAGGTCTGAATCTTGTTTTACATGCCGTGGAATGGGGGTGGCTTGTATGAATACATTCAGTTGTTGCGATGGACCGAAAGGGGTAATAGTCTCTAGTATGCTCGAAGGTTTGATAGAGAAAATTGTCAGGTGAAGGCGATTGACAGAGTGACGAGATCTCCAGGCTGCATCTTCCAGAATTACAGGGTGACGAACAAAGTTGAAGCCTACACAATTAACGCTCGGCCAAATGTTCGCCGATGAGGGGAAGCTGCTATACAACTCCCACCTGCAGCCTTACCGTCGCTTACCGACTGACAGACATTTTTTCTTTAAATCAATATTACTATATCAATTTTTAGTTTATTGATGTCTCGGAGATTGGTATGCCAGTATGTAGCCAGCCCCCTTGAAGCCTCTAGAATTCTTTAGCTGACCCAATATAAGCGGAACGGCTTGCCATGAGAATTTTGTACCATAGCCATATTGTTTGCAAAGCAATCCAGTGCTTAGAGCAAGGAAATGGTTCAATTGTTGGTGCCACCAGGTTGTTGCACTCCTTGGTGATGCGGCTCCTCTGAGGGAACTCAATTGCTCATCAGCTAGCTTGTGGCTCGATGTGGGATTCAATTCCATCAACATCACCAGTCAACTCCGTCTCAAACCCCTGGATCCCCTTTCGTGCCTCGTTGCTGAGGACGATGCCAAAGTGCTCCTTCAATGCTTTGATCCGCTCTTCTTCACTCGTACATACTTGTACCACTTCTGTCCTGCCACCCATATTTCTCTTTACAATCCCATCAGCCAGCATAATCTTCCCAATGACCTGAACTGTGCTTGTCGAATGTTTAGTGGCCGTTTCCTCACCGTTCGCTGCATTCCCTCGGGAGCTTCTGCAATCGCCATCTTCTCCTGCAGTGCCCCTGATAAACTTGACAACTAAAATCTGCTTCCTCTGGAAACTCTCTGGGTGACTCGCCACCCACCAATTTGAACACTCCAGATCCCAAGCACTGGCTTCCGCCTCGCCGAAAGCGTAGTATTGATTCCAGGGAGCATCCGTGCCATTCCTGTACTCGTAGAACCAGACTTGATTCGCCTCCGACTTCAGTGTGTTTGGGAATGCTCCTCTCTGTAACCGAATCTGCTGTGCGCCTAGATTGGCCACTGCCTCTGGTTCCTGTCCTGGGCAGGACGAGAGCAGTAAGGGGGTCGTTGGACCGTCGCCACCGAACCCGACATCGCAGCTCCAGACCGAGCCGTCCTCAAGGAGCACAAGATTCACAACTAGGTGATTGCTACGGATTAGTCATATCACGCCGTGGTAATCAGGGCAAAGAGAGCTCGACTGAGAAGCTTACCATGTCGCGGTCCCACGAATGGTCCGGCAGGCACACGCGTGAGGTGGTCTCGGATACGAATACGTGCTGCAGTCGGATATGCTCTGAAGCCCAGGCCTTTGAGAATATGGAGGAAGAACACACTGGTCTCGAAACAAAAGCCGCCCCTGCCACGGCTCTGCTCAGAGGCGGTCGGGTGGAAGTCGGGCAGGAACTTGGCGTAAAGATCCTGCGGGTCGATTGAGTTGGTACGAGCAGAATTATAGTGCAGGCTCAGATTTTCGTATGGGATGCTCGTGATCTGGCATCGGTGTAAAGTCTGCAAGAAGATTGTATCCCGAGGATGTGTGAGAGGCAGCGGAAAGGATATATGCTGTAGGTAGTGTTGGATCTGAGCTGGGCTGAAAGCAGACTCCAGAGGAGTGTTTTGCAGCAGCTCGGTGTCTCTAGAATCCAGGGCCATATCTTGTTGACGTTCCTCAAAGTCTTGGACAAAACATCAGTAATCTAGAAAGCACCCTGTATTAAAATATTCTTATCCGTGATCACGACATCGGTGAGAGTCATAGAAACACTTAGTCAGCGTTGCCAGAAGCGCTTCACGAGGCAATTGATAGGGTTAGGGTATTTGAGTGTCGTCCGTTTCCTCCTCGTACTCCCTTCACACAGCTTTGGAGATTGGAAAATCAATCAACAATTCTTGCCATTCGGTTACAGTACTGATTCTACCGTATACATTCTTCTCGTATTATTAATCGCAATATTATGGAGCTGTCCATTTCTCTAATCCTCGAATAATGTAATCGGCGAATATAAGAAGAGGCTGTACGAATCCCGAGAATGTGCTGTATGAGCCCTTGAGGACATCCTTTTTAGTAAACATTCACGAAAAAGAAGAGAAAAAAAAAGAAGAAAAAAGACAAAAAAACCTCACAAGGAAATCAATACGCTTTAGCCATGGAGAGTTATGATATCTTCTATGATCTAGTTCATGTTTCTACTATCGTGATGTGTGTCTTTGCAGGCACCAGCAGAAGTCTTACAAATGCAAGCACTCTTACTCCGTGCACCAATCTTTTGCAGAAAATTGATGTATTGTTCACCTCCATGCTTCCATATCTACAGAAAGAACGCCCGTGTATCTTCTAACTCGCTGCTAATCTTCGACAAGACTCTGGGCAGGAACAGCTTTGCGGCCGTGCTTGCCGCTTGCCAAGGACTGACTGCAAATGACAGGAACTGGACTAGACGGACTGGTTTTTTATTATTTTTTAAACGAGTATGTCAACACTTTCAAAACATCATCACCACCTAATTCTTTCCTTCGCTATCGACAATTTCTTCTTCTCTGAGCCCACTCCACCACGCCCTCATTTGTATCAAAATCACGATCTCCATCCAGTAACACGCTTAAAGCCCATCATTTCCACCCGTATTCACTCAAGATGCCCGCGGATCGGAAACTGCTGGCCTGTTTACTTCTCATCTTCCTATCGATCCTGAAGCCAACCTATGGAAATAATGCAGCCGGAGTCCACTATGCTCACAATACTGAGACTAAAGTGCAAGTCGAGACCCTGAGCACCGAGCCTGACGTCCGCACTATCACTCCGCCAGGTTACAGCAGCGTCGCCAGCACCCAAGCTATGATCGAGACGCCCGCAAATAAGCCACTACCACGTTGGCAAGCTTGCTTTTATACTGCAAGTTGCTGCCCATTCTTGTCGCGCAGGCCCTTGTGCTGGAACGAAACCGAAGTCTCGTGGAAGGAAGGATGCCACGCCTTCGAGAACTTCGCCTCCGTCTCCACCACGCCTGGTCAGTGTACGATTCGGATATACAAAGACGTCCAGTGCAATGTACTATTGGATCCCAAAGATGCTGTCGTTGGACCCGAGCACCGGCCAGAAGGCGCATGTATCAACCTCACCCTCGATCCGCGTCGGAAGAGCTCAAATCCACTCAACAATACCGATTGTTACACCACGCAGGACTTTACGGGTTCGTGGGATGTGACTTGTCCGGAATAGATATCGCAAAACTCTGGTAATAGAAGGTCGATAGGTGGATACAGTATTTGTATATTACCGAGCCGGCTCAGATGGGCCGATGTCGAGTCTCAGACCTGGTGATGATGGGGATGAGCTCAAGGTTCTCCTGCCGTACTAAAAGGATTGAACACAAGGGATGAGCGCTACATGAGCTTAACAAGACATGGGGTGGATCAGATATGGTTACGTCTATCACAAGTACCTGGAAGTCTTTCGAGGATCATGCTCCTAATACTTGATCAAATCAGATCATCCAGACATCCTATACAGTTTAATCTTGTCCCTGCACTATCTCGCTTTGCCAGTCAGGCGCAAGGGTGGTGATTGCATTTTCAAGCACCTTGTTGACCTGCGTGCGGTACTGCATCGCCATAGACTGGTTGTGTGTCTGCGGCACGACAACCACAACGATCTCATTGCCTTGTTCATCCACACTGACGCCCGGGTTAGTCTCGCACAACTTATCATATTCCATGCCCAGCTTTGCCAGAAGCAGCTGCTTGACCTGCTCGACCACCTGGCAAGCTTCGGCTGGGAGAGATGCGGACCCAGATAGTATGCGCCGCAGACACGCCAGCTCACGTTGTCTCGAGTCATCGGCCGTTACAGAAGCTTCCTTTCTGAGATCCACGTCGGAACCCACTATCGAGGTCATGAACGACTCCTTGTTGCCATCTCCTACTACTGCTAGGCACATGTCCCAGACCAGAGAGTCCTCCACATGAGAGAATTCTGGTCTAATTTGAAAGCTGCGATCCTTCACCACTGCCTGTCGCGCCGCGCCGACGTAGGAACTCGGATGGTTGATAGGGCGCAATGACACAAGGAAATCCTGCGGTGGCCCAGCTGATCCAGCACCTGGAACCGAGTCTGCAGGTCCTCCCGCTCCAGTTCTCTTTCTCACGTGGAGGTAGTCGTTGTGTATGTCATCCGTCTCTGGGAGGATGAACCCATACGACAGGAGAAGTTCACTGTTGGTCTTCTTCCCGTAGCTGTTGAAGATCTGATCGCCAGGCTGGTACGTGTCGAAGCTCTGAAAACGGCACGTGTGAGCAACGCTGCTCTCGTCATCGACCAGCCACCGCACCTGGGCGCGTGGCGAGTGGTTTATGATGTCGAAAACCGGGAGCAGAATGCTGAAGTCGTCAATTGCCACCCCCTTTGGTAGCGCGGCGTCTCTCAGCGCCTTGGGTATCACGAGGGATGGCCGAAAGCTCCGGCTCGCAAAGATGCTGAACGCCCAGTCGTGGAGGGTTCGAGTGTAGTCTCGCCAGTCCTCACAGCCGGCGTCCTTGAGCGCTTTCCGCGCTTCCTTGAATTCCTTCTTTAGCTGGTCGCGGATGGCCTGGGCGGAAATACCCGTATTTGTACACTCTAGGAACTCTGCATCGTCCTCGGGCCAGAAAGGAGGCAGGCTCCACGTTGAGAGGACATCAGGCTGCGGAAGGGTGGTGATGTAAGGATACCAGAAGGACGATTTGCCGGCCAGGAACTCCTTCATGAGGAAGAAGCGTCCAATGACGTGTGGCGGAAGGTCATTGAATCCTGAGGGGAATGAAGACGATGTATCGGTTTGTTCTGAAGGGGTTGAAACAAGAGGGCCCCCAGTGATGGCATTGAGATAGGAGAGGCTGGCCTTCAGAGGACAGATGAGAATTTCATCGCCAGGCTTGAGGTTGGCGGCATCTTGGCTCAGATCAGACTTAAACCGTATGGAGAAGCCAGTCAAATCGTCCTTGTATATCTCAAGGGCAGGGTGAAGGGAGGCTCCGTGAAGATTGGCCCAGGATAGGAGCGCGCTGAAGCGCTTCTTGTCCACTTCTTTCATTTGCGCGGCGGGTCGCGACCGCTGCAGGTCGGAACGCGTCACAAATGCCGGTGAGCTTTCTGAAATTTATATCGTAGACTGGGGATGAATAGGTTCAAAGCTGAGCCAAGAAGAACTCAATTGTTCTGTGATGGCTTTTGGTTTGGACGGGGACGGCGTTGATACAGTGTTAGAAGTTAAGGAATTCCAAAGATCAACACAAAGCAGCATTTCGCGATTTTCATGTGCGAAAGGGTTAGGGTTATTAATGATATCAAGGCAAAGAAAATAATATCGAGGCCAGATTATAACGTAGAAATATCCCAGGTAAAATTGTTAGCCTCGTTCCCAAGAGAGTCCAAATCTTGGAAGTAGACCTTATCTTATGAACTTTATCATCATGTTTTGAGAATAGACAACAATGAGGCAACAGTTCTGCTTCTCCGACCTGACCTCCAATTTGTCCGAGTGCGTTGCCCCAAGATACATTAGCGTAAATGTATCTTGACATGATATGAAATTCATGGTCGGATCAGACCTTCTAATAAATTGAAATATTCTCGTTCTCTCGAGATTTCGTTCTCTCGAGATTATTACTTCTGTATTTTCTGTGAAATGCCGTCAGATTCGCACCACTTGTGTGGATTCTTCAGTCAGGCCTTCTGTGGCATCCAGATCCGGGTTGACGGGCCTGGGATTTGGGATGCTCGCAGGCATGACCTTTTCAAAGTTCTGGAGCATCGCCAATGGATCATCTCCATCGCTAGAGATACCAAGTTTTAGTTGAGTATCGTCAAATAACATCCGAAAATTTGTCCACGTCAGTCCAGGGAGGGAACTCCCCGTTTCCCGGGAGGAATTGTTTGGACGATGCACATGCAGCAGTGTACAGATACGCCTGCGGTCTCGACCAGAAAGAATCGGTTCACGATCTCAAGTCCCAGTCCAGTCAGAGCTGTGCAAGAAAGTCAAGCAAACCGGTTCAGACGGGTTCGTGCATGAGGAAGAAGGGCTGCAGGTCGTCCAGCGGGTCCAACATACGGTATCACGGCTCCCTGTCCTCCAGCACGATGTCTCTCAGTATAATTGCCCTAATTTCTCCTGGAGCTGACTCAGGTCTCTGCGCAGGTCAGACCTTTGAACTGCTGACTATTTTGATGCGTATCGGTAAGTAGTCTTGGCTCTCCCATCCCTTAGTCTGGCTATGGACTTGTTCTCTGGGTATATGGCCTCTGTCTGGCCGTCGTGGCTCGTCTCACTTTTCCCACCTGCTTCCTTAGCCGAACTCAAACAAATTGCTCAAGTATGCCAAGGCGTTATAGGCGGTCTGACCTTCAGACCAAAGTGTGTTCTGTGCTGATTGTCTGCCGCTAGGCCTCCTGGATCCAAGACGCTCAAATGTGGCCAAGACACGCTCTGGCACCTCGATCATATACTCGTGCGCGGCCCTCTTCTCCTGTGTCTCGTCATCTTGATCCTCAATTGCCTGGGTATAAAACTTGAAGCTCTTCTTATGCAGCCAGATCACATTACGAAGAGTGGTCAAGGGCGCGCTTGGGATATCTTCTGGCTTCGCATTTCCAACAACGATTGATGCCAATTCTCCAGCTCTCTCAGGCAAAACTCGAGCGTCTCTCAGAAGTATACGTGGGAACCATCATTCGATTTCAAGGTAGATGATGCTGCTCTGGGGCCTTTCAAGATCACCCTGTCGGCTGTCTGCTTTAGCCACCTCGTGAACTGCGCCTGGCCGAACTTGTACCACTGCCATGTTCCGTCCTTGGACTTATATGATGTATCTATTGTCTGGAAGATTTCCGTTGTGATCTGCTGAGTGTGGCGCCAATAGGGATCTAGAAACGTGTAACGCAAGGAAAACAGAGAAAACGCAAGCGGGGTCGAGGGAGCAGCGCTGGCGACTATTTAGGCAAATATACATAGGCATGTCGCATTATTTAATGCAGTTTCGACCATTCCCTGGAAAATACAGCTTATTAGACAGCAATATGGCCAATCAATTTGTACCACTCCTCTCCTATCTTCCTGTTTGTACTGGGCAAGACATGCAATGGTTTGTGGCCCAAACAAAACACCTAAAATCTAGGCTTGCCAACATAATTTTGCCTACTCAATATACCAGAAGAGGATTATTGCACTCATTCTGTGCCGTCGTTAAAGAGACGTAGCTTATTCGATTTTCAAGGAGAATTCGAAGACAGTGGAAGTAATTTCTTCCAGCAGCTTTTCGTGGACACCAGCCGCGTAAGGTTCAGAGACCAGGGAAAGCAGAAAGAGTGGGAAGGGGGGTGGCATCCAGTAAGCAGAGAAGCGAGAAGGAGAACAAGAAGAAGCAGTAGTAAGTCAAAGCACCCCCTTCCCGATCACCCTGGTCAACCACACCGTATATATATATATTTCATATAGATTTACTCATCCTATTCACCCACCACGATGCAATCCTCCTCATCAGTAGGTAATTCAAGGCCGTTCTCTTCATCTAGACTATCCTCATCTCGATTGACTGCGTTTTGAGCCCTCTGTATATCCTCAACCCCTGCAAACTTCGAATTCGGGCTTACATCGACCTTTCTTCTTTTACGAGGCTTCAGCGCCTCAATCTGCTTCCTTAACATCTGATTTTACTCCAATGCTCTTGCAAACTCGAGGTCTCTCTCGTAATAAGCCTTTTTTATCTTCCTGAATAGCCTACGGCAGCCTGAGTCTATTGAAAGATGCTGCTGAGTTTCCTGTAGCTAATGATATAGCTGTTTAGCCTTGTGAGGCGTTGAAAAAACCATAGGCTGGCTTAATGAGGCTTTTGGGGGAAGCTTAGGTACTGTTGATGGTATTGAGGCTGAATTTGACTGGCTCTGAATGCTTGGTTGACTGTTCTCGAGGAGAAGAGGGCTCAAGAGCGCTTTGGAGGGTTTCAGGGGCTATAGACCAGTTGCTTTCCATCCAGATCTGATATTCTGGCTTGAAAGGCCTTCCAGACGAGCTAGACGATAGTGCTTGAGGAATAAACGCTTGCCTGCGATAGTTGAATCCCCCCATTGGCTCATATTGCTGACTTCCTTTCTGTATGCTTGTTTAAGGGATGAAAAGACCCCTAGATCGAGGGGTTGAAGTACGTGAGAAGTATGAGGAGGCAAGTAGATCAACAGGATGTTGTTTTGATAGCATTGCCACATAAACTCGTCAGTTTTATGGCTGTTGTGGCCATTCAGGACTAATAGTCTGGTCTCTGAGGGATCCGCTGGTAGGCTGCCTGGGATGAAGATCTTTTCTAGCTATTCAAGTGCCATTTTATCATTAGTCCATCCGTTTGGTGTAGCAGTGAACTGCCAGCTCTTAAAAGGCTTCAAATCGACAGGAAACCACTGCTGCTGTACAGTTTGCCCTTTGAAAATCACCAGAGGAAGGAGGTGAGCTCCCGTAGCTGAGATACACTCGAGAAAAGAGATCCAGGCTTTTGATCCAGGCTCTTTTCTTTGGATTGAACGTGAAGAGGAGCCTCCAAGAACTAATCTATTCTCTCCTTGGCCCTCCATAAGCCCAGCTTTATCCATATTCCATCGATTAGCTGGCTTGATGGCTTGGATACGAGAAAGATTGAAAAGATAGAACCAAGGCTGTATTACCTCTGTTGTAGCTCCATTAGTTCGTTTAGAAGCTATCCGGCGAGTCCTTCTGACCTGTATCTCTGGATTCCTCTTCAAAAAACCCTGGATCCATCTCTTTCCAAGAGGTTCAGTATCTCCTTTGATGAGGAGGATCTTCCGTGCGAAGAATCTCAACTCTGAATGGCTTGGTGGAAGCCCTAGGCTTTCCTGAACCAGGATCCATTCAGCTAGTTTTCTTTCTTGGATAGAAGAGAGCCTTTGAAAAGATTCAGCACCTATCTGATGAGACTGAACGCCTGTTAAACGGTTCTGAAGTGTTGTATAAGGGATACCCCATTCGATCGAGGCCTTGCGAAGAGAACAGCCTGTCTTGATAGCCTCGAGGGCGGCAACGATTTCAGATTCCGTATACTGCTTCATTGGACTGTATTTACTCTATGCTGAAAGTTTGAAGTGAATTGGAAGAGGATTGATGAAGAAAATTAAAAATATATCGAGGGGTTGAAAAGGCGGTGTGGTTGACCAGGGTGATCGGGAAGGGGGTGCTTTGACTTACCATTAGACAGAAAATGAGGGGGAAAGTGAGGCGAAGGGCTTAAGCAAATACAGGAACACGGCAACAGGGGAGAGGGCCATACAAGAGAGAGCCGAAGAGGGAGAAAACCCAAGCAACGAACAATGGTAATGAAGAAGAGAGAAGGGAAAAAGAAGTAGCAGCATCTTGCATTAGATATAAAGTCATTACTTCTCATATGAAAAGTGTGCGTCTCAACCCATCAGTCATATCAGGCTTTCACGTCAGCCATTTCCCCGTGCCCGGCTCCGAATCCTGCCTCCGGTTTGTGGAAAATTAGCAACCGAGTTCTGTTGCACCGGACCGACGTCTTTGCCTTCCAACGACCGAGACGTATGCTCTCCATCGCCTCGACGCCGTCTCGTCGATTCGAGCGATCGTAAGACTTTTTGATCTAATTTCAGCCAGGCATACCGGATTCAGGGAATAAAGGCTAGAATGTTATGTAGCTCATACCCAAGCATGTCGGCACCGAAACCCGAGCTGTTCGTACAATTGAGGAGCACAATGTTATTACATCTTCCCATGGGCACCGCTTGTTAAAATGAAAGGGTGTATTAGACCGCGAGTTCCCAGAAACTTATGTGGGTCCACACCCTCCCAATCATAATTATATCAGCTACTGTTCTGTCTGCGTAAATCCTTCTCATACCTCCTCTAACTCCTCTCCTAGTCAATAACACAACACGCTTTTGTGGGAACCTTAGAGAGAGAGAGAGAGAGAGCCAACACGATGTTCTCATCCAGATCGCCACTTCAAGTTGTGCTGGGCCTCCTCACGGCCTCAGCGACAGCCTACTGGCTACCCGAGACGCTGGGATCCTCTGTGACGACCTGCATTGTCCCAAAGAACACAACTGGCAACGATGACAGTCCCAGCGTCACAGCCACGGTCGAGGCATGCAGTAATGCCTCTCGCATCATTTTCAGCGGGAACGAGACCTACAATTTGATGACCCCAATCTCCTTCACGGATCTCACCAACGTTGAGTTCGTTATCAACGGTAATGTCTCCTTACCGTCCAATGTCAGCTACGTGGAGTCTGTCACAGGGAACAGCGATCTCTATTCAGGCCACTGGATCACAGTCAAGGACAGCACGGGCGTCACGTTCACTGGCACTCAGGACCCCAGCTCGGGCTGGTTCATCGGTCATGGAGAGCAGTGGTGGCCTATGGTGAACAACAGTGACAATGACTACCGCCCACACTTTTTCGAATTTTCAGTGACCACTCTTCGCCTGCGAGACGTCAAGGTCTATAACCCCGTGGCCTGGGTCTTTTCGCTGAGCGGCACGGACATCTACATGACGAACACCACCCTCGACGCCCGCTCAAGCGATCCCATCAACGCTTTCCCTTTTAACACGGACGGTATGGACCTGTCGGCCTCGGACGTTGTCATTGACACCTGGACATCTTGGAACGGGGACGATGTTCTGAATGTGGCCCCTCCAGCGACCAATGTCACCATGCGGAATATCGTTGCCTACGGTACCCATGGCGTGTCTGTGTCCTGCTCACCTGGAACGGGAGGTGATTATCTATTTGAGAATGCCTTCATATACGACTCTCTACTAGGAGCTCGTTTCAAAGGCGACCTGGGCACCACCTGCAATCTCAGCAACGTGACATGGCGGAACTTTGCCATTTTCAACACAAGCTACCCAGTTCATTTCATCGAAAATTATGTCGATCAAGAGACGGGCGTCGCCGCTGGCACAAACACAAGCCTGGCGGCGTACACTACCAATTTCACGTGGGAGAATATCGTGGCCATGACCAGCGAAGAGCTGGGCGATGGGAGTTGCATTACGGATCCATGCTGGACCTACACGGATGGTGAGTTTTTCTTCTTCTTCTTTTGTCTCTATTCCCCCCCCCCCCTTTCTCTCTTCTTTCTTTACTTTCCAATTTTTTTCTTCTTATTTGCTTTGACATCAGCTGACGCGCGTTTTAGGACAATCTAACCAAAAAGCCATGTACATAATGTGCAAAGACGCTGCACATTGCCAGGACTTCCACTTTGACGATATTGTGCTCTTTGGGGCCGACGGAAAGCCTGGCGAGATGGACTGCAGCGGGCTAGAGGGAGTCGAGGGCATGGGAATTCCATGTACAAATGGAACACTACCTACACAATGACTTAGGAGCTCAAGAAGTATCCAAGCGTGTGCATTGGGTAAATAATATGTTTATTCATCGGCATTGTACAAGTAATCCGAGTAGGCCCCACTTCCTTTTACAACTAAAGATTGAACCAAAAAGTACAAGACTCAAGCCCATGCGCCGAAGAACCCGAACGCCTCCTCACCCAGTGTGTGCAGCTCAAAGGTTTGCCAACACAGCCACACCACCCAGCAGCGCACCGATCTTGACAACTGCAGTCTGAGCGGATGCAGCCCCCTGCTGGGTACTGGTGGAGGCGGCACCACTCGAAGTGGTGGAGGTCTGCGTGTGCAGTGCTGCTGTGGCAGTGCTGAGGGAGCTCTTGAATGAGCTCAAAGCCGCCTCGATGGACGATTTGACCGGGCCCGTGGCTGTGGAGAGCTCGGCCGCCAGGGATGATTCGACTGTGGCGGCGGCAGCAGTGATGCTCGCTAGATCGCTTGAGACCTCGCTGAATATTTGGCTTCCGACGCTTCCGGCGGCCTCGAACGCGGAAGATACGTCGGCCGCTATGGATGACGCCTCGCTGATGATATTGCCTGCCTCTGAGCTTATCTCAGAGAAAGGGTCCTGGCGAGCTTTGATGATTGGTGCCGGGGTGATTTGCGGCTGTCTTGGATGAAGGGCGTTTGCCTATACATGTCAACATATCAGTCTTTATGGCACTTAAAAGATAAAGAAAGAATTAAGAGAAGGGGAGAAGTGGTTGGTATAGGAGACTTACTGAGACAACAACAGCGAGGCCAAGGAGAAAAGTAGAGAATTGCATCTTGAATTGGAATTCCGGTACAAACAGCGTCTGGAAATAGGGACGAGATGATTGACTATTGGTATTCAAGATGAAGCTTGAGTGGCTGCTTGGCTCTCGTGAGGGCAAGATTGACGAAGGCTTAAGAGTATGCGATACAATCTATGCAGCCCGGGTGTTATATATATTCTCTAGATTCCACCAAAATCCATTTCTTAACGTTTCCGGCAGCTCCTCGCAATCGCTCTCGGAGGGCATTCATCATTAGGACTCGGCGTCAGTGTGCGAACCTCAGGTCAGCCTGGCCGTAGGAACAAACTCGCCGCTGTGGCTGGCAATCAAACCATCGTGGCAGTGAAGATGTCCTCGGGGTCTTACTCATATGCGAATCCATAAGTGTCTATTTTTGGGAAAAGAGCCTATGTTTCAATCCAGGATGCACGGCAGTGTTTGATCAGGAATTACGCTATGGAATTGTCAGATGGCCTTGCTCCCGTGTGGCACAGCACGTACAGCGACTGCTGGCATCTTATTTAACTCGGCTTATTCTTGGCACTTAGGCTGCCAATGTCTTCCTCGGCATTCGTCGCCTCACCGAGCAGTGCAAACATTGATGGATGCAAGGTTGCACCAACAACCCCAGATCATACATGACACAATCCTTTTCTCATGCCCTCGAATTCCTCTCGATTTTATTGAGGCTCTACTCGCTCTCCACATTACTAAAGCATTCTTTCACGGAATTTTGGTATATGTATGTAGTACAGTTTGATGACCACTGGAAATTCGAGGAGGGAAGAGTATCAGCTTTGAAGGAGTGGCGCAGCCACACATCCCTGGAGATCTGCAGCGAAGCAAGGGCGAAAAAAAGAATTTCCAAATCGAAGGACAAGATATTACGCTTGGCAGTTGTCGAATCTCATGACGGGTCCTTCATACGTCCGTTCTCCGCCGAATGCTGCTTCGCCATCCCTAGTCGGCACGCATTCTCGACATGGCGATTATGGCGTAGTAATTAAAAACGTCTGGCTGTTCCATTCTCCATAAATGCTCAACTGGTGTTCCACTGAAACGCATATTTATGAGCTTTGCCTTCTGATTCATCGTAGCTACAATTCACCCTTTGATAATAGCAGACTTTACATTGTGAGTATGGGCCAGGTGCTTGAGCCTCAACTTTTCGTTTGTGATTTGCTGAGGCTGCATTTCATGTGTCGACCGACGCTGGTGCGTTTTTTCCCTACAGACCGATGTTTTAAATTTTCTCAAACTTGGCTATTCTCACTCTGTCATAAACCTAAGCTTCTAAAAATTATGTATTACATAGCAGAACAAATAAGTATTATCGTAATTACTTGAAATTCTCGCCTTGGCCCCTTTACAGCCGCGAGTAAATGTCCTTACTAAGCGACGCGCACGCGAGCGCGCAGGGAAGAGTAAGATCCACATTCTGCGCGCCCTCACATGGTTTTCTGTCTTGACTCCAGCTCACGTCTATGCCGGATCAACCTTCAACGGCATAATCCATATTCAGCCAGAGATTTACTCCTCGTCAGCATAATGGGGTCCAGCGATATAGCGCCTGATCATGTGCCCACTTGGGTGGTGCCGCTCTCGACCGTCGCGCTCGGGATGGGAGTCCTCTTCTGGGATGCAACGTACATCCTCATGACCAGGCGTAGTCTTCAGACCAAGTCCTACAGCATGCCCCTGCTGGGCCTCGCCCTGAACGTCTCCTGGGAGATCGTCTATGCGCTCTACGTGTGCGAGGCGCCCCTCGAGACCGCAGGGTTCACAGTCTGGCTGCTTCTCGACATCGGACTCATCTACACCACCGTCAAACACGCGCCTGTGGAGTGGGCCAAGACCAGCCCCTGGGTGGGAGAGCACATTGCGGTGCTCCTGACTGTCATGACTGCGGTGGGCTGCGCAGGCCACTTTGCCTTTGTGTCCTGGTGGCTGAGCGAGCCTGGGATCGGCCACGGCGACAAGACGGGGAAATGGTACTTTGGCCGGGACAAGTTCGATACGACCGAGCTGGCATTCTGGTCGGCTGGGGTTGCACAGCTTGTGGACAGCATCGGCTCGTTGGCGATGCTGCTGGTGAGGGGCCACTCTGGGGGGACGAGTTACGCAATCTGGTGAGATGAATTGGACCCCACCTCAACTTTTCTCGCTCATCTTGAAGAAGATTCTTTACACGAGGTGTTGTCGGGCCTCCTGGTGTTTTGATTAACTTCCGTTTACTGCCCACTCATCTTGAAATCTGGCCACTCCGATGCACGAAGTCGCTTCGTTTTGGGAAAAAAAAAAATCGAATAGAAGGGCGCAAGCTGACTTCTCAACGACAACTACTCATAGGCTTTGCAGAACACTCGGGACTGTAACTGGCTTAGGCTTGAGCAGTGTCATCCTCTGTTATTGGTGGCCAGAAGCACATGGCTACTTGACAAATCCGTTTGGTATCTTCATCCTGGCCACGGCTGTGATTACCGACTTGATTTACCCCTTTTGTCTCTGGCATGTTCGGCAAACTGAGGTCGTCCTTCCCGATGGACGCATCGTGAGCCAGTATGATAGATTGCAAGGACTGAAGCCAGCCGAGAAGGAACTGTAGAGGGCTTGAAGGCGGTGTGCCAGTAATTGCAGTACCTCTGCATTTATTTCTCGACATGGAGTCAATGTGGACCAGTCGTCTGATCACTAAAGGTTGTCCATATTACACTGTACGACCTTTCGAAACGACACAGTAGTTGCTGCACATGACCTGTCGGATGGACGGCTGCCAGTAGAGAGATGATTAGCTATGATCATGGATGGTAATGACAGAAGCAAAGTGGATGGGAAACGCCAGGCCCAAGTTGTTGGGGTTCAGATTCATTTAGATGATATGATTACGCGTTCATTACGGTAACGACATTTATAGTGCCAAGGGCGTAATTCTTCCAAAAGGAAACACATTCTTTTGTGCCCAGGCTTGTTACTATACGCTGTACAGAGTACTTCCTGGGCGCCACCAGACTATAGCAGCCATCGAGAGGGGACTCACTCATTACAAATGATTGAGACAATTTACTTTATTACTGCCTACGAAATGCTGTTAGGGTTTCGGTGTCAGAAATACGATGTCACTAGCAAATCTCACAATCGTGGCGGAAATGAAGATAGATACACTTCAGAACAGAAGCAAGGATTGATTCACTGCCTAGAACTATCACCTAGCGGGATCTGGCTGATGCCCGGAACCTAATCTGGAACTTTGAGGCCTCAGAGACGACCTCAAACACCAGGATAGCCCTTTCGCCGGTGAGTCTCCTGTACTGAAAATAAGATGAAGAAACAAAAAGATTCTAAAAGTCGAGTTACACAAGGGCCTAGGCCTGCATCAACTGGTTGTCTGGGGCCTTCCAGTGAGTCGGTGTACCGCCCTTAGCGAAACTTTATAGTATTGACCGGTTGACCGGACGTAGCATTTGGGACGTGCTTCTCACACCGGCGTGGGGCAACCCACTCCTTCGGCAATCTGTATCGAAGTGAACATCGAGAGCTTGTTTGCCATCGCAAGTCAGGGGTCATTGAGAAGACATACTTGTGTATGGCTTCGAAGCAACCTTCTCAAAAATGATGTACAGTCTTCGTTGCCTAGTTAGGTTGAACAGCTGAGGTGTGCAAGGACCACCACTGCAAGGCATGCAGACCACGACTCTGCGAGCCATCAGATTCCCCTGCCCTATGCCATCCATGACCCTTACATACCCTCCCGTCTTCTTCCTTCTGTCGGGTATTCTTGTACCTCATTATACAAGCCAGGGAGTAGTTGTGGCTCGGTGCCCCCGAAAACCCCCAGTTACTGGAGGAGACGGCGATTAGTGGCCAGGAGACCTTCCACAGGGGAGGCATGCTAACGTCCCCTTGAACGTTCGAGGTGGTTGCAACTCTGAGTCGATTCCGACCAACAGTGGTTTGGATCTGACTGTGGCTGTCCCTGCGCCTTCAGAGCGGTGGGACGCTTGGCAGACTGAATGCATCTTTCGGGATCAGAGAAACACGAGACTCTTATCCAATGATCAGAATTAACAAGTCGCCACCTGCGCTAAGAATGTCTAGAACGACACTCGTGTAACACCTTGGGTAGCCATATTTATTAGTGGGTAGTCATTTCTTATGCAAGAGATAGAATGCAGAGGGGCACGTACAATTTTGAGCAGTCATAACACAGCGTCTCGTGGAGTTTACAGCCATGCATGGAGATCAGATGATGTGAAGAAAACTACCAAAAGAAGATTAGTCGTTCGCTTGAGTATGCTGACATATGTCCCTTGCATCAAGGGGGCAACATTATTACGAAGGTTATGCAATCTTGCTCCAGGACTTTCAAGACCGACGTCGCCCTCCTGCCACAGAGTCATGTCTGTTCTCGACGTCTTCAATGACTGTGGCAATAGATCTATCCTCCCAACCCCCCCCCCCCCCCTTTTGTTTTTTTCTTCTTCCAAGGATTTATCTTTGAATCCGAAACACACACCTTTTCAGGTGTCCAAGTGTCCCCTTGGAAGGTATTTCCTGGCCTCCCTGTCACTGAACAGAGCCGTACTCCTCCTGCGCTTATCAGTATGATTCTAAATGGCTTCCGTTCAGTCACCTGTGGGTCGTTCCTTGTGTGCACATGTTCGTGGGCGTCAAGCATACATAGCAGTGATATCGAGCCAGGACCCCTGACGTCTTGAGTCATTCACCTTTTCTCTCTCCCACACACACAAACATTTCTATGGCTTTCTCGGATCCGAACCATTGGTACCGAATCCTACGGACGATGCAGGCAGCCGGTGCCAAAGCGACGCTCTCTCCACCGAGGGAAAGAGTGGCGCTTGTCAGCCCTGCACGACCGCGTGGGGTAAAGGAGAAAAAAAAAAAGAGCATATCTACAGAAATGGTATAGTAATAACATGACAGCGTGCGCGTTCCAAGGGAAACTGCGGCTCGCACGAACGGACACGTCTGTGTGTGTGTGCGTCTTGTGTCAAGCATGCTTGCTAGTTCATAGGTACCACCTTTGAGAAGTTATCGATCCTTTCCAAGCAACGAGGAGCCCACTTTTGACCACAGCTGGCCAGTGGGCCTGCATCTTTTGACAGGCTGCCTGTGGGAAATGGGGAGGAGGAGAGACACCGACGTTGTACCAATAGTCTGGAATCTGTGGGTTGGCGCTCAGATACTACCTCTCTTTTTCTTTTTCTTCTTCCACTGCCTCAGCCATGGAACCACTGTATGGCAGGACAGGTGCGGGAGTATTTTGAGCTCTTTTTTTCCCTCAAGAATTGCTACATCGGGCATTGTGGCTGTTGTGTTCCGACAGTTCCGTTGTTTTCATCATTTTTTCTTCTTTTTCAGCTGAGTAGTGTCATTAAGCGCACCGCGCAAGAGGAAGGTAGCTATACTAACCACCCCCCCCCCCTCGTGCTCCCATGTGGACTATGGATCAACAAAAAGCTTCTGTGCTCTTGGCTTGACTCTCTTGGGCCCCCGGAGGCCACGTGGGCACGAAGAAACATAGCCCCATCGTGGGGCCCGGTTCAAGAAGGAGGGGCAACGCAACCATACCCCAGCTGGAGGTGTCCCAGTCCTTAGCAGCCAGATAATCTGTCTCCAAAAAATGCTGATCATATGACAAGGTGGCCCATTCGGAGAGAAGGGCTCCATCAAGGTGCTGAACAACACAGTGCAAAGAGAGGCCCCAATCTGAAACCATTGGGTTGAGAGAAGGCCGGGGTACACAGCCGATTGGGGGGGGGGGGGTAAAGGTCGATTGGGCGCAAGCGCGGTCATGTTGAAGTGAAGATTGAAAAGGGCTGCGGTCCGCCGGTGACCGACGATCAGGGCATCACCCGACGCTGCCTGACCGGGGGGTTTTACTGGCGTGGCTGGGCTTATGGCCGATCTTCATAGGTATGAATTGCCACTGTCGTAACCATTGGAGAAGGGGGGAGGGAACCGTGCATCGATTCGACTCTGTTCTCGCCCCCCAGGAGAAGGAAAAGAAGAAGAAAAGAAGGAATAAAAAATGGGGAGGGGAGGGATACTTTGCTGTGTTGGGTTGAGCACTGATTTCATGTGGCCGCGCCGAGGTCCCGTAGCCTGCTTGACGGTATCAGCTGGTAGGAAAAAGGGGGAAAAGAAAACTCTAGCGGGCTTAGATTTCAGGGAAGAGTTTAGCGGGTCTGAGTACTTTTTTCTTTTTATTCTTGCTTGGTTTTTTCTCCCCCTAATAGCGCCTTGCAGCATGTCGTCGGCGTCTGCTTACAGTGCAGCGTTACATTGCAGATAGCACGTGCAGGATGGCGCTCTGGATTTAAGTACTCTGACGTCCACTGGAGTAAGGTTTATCGTGGTTACTGCAACGTGCGTGCGTGCCTTTAGTAGCCCGCTCGCCTGGCGGGGTTGGAGGCGTGTTTCTGAAAGGGCCTCTTCTTCTCCTCCCCCTCTTCAGAGATAGAAGAAGAGGGTTGAGCTGGAAATTTTCCTTCTTTCTGCCTTCGTGGCTCGCTAAAGTCTATACTGTAGGCAAAGATGTTGTTTTTGTTTCCTTTGCTTGATCCGTTTTCTCATTGAAATGTAACAAATGATCTGAAAAAGAAGAGGAAGAAGAAGAAGAGGAAGAAGAAGAAGAAGAAGAAGAAGCAGAAGAAGAAGAAGAAGAAGAAGAAGCAGAACAAAAAAATACAAGCTTTCTCTTCACCTTTCAAGACCCTGTCGCAACCATAACCCAAAAACCGGGCACGGGGCACCCGCCTGCGGCTAACACTGCTTTTCCCGACCGATGGATGGTCGGAATCTACTCAATGTAACCCTCCACGCTTCTTGTGGTCGACCTCTTGATTTGTTTTTGGCGCACCCTTCATTATTCTTTTTTCAGCGGAAACGTTCTGGTCATCCCCCTCTTTGTGGTCTGCCAGAAGGGGTGGGCCATGGGAGGGGGAGAGGGAGGGGGGTGTGCTTTGCCTTTTCTTTTTATTCTTGCGAATGGCGTGCTCTCGCTATCTTTTGCATGGGTGACACATGGGGAATTGCGGCCGTTGAGGGTGTGGTGGCATTGCAGTAGTAGTATCCGATGCTCAAGAAGTCGGTTCTCTAGTGGGTGTTCAGGCACCTCGGGACACCCATGGACGAGGCCCGGACCTGCATGAGCAAATCTGGGTCATCAACAAGAAACCCAGTACGGTGCATTATTTGTCATTTTGCGACGAGGGCAGGGACTGAGAAAGCAAGAGGAGTGTGCAAGACAAAATCTTAATCAATCAAAACCATAGATCAAAGGTTCTAGTCTGCCATGGTACTTGTAATCGTATCGGCGCCCCCTGTAGACGTCACATTCCGTTGCAGCCCTTAAAAAAACCAGAAGGAGAAAGAGAAAAAGAACACACTCCGCTAAATGCTACCCAAGCGCGATGCAGAACAGAAAACACAAGAGAGAGTAAAAGAAAAGTATAAAAAAAAAAGAAGAGAAGAGAAACAAAGATACCCAGATAACAATGGCGAACCCCCCCCTCCCCTCTCGTTGCTTTTTTTGACTTTCGGTCTCCCTTCCCCCATTTGCCATAGATTCAGAAAAAAGAATAGACAAAACGAAGAGCCACCTTCCTTGCTTTGGAGCCCCGTCCCACCCAAGTCTCTGCTGTGTGTGGGGGAACACAGGAATCAAAAGCAACTTTCCTCGAGACACAGCCAACCACAACCTGCGTGTTCTCCTCGCAAATGATCCAGCCAAGCCCAGTTTGATGCGTTGGCCAACATGGAGCCATTCACAGTCAAAACTCCGTCCCCTCTCATGCATGTGAACCGCCGGCGGGTTGTTTTGTGTCTCATGGATCCCTGTTTGGTTGTAATTGTCCCCCTCTTCTTCTCTTGTGCCGCCTGGCTCTTCCCACACCGCTGCTGCCTCTCTGCTGAGAGGTAGTGAGAAAAGTGGCCGATGGGAATCTGCATGAGAGAAACGCCCCGCCCCCCGCCCCCCCAAATGGAACAAAAAAAAAAACAACCACACACCTTCTGCTCCAGTGTAAGAAAAGGCAAAAGAAAAAAAAAAGATCAGAGCCTGGATCTTTCGATGACCTTTTTTTTTTTTCCTTGTCTTTTTTCTCTTCCTCATTCCCTGCGCCTGCAGCCCCTGAAATGATCCGTTTTGTTTCTTGTGGTCCATGTTATTCAGACCTGAGTGGCTCGATTTCGATCAATGACGCTGTCGGCCTTCTTCTTTTTTTTTTCTTTTTTTTTGGTGTTTTTTTGTTTTTTGGTCATGTGGATCGTCCGCTCAGAAAACATGATGGTGGTGGGGGTTTCGTTCGGCGGGGTCCTTCAGCTGGGTAGTTCTGCTGTCACTGTTGCTGAGGATCGCCATATCCACAATGGAAGAAATGCCAATGATGGTCTCGTGGTGCGTTCTGTTTGTGCCGTAGTTTCTCTTCCCCCCACGAGCCTTTCTTTTTCTTTCTTCCTTTCTCTCCCCCTTCCTTACAGGCAGTGGGCAGGCTGGTTCCGTCGGTTGATCAAGTGCTCCCAGGCCGAAGGTGCCGTGGGCCTGCAGTGGGCTATACAAGAGGTCAGTGATGAGGGACATGAAAAAGTGGTGCTGTAGATGTTGCTTGATGTTTAAACCTACAGCAGACTTCCCAACCTCTGTGAATTCCAGTCAGCATTATGTCACCTTTTTTTTGGAGGGGGCGGATATCTTGTACTTGGAGCAGACAACGTACCGGTATTCATAGTGAGTGAACTGTGGTGGGCACCGACGGTGTGTTCGAGTATAAGTGGGGCACCAGATGGCAGCCTGGCCATGCCAGTGACCACATGCGTATTCGATCTACAGTCCAGGTAGATGGATATGTGAGCACTGAACATTGGGACACATCCACACCCAGAAGATGGGGTCGAAGGAGGTATAGAATATGTACCTTGTTGTATTCACACATTTTCGAGGAACGAAAGCTGAGGTGCTGGCCACAACAGATTCCCCTGGAGGAGTGTTGCTTTTTGGTGCCGAGTGTGTGTGTTTTGTGTGTAAGAGAGAGTGTAAGTGAGTAAAAAGGGCTGACCTAAAAGTCGAGACGTATGGGTGCAATCTCTGAGGTAGGAGAGCGTTCGAAGCTGGAGATGGAAATGGGAGGACAGAGATGTTTCTATTGTTGCGGCGTCACACGCGCTTTTTAAAGGCCGAAAAGGCTTCTCAATGTCGGGCAGAAACCCAATGGAATCGAAGGGGGGGAAGGCCTCGACAAGCGCGGATAGAGAGGGAGGGAGTGAGGTTGTATTTAAGCTTCGACCAGTGACACCACCGTACAGAGGCCTAGATTGGTCTGTGTCTCTTTTTTGGTAATTTTTTCTTCTTCTTATTCCTTTATTTATTTTTTTTGGTACCACTGTTAGTACTGGCTGCAGAGTAGGCGGGACCATGGGGGAAAAGCCAGGCCACCCCCCAGTAACAAAGGCCCCGGAGAGAAAGAGACATGCTGCCAGTGGTTTAGCCCCAGTTGGAACCCCTGCTGAAATCTCTATCGTTATTGATGAGCCAGTCGTCATCCTCGGGAGCGAGGGAATCGAGAGAGGACAGTAGAGTTTCTGATTCTGCAGTGTACCAGGGCCGGGGGTGGTTCGAAGAATGAACCCAGGCCTTGTCTTTGACCTGGGTCAAGGGTGAGAATGAACACCTCGCAGCCGGTGTGTGTTGCGCAGGTCGGGACCAAAGCACTGAACCCTTCCCACTCTCGGCAGCAGGGCGCTGCTTTTTGACAGACAGGGGCCGTCAGTCAGTGGGGAATGACTCCACAGACCTGCGCCTGTAGGGGTGTGGGAACACGCACAAGCCCTTGGGCTTAGGTGGCATGGGCCTGTCCCGTAGGTACTGTGGTACACAATACCTGGGCTCGATGCCCTTTCTGCTGGGATCGGAGGAGGAGCAGGGCTCATGACGAAGCTGGTGTGCCAGGCTCCCTCGGCGGCAAGATTCAGAATAGAAGGGACAGAAGAGAGAGAGAGAGAGAGACAGACAGAGACACGGACCGACGGGCGGGTAGCTGCGTCTAGGATTCATTGTGAAGTTATCAGATGACCGTCTCGTTCGTGGGGGTTTCGGTTCAAAACGAGTCTTCAGGAACCCGTTCTCTCCATTTTATGCAGGTAGTACCGGTGGTTGTACTCTGGTACTGCTATGTATAGTAAGTCCTCTAAAAATCCCTAGGGTCGACCAGCCACCGAGTCATGCTCTTAGGCGCGAAGCCGCTGCCACTGCAGAAATGCTACCAGTAAGGAAGAGAAAAAGGATCCGAATGTGGTGGGACGAGACCTTCTCCAGCGACCAGAAAAATGCATAGCCTGTACGAGTACGACCATGGCCCGATACTATAATCGCTTAGAGGCCATTCGAGCAAGGCTGCAAAGAAGCTGGGGGGGAGAGGAGAAGGAGAAGGGGGGGGGGTGGAAAGGGTCCTCCTGATTGCGCACGCAAGTGGGTGGTTGATGGCCCATTACCTTCGCCCGCGCCGATCTCGACCTGTCGGCTGCGGGAAAGTCATCCAAGGCTCTCTTGTCTCACGTTTTGTCTCCCACCTGGCAATTTATGCAGCTGGGACGGGCAGCACATAACAAGAGTTGTGTACTATTTACCAGCCAGCCAGTGACGCCAGCAACACTCAAGACCAGTTGGTTTCCACACCAAGTGGCATCTTCCGACCGCCTGGATTAGCAGCGCTTGAGACCACATGCGACGGGCACCATAGTACATTTCCCATGTACCATAGTAATGGTCAGTCGAGGCTGGGGCCAGCAAGTATACGGTACATCGGCGCCTATCCGTGGATCGTCAGGACGATTTCCTTTGGCTCGCCCAATGGCGATGGAGTGCATCGAGAATATTCACGTGAGCACTTCCAGAGCCTGGTCATGGACTCCAGGACCCAGGGAGATGGGGACGCGAGACTCCATGCTACGTGCTACTATAGTGTACAAGGTACGGAGTATATGCGACGGTGACAGGCCTCCTCTCCTCTCACAACCACCCCCCCTCTTCTCTTGTCTCTGTGTAAGTCTCCTGTCTTTCACCGAAGTGGCCGATAGGCAGCGGAGACCCATAATTAAGCAAACAGCAGGGCAAGTACTCGCCTGAGCAGATTTTCCCCTCCCTCTCCCATTCCATTTGGTTTTTAAACTTTACTGCGGGCCAGCGCCGCAATACTGCTTCCTTTCTATGTACTGTGGTGCACTATACTAACTGCCATAGTACCATAGTACATATGCTCGCTAAGTACGAATGTGGGCAACGAAAGAGAGTAAGAGAGACAAGAGTGGGTCTGACCCATGCCGTGATCCGATGGGCCAGAATCCCAAAAACGCTCCTTGCCTTTGTTGGAGTGCTTGCATGATGGCCTCCACACCGGTGAGGGAGAGACTACTATCTACGTAGTAGGGTCGACCCAACACGTCCTTTGGACCAGTTTTGGAGGCCATACACCGTCCCGAGGTAGTGGTCGTGGTCTTGGTCATGGCCGTCGCCGGGTACAGCGGCCGAATACGCCTCGCAATTCCGACGGCTGGGACTCCCAACCGAGAAGAGGCGACTCGTGTAAGTGTGTATGTATCATGGATGTGTTTGTGTTTATGTGCGTGGTGACTCAGAAAGTTGCCAACCATGTCCATGAGAACCCACGCGGTCGGGTCCTCCCTCGTTGCCTTCGTCCTGATGATTATTGGATGAGGGGCGTTGATCTGACGGACAAGAGACAAGAGGCAGAGAGAGTCTGTCTGACTCGAGCACACCCTTGGCGGTCAAGGTCAAGTCTTGCGCATGGCATTACCAAAAGTAGCCTATCGGCGCATCCGAATGTAGAAGAGGGGGGGGATGTTGCCATTCCCTCCTGGTGCTTCGAACTTGTCTACTATGCACTTGATTTTGTGTTTGTGTGGGTATGTGCGTACGTGTTGGCGAATGGGGCATCCGATGCTCTTCTGTTTCGCATTCTGGACTGCCGCCTTGACACTGTTTCGAAGGGGACAACAAAAGCAACATGTTAGCTAATGTGAAGCACAGATGTCCTTTACTTTTCTCTTCGGATTTTATTATTGTTATTATTATTACCATGACTCCCAAACAAGCGTTACACCGAGGCTTATCTGTCACAACATCGGCAAACTTCCTCGCTTAGCCGCCGATATCGACCACTACAACCTCTTGGCCTTTTGCTGAGGAAGCACCAAAATAATAATCAAAAAATCAAATAAACCGATGTGCATGTAATGTTGACGTTGATCACGCAGTAAGAGCGGCAGGGGACCTTTCTCGGCCTCGTTCGACTCTCTAGTATGGCCACAAAGATTTCCTTGCCAGGGGCTCCACCGAGACTCAGAGCTGAGAATACAGCCCAGCACCACTCCTCCCCCCAGTCCAAAGGCGAAAAAGGGTAAGGAAATGGAAGAAAGAAAAAACCAGAGACTTGTTCAAATGCCTACGTATGAGCAATCGAAGAACGGTACCTGAATCACCATCCAACCCCGCCCCCCCCCCCCTTCTCTCTCTTCGCCTCCTCCTCCCAGCAAGGGCCAGTATCCATGATCAATTGTATCGGATTTTTCTAGAAGCCGATCATTCAAGTCACCCCACTGTCTTTCTGAGGCCCGGCAATCTGCGAACAAGTGGAACTGGTCCCCACACAGCACTTTGGAGCAGCAAGTCAGTCTTGCGCAGGGCTGCTGACCCTCTGTCGCCGGCGGTGAAGATTAATTTGCTCTGTCAAGAAGAAAGCCACATGAGTGGACTATCCGGCATACTATCAGATCTCTTCGCTTCTTCTTCGTCTCGGGGTGCACAGCATTTTCTTTTCTTGTTTTCTGTGTGCTGGGGATTGAGAAGCAGACAGATAGATGTCCATTCATGCTCTCTCTCGGCTGCTCCAGAGAACGCAACACATAAAATCATGTCTGCCTGACCGCCTTGACAACAATAAGCCTCAGTACTATCTTGTCAAGGCGCCCTTCCCCTCTCCTCGCCCCACGCAAAACTTTTCCGTGTCATGCGTGGTTTACGGACTGACTGTCCAAGAAAGAATTATCATACAAGATATATTATGGTTCCTGCTAAGTAATGTATTTTTTACTTTAGTTCTCTCCACTCTGTTAGGAGTGTCACAAAGTAACAAAGAAGGTCGGCGATGATGGTTGAAAATGTCCAAAACTACATGGGCGTGGTGTGCTGACAATTGTCCAAACCGCCCCGGTCTCACCCGGAAATTTCAACCCCATGGTAGCCTGTCAGTCAAGTGCCTGGGGCCCTGTTCACACGCACCTGGGCATGTCCTGCAGGTGTCAACCATGGGACCCGCGGTGGACCCCTTGCGAAAGAGAAGAGAAGAGAATAGAAGAAGAAGAAGAAGAAGAAAAAAAGAGAACACGAGCAAGGGCCAACCTATACTCCGTACGGCGAAAGGGCCACCCCAGCCCCCATTATGATCCACGCTCACTTTCGTTCCAGGGCAAAGGCCACCTTGTGTGCCTTGATTTATGCCGGCACTGATGGATGATGCAGCTTGGGTGTTCTGAGAGCGGGTCTAGCGCACGTTGAGAGGGTTTATTGTGGAGTCTCTCAGTGCTCTCTGTCTTTTTACCCTCCGTGCTGGTCTTTTCTTTCAGGGGTCAAGGGTTCTACGACGAAACATCGTGAAGGGGGGGGTTGGGAAGAAAAGTGGTTTGGGGAGCCAAACAGTGTCAAGCGAGTCGATCTCTTTTTGCTGTTCTCTCTCTCAGGGATGGGGAGAGGGGCAGCGGACGATGATGAAACCAGCAGGCATATCAATGCAGTGACAGACAGGGCGTCTGAGGAAGGGGAGAGGCGGGTGAGAATCGAAAATTCCCGAATGCCACATGTTGTGGGAGAGCGATCAGATAAGGAGAGAAACGTGACATGGACAATAATAACGCGCGGGGTGGAACAGCACGCAGGGGGCTCACTTTGCCTGGATGGCTGTCCCTGAAGATGAAGGGTTGAGGGGTTCGTTTGTTCGTGATACGAGATGGTCTATCCAGATAAAGTCTACACGATATCGGTTGAACGGCAAACTTTGTGATGAGCCAGGCCGTGGTCAAAGCCTTCTGATGCCTGCCGTGCGCTTTCGACCAGACCAGACAAAGGCATCCATCCACTTTTTCAATAGCCATTTCCGACAGGAAACGATATCGGAGCTCGCGTCTTCTTGCATTTCTATTCATCGGCACAGAGATTCCGCCCAGCACTGGCTCTTTTCCCTCGATCATTTGGCCAGCTAGCCATCCTGGTCTGCGCAGAGGCAGAGACAGAGCCTTACGAAGATCCCCAATTGCAGCGCCAGGGGTGGTAGAGCAGCTGGCTCGATGAAAACCCGACCTAGACGACGTCCTCCGTTTGTGGAGTTGATTCTTGGATCATTCTCCTGTGTTATCCTCCCGTGTAAGTATGCATAGGTAGGAGAGCTACTATTTGCGAAGTCTACCTCAGATTCACATGGTAAGGCGAGACTGGCACGTTTTAAGGTTGTGGTGGAGCAGCAGAAAGAGAATTGCGGGTCGATATATTGTCAAAACGAAAATATATACTTTGGCTGCGTCAAATTTATTTTTCTGAAACTTTGGCTGCCTTCTCGAGTCAGTTCTCTACTGTTACTTCATCGGGCTGTTCCTCACTGGATTAGTGCCTCACTATATGTATTTGATCAAATCATTGAACGGTTCACTTCTAGAGTAATTCCCTGACTGTATTATGTAGAATAGAATGTCAGTGGAACCATACACTTATTTTCCTGATTATCCAGTGTATTCACAAGGGGTTATACAAAGGAGAAAAATGAAAGAGAGGGCAATAGAGAGAGAAAAGAGGCTTGTGGCCTCTACCATTTTCACGCCTTGATGTGTAAATCTACTTCGATTCCCTGAACTATTAAGCAGACACATGTGTATGTTGCATTCAGGTCACAACTACCACCCATGAAGTATCCAATGCACCATTTCCAGAGTTTCATCTCACATGGAATCTTTCCTCCAGGGGCCCACAACAATAGTACTCCTCCCTCAAAGTACTGTCAACCTCCACACCCAATTACGTTACCAAACCCAATCACTATGTTGACAGTCCTTCTAGGTCACACAGTGCCAAAGCATACTTGGTCGACCTGTATCCAGACTTTCGTCTCGGAGTTTGATTGTATCTCCGAGCTTTGCACAACAGTCCTGAGACCTCCAAGTGATGGCCAATATCGCAGAGCAGTGTCCCCAACAAACGCCATTCACCGAGGAAGAAGCGCCTGCCGTTCTGCAGCCAAGACACGGTCCTCCCGGCTCTCGTACCAGTACTCGGAGCCTGCAAGGACAACAAGAAGTAGCCGCAAGATTCTGTATCTCGGAAATGAGTTAGTGGGTGTGTACATGGTCATGTTTCCTCCATTCAACATTGATTTTATTTAAAGAAAGAAAGAAAAGCTGGGTCAGAGATTGTCCTCGAAACTTACGGCAGCGCAACAAACAACCCCATCCCGATCTCCTTGCTTAGCGAATACCACGGTCCATGCCAATACCACAGCCCGTACCAATCTCTCGAGCAGACCAACATCAACAGGCCAATGACATCGCCTGCCATGAGCGTGGGCAGGGCGGCGAGGCCCCATCCTCGCGCCTGTCCACACAGACAGGCGAGTTCTGTCGCGTCCAACATGATGAGGTAGCCGAGCTTAAGTTTCATTAGCAACGAGGAAGACGAAGAAGGAGGGGGGGAGGGGGAGAAAGTCGAATTCTAGCTTGAAATCTCCCGACTCGGAGAACGATTTCGCAACAGGAGGAGTTGGTGTAGATCTTACGATGAGGTAGCTGGTGGTATAGTAGTCACCATCGTGGTTGCGGGCCACGAGCAAAACCAGGCTGATGCATTCCAAGGCCAAGGCGAGGAGACGCGTCACGCCGGGCACCAGGCCCAAGCGACGAAAGGCGCCTATGTAATACATTATTTGTTGATGGTGGTGTCGACGCAGTTCGTAAGGAGACTCTCAAACATCCTCTGTTTTTTGTCTTTTTCCTTCTTCTTTTTTCCTTTTCTTATTTTCTTCCGAAATACTCCTTTCAGACCGAATTGAATTTCCAGATTCCAAAGTATCTATTTATTCCCGGAGGAAGTGGTCTTCTTGCTTGTCCCACGCACACGTGCAAAGCTTACGCAGCGCGGCATCCAAGCCGTAAGACGGGTCAACTATCGCTTATCATTACCCGGCTTCAGGGTCAGCATTCCAGTGCCGACTGCCCTATTTGGAACATAGACACGTCGCCAATGCAGTTAATAGTAGGATTGATTACAAAATGAAGCAATCGCGAGGCTGGTTGCGCTGCAGATTGCAACATGTTGCGCCACATATCCGTGCTTGAGATTTTGGCTCTGCCAAGTGATGATGAGCCTAGCTCGAAGGGCTGAGCAATGCTTTGCCTACCTTCATTACTAGTCCGTGCTGAATGCCGCCATGAATGGGCTGTGAATGCAATGCATACTTCAGACAAAAGACCTGCTCAGCTTCTGGATTGCTCGACCTTTGTTCATGGCTGTCGTTTCCAAGATGCTTGTCGACGCCAGCATTACCTTCCAGCTTGTTCCCAAGCTCGTAACATTGTACATACGTAGCGGATCCTGGATAGGCGCAGTCCGTCCCTCAACACCAAGTTCAAGGGATGTGTAACAATCTCTCTCGGAATCCTCCTAGACCCCAGTTCCAGAGTCTTCCAGAGAGTCCTCGAGAGGTTTCTAGAGTCTTGACGAACCCGCTCTTCTTGAGTCTCGAACCACGATGAGCACTGTAGGACTTCTCTCTCTGCATGCCACCCAGATGCTCATCAGACCAGCCTCGTGAACTGCATCGTGCGAAATGCCGCTCCCCTAAAATGCGTCCAGAACCTCCCCGCCTTCCCGTACGTAACATAGGCAGCCCCGAACGCAAGCCCCGTCAGATGGCAGGCAAAAGCCACGTCCAAGGGCAGGCGCAGGTATCTCCACAAGCCCAAGACGCCGAGGGTCTCGAAGCCCACAGAGAACTCGAGCAGATCCCGGGCGGAGAAGGACCAAGGAAGAGGAAGGATACGGAGGCGTGAGTCGGGGCGCTCGGTACACCAGGCGGCGAAGATGGTGGAGACGACACCCGAGAAGCCCACGCCGGGGCGGAACCTGTGCGACTTATTGGGCCAGAACCTGGTTGATATGTGGCTGCCGAGAGCGGAGATGATGCCGGCTGACAGGTAGAAGGCGGCCGTATGGGTCCCAGAGCCCATGAACTGCGATGAGTTGGCCAGGTTGTGGCCAAAGTTGAAGAGGACGAACATGTTCATGAAGAGGTGCAGAGGGCCGGTGTGGACGAACGAGCTGGTGAGGAGCTGTCTGTTCCTGAAGGGGCCTTCGACGGGTGTGTGTGCAAGACCCAGCACGAAGCGCCTTGCAGGGTCTGAGGGTGCCCTGGAGAGGGCCAAGGTGGTGAGATTGACGGCGGCCACGCTGGCCACCACCTGGTCAGGTCCGCTGAGGCTGTTCCAGACGGAGCTCGGCGAGGTCACCACGATGGGCCCCCCGCTGAAGGGTGAGCTCGAGACAGACTCCTGTGTCCTCCTCCTCGCCCTCAACTTCCGCAACCTGTCAGCCTCGATGCGGTCAAAGGTCAGGCCACGACGGCTCTCCTTGCTGTACCCCTTCACATCCTGGTAGACGTCCCAGGCGGCAAAGGTGAAATAGATGGTGCTGACGGCGGTGATGGACCAGATTGCGGGCCCGACGATTCGGACAGGGTGCTGTGACCAGTTGACTTGCTGATAGCTCCACTGTTGGGCGTATCTGCGGGCGCAGGATGCTCTTATTTGGTGGGAAGAGGAGGAGGAAGAGGAAGGAGGAGGAGGAGGAGGAGGATAAGCGCCAAGGCTGCTGGGCAGATGCGGTCGGGCCCTCAGGCGTGAGCAGAACATGACCTTTGTCAAATAGTCTCTGCGCTCGTCCTCAGATAATCAACTGGCTTATGATTTTGCCGTGCCCTGGAAGAGCCAGTTACTGTTGAGGCTGAACTCTGTGTCAAGTCTTGAACTTTCCAACAAAGGTTGTCAGGCGAGCTGGGTGACCTTGGTGCATGGAAAAGGCAGTGACCCCACAGCCCTTGTGGCTGATTACCTCAGCAGCACTTCCCCCAACCCATCACCACTGTCTACTTAGTAGTGCTTACTGGCCACAGGGGGTTCCCCTGGGCGCAGACTCACTAACTTATTCAGCACTTACAATCCACTGTGACCAGTTGACAAAGTGGTTTGCATAGTGTATTATTTGTAGTAGCAATGTATGAGAAACTTCTCTTTACTCCGACATGTAATAGTGATAATCATTCTACTAGTAAACACGTCTGTCAAGGAACATCTAGCACAATGAGACAGACTGCCTGCTCATCGTCAATAACTACTGGAGGACAAGTATAATGTAATTAATGGGAACCTCTCCCCACTGGTAGCAAGTTCTCCTCCTCCTCCTCCTCCTCCTCCTCCTCCTCCATTCTTGTCCATATCACCAAGCCAAAGACCACTGAGCTCCTTCTGGTCACCCTCCGGAGTGTTCCAGAGCATGATTGTGACCATCATCCTGGGTCTTTCTCTCTTCCCTTCTCTCGAGAGCCACCATCGTTCTGTCATTTTCATCATGGCCGCCAACATATTGACCCTATCAACCTATCACAGTGGATCTGAACTCCAGTTCCCTCAACTGATGTCCCTTTCTGTGAAGCTGCGTGATATTATCTACCATTGCATATGCCACGTGAACAGTGGGCACATCACCTTCGAGATCGAAAGCACAGATAGTTTTCATCACAAGGGCGACTTTATCCGCTTACTGCAACAGCGTTGCCCCATCAAGATCGCCCACTCATACTCCCTGTGCACTAAGAAAGTCAAATATCATCTCAAACGCTTGTGGCGCAACCCTGTGCAGAAAGAGATCATGTCTGACGGACAAACAGAGGAAAATGATTAGCTTCAGCACCAACCATATATAATAAGCAAGGGCAGTTCCCCTCAAAGAGAAAGCGTTATATGTAGCAAGACAATAGTGTGAGAGTATGTGAGAGAGGGTGAGGGTGAGGAAGATAAAGGACACTCACCCAGAGTCCAGGTCGTCCACAGTCTGCAAAGCCGCAGCCCCCGTAAAATTTGCACTCAGTCCATCCAGCAGCCCAACACAGTCCCCCCCACAAGCAGAAGTATCATAGCGCCCCTGCAGCACAAGAGTAGGCGCCGTCACGTTCCCATAGGCAATCTCCGTCGCCAGTAGCGTCGGCAGCTCCGCCACGGCAAACGGCTCGCCCTCCACCTCGTACGCCCACTCTGCGACGCGCCGCTCAAAGTACGGGCTCGCAAAGTACGCAAACGTCTCGGCGTACAGGTCTGACGAGGTCAGGTAGCCCGTGCCCAGCGCGCCCCAGCGCGCCGGGTCCTGGAGGCTGGCCACGCGGAACCCTACGCCTGCGCCGAAGGCGGCGAAGTACTCGAGGGTGCCGCTGAAGCCCGTGAGCACGAGGCCGTCGACCGAGGTGGCCAGCGTGGCGGCCGACTGCACGGAGATGTATGCGCCGTAGCTGTGGCCTACGAGGACGACCTTGTCTGCGCCGGTGGTCTGGCGCGCGTATGTGACGAGGGAGTTGAGGACGGATACCTCGACTGGGAACTGGGCATCGGAGTAGGCGTCAACCCTGCTACAGCTGTCAGTGGTGATTCTACAGATAAAAGAGAGAGAGAGAAAGAATTCCCCCTCATTCAAGCAAGAGGAGCGGGCTTTGGTGCTTTTCTGTTTTCTTTCCAGTGAGACGCACTTTGAAGAGGAACCGACGCCAATGCGATCATAGTTTAGCACAGAATAACCGGCGGCCAGTGCAGCATCCACAAAGCTGTACTGTTCTGCGTTGGACAAGTTAGGCTGAAAATACCTGCTCTTATTGTCAGTAACATGCAACATCCGTGGAGGCGAGTGGGAAGGGATCGCAAGTCATTGTATTACAATTTCGACTCGATGATGCCATGTGTCACCACGAGCATTGTGCTTCCCGTGCCGCACAGAGTCGCCGCTACGGTGTAGTTGCCCCCAACCGCCGAGGATGTCTCGCCAACGATAGGCAGAGGGTCATCTGGCGTACCAAAGTCTCTGGCTGTCAGGTTGAAAGTGAGCGCAGCCGCATCCCAGTCGTCTTGGATGGTGATATTCAGGATGGACCGCTTCTCAGAGACCGTGACTGGTATCTGAATGTTGGAGCACTGGTTGTCTTCCGTTGCACGGATTTCCGAAGTTGGCAAGGCGGTGATGGACGCCGCGAGGGCGAGAGCAAGTATGAATATCTGCATAGTGATGAGAGTGTTATGGTCCAACAAAATTTGAAAAGCGCCTTGATGCTGTCTTGTCACTACATGGTTCAACATTGGAAAGCCGTCACGGGCTCATTTTATATCTTTCGACCTCCCTTCATCACCTATCCAGTTATTACACAATTGAAGAAGATAGTCGTCTGTCTATCTTAGTGATCATGTCTTCCTAGCGTAGCCAGTGGAGCATATGCGATGAGGCCAGTTACTCAGCAACCTTCCACTGGCGGTTTAACCGTGGAGTAGGCTCCGCTCTCTCACAAATCACATCTTCCATAATGAGGTTTGTCCGTGGTGCCTAGGGAAATTTCGACAGGCTTACAAACATTGCTTAAGTACTACTAGTAGAATCCTGTGTCTTCTGGGGTGGAGACTAGCTTTATCTCGAGGGTAAGCGATGTTGATAATCAGGAACGCCATGTGCCTTTGACAGTAGTAAATAGAGTGCTTACCCAGCTGCAGTGTTAGTGATTTATCAGTCGCAGGGTGGTAATAGGGTGCAGCGGCTAAAAGTTAACACGATGTATCCACTACTTGTTTCCATAATCATCTGTGTCTACCGCTGCTGGTGAGATTCAAGCGGCCAGGCGGTACTATGGATCATGCCTTAAACGAGTGCTTGTGAGCATCTAAGGAAAGGCGCCTCTATTGTCAACTAGCTAATTACCTCATTCAGAGCATCACAACAAGTGATCCAACATCTCGTCCAAATATCAGAAGTGAACGAGCCCACACCAGAGGGCAGTAGAAAGCAAAGTCAAGATCCCGCAACCCATCAAAAACATTGGACACCTTGTGATCACTTACCTCGAGAGTCACATGTATTCATTTGTCATGAGTCCACTACCAAGCGCAAGTAATACAAATCCTCTCAATTTCAAGATCCAGTCTTGCTACCGCAGAATTCAACAGACAGAGCTTCTATAAGAAATCATTCGAAGACATGATGACGTTCTACATAGAAAATCCTGACGGGTATGTCTGCATTAGCCTTGCATCCAGGCCGTCGCCTCCCGTGTAACTGTTCCTGATGTCGCCTACAACATCTGGAACTCCCCCCAGCAGTCTATTTTCTCATTCATTCATCCTGTGACTGTTTATTACCAGAAACATAGTGACCATACTAGATGCCACCAGACAGATGGACATGTCAAGTTGGGCATCACATCGATACTGTGGTTACAACGATGCCCACTCAGCGTGCTTGCAAATTATAGCCGCCCCTCAGCGCATATCTATCATATGCCCATGCGGTTTCAAGACAATTGTGTCTAGTCTCCGATTCAAGAGCTCCATTGGGTACACACATCTTAGAAACGCAAGCCAGCTCGACGCTATTCACTGCCGCATCAATCACTGCCCGCACCCAATTGTGGCAGGACCGCTACGCCAAGGGACTCGGTTCTGCCCCGACGCGAGCTGAACCCACGACTATGTATCAGGTTTCTCATGTTTGCAGGGATTGAACCCCTCAGCTATGCGACGATAGGACAACCATATTCACGAAGACCGTTGGACTGCGATGTTTAAGACCAGAGCTAAAGAAAGTCAGGTTACAGCCGATATCAAAAACAGGGAATTGGGAGCCTGAGCCCAACACACACACACACAAGTATTATAGTACACACACATATGGTGGGATGACTCGCATGGGTGATCGACACACAGCTGCTGTTGGTCAGGCTGTCTTGCCACCAAGACGATTGGGCAGGTTTTGCTTTTTTTGCGGGTTGCATCCCGGCGACTGGAACCACTTGGCGCTTGTGTACACACGCAGTAATTAGACACACACACACACACACACACATCTCCCGAGGATAGACGTCACAGGGTCGCAGCGTGTTTTCTTTTCCTTCTTCGTGAATGTCCTGGCCAGCAAGACCATTTTTGGAAAAAAAAGCAAAGACTGCCAACGATCTCACAAGCAAGCAAGCAAGCAAGCGCGCGCAGTGGATACTTTTGTTTGCGTTTCTTCAGTGAAGCAAATTAGGTTAAAGCGAACATGGCCCGAGCCGACAGTCCCAGCCGTCAACAACGCCCATCACGTCGGGACCGTGACCGAGAGAGGGACAGGTCAAGAGACGGAGGAGGAGGAGGAGGAGGAGGAGGAGGAGGAGGAGGAGGAGGGAAACGAGACAAATATGACTCGCCACCTGACTACGAATCCGACAGAGACACCCACAAGTCCAGGCGGAAACCAGACCGGGATGAGCTTGACGTGAATCCCCGCAGCCGTGATCAAAGGCCAACCTTGAGAGGGCGGCGACCCTCCGCGTATCACGACGGCTACCACACAGAAGGGTATTCCGGCAGCGACCCTGATGACGACCGATCCCATTACCCCCCGCGCTCATCAGGCAATGGCCATCGCAGCAGCGACAACAAGAGCAACAACAGGAGGCGCGCCCACAGCGAGACGCGAAAGGCGCCAGAGAGGTCGAGAGAACGCCGCCGACGCAGCCGCAGTCGAGGAGGAGGAGGAGGAGGAGGAGGAGGCGGCCATCGTGCCCCGACCGAGGAGGACACGAAGCAGAAGCGCAACCAGGCCATCAAGGCGGCGCTCACGGCGGGCGCTGTGGAGGCGTTCCGGCAGCGCAACCGGCGCGGGGAGTGGGTCGGGCAGAAGGGCATGCGGGTGGCCACGGCGGCGCTGTCGGCAGGGCTGATCGATGCCGGGCTGGAGAAGAAGGAGGGTGGGCAGGGCGGTGGGGGGTCGGTGGGTAGGCTGATGCAGTCTACGCTTGGGGGAATACTGGTTGATAAGTTTGCGCATGGGGGGCGGAGGTGAATGCTTATTATTGGGAGGAGGGGCTGTGATGAGATGCTGGCAGGATATGTCGAACTCTTTTTTTTCTTCTTTTTCCTTTTCTTCCTCTGACTCCTCCTTCCCCTTCCACTTCCTCACTCCTGTCATTGATTCATTCGAGTTTATAATTTTTTTTATTTTTTTTTTTAGCCTGGTGCTTTTTCATTCTTTCTTCTCTGCACGATATAGAAAAGGTGGGGTGGGATATTTTGGATGTTCATGACCAGATCAACTCATGATGCACGCAGTACCAATAATATAGAGGCTCATGGCGGTTCTTAGCAGGCTTATAACGAAACACTAGCGCAAGATCAGTTATCGTTATATTAGATTTCAACCCAAAGTTTGTTTTTGTCCTTCATCATTTGTTCGTAGCCTTCATACCATGAGTGACGGGAAGGGGGGCGACCTTACATTGATTTAGATGTTGAGTTTCAGGTATGCCATGTTCGGACATCGTTGCTGCCAAGTATTCATGTCACAAGACGGGCAATATATATTCAGGAGGTACAAGTGAAGAAAAAATAAGCTGAGACTCATGAATGAGAGGTGATGATGGTATTATGTGATTAGATGATATGTCATTGTATTTATTGTCATATTGATGCCCAGCATTCTCCGTGCCGCCGTCCGATTGTGACATGGCAGGCTCCATTCTATATTCTATAAGTGGTGTGTTGTCGTGATGTTGTTGTACAGCTTTGAAAAGGTTTGGTGTGTTTGTACAAGCCAGCTTAGACCGGCTGAGGAACCTTAATCCTCCTGGCTCCTCTCTCTCATGCCCGCAGTGGTGTGGCGGCGGCAGTCATTCGTCAGATATGCCTGCTAACGGGGCCAATGTCTAACCTCCAGCGCTGGTAGGTCTCGACTTCTCTCTCGGAGATCTGGCCGCGGCGTCTGCGTTGTGATTTTTGTGTGGGCACTATGGATGATGAAATATTAGTAAGAGCGTCGTCGACAGTTGATCAAGATGGTGAAGAGTAGGGTCATGTGGACGAGATGTTGATAAAACGTACGGTGTTGTGAGATGTGGTCATCAAGGATATCAGACTCGTCGACAAGCTGAGCCAGGCCTGGGGCGGCAAGCAGAGGGGTTGGTGGCGAGAGGCCGGAGGATGCGAGGGTGTTGTACTCTATATAAGTTATATAATGTCAGTAAGTTGATGTTCGATTTTTTGTTTTGTTTTTTGTTGTACATGGTATGGTAATGAATAGGACATTACTACGTACGTGGAGAGGGCCTTCGCTCCGTTGCGCTGATCAAAGTTGGCTGAGGGGGAGAAGCCATGACAAGGCTGAAGTTGTCTTGGGTATGTGTGTATGTGGAAGCGTAGATCTGGTGGTGACCAAAGATCGGTTCGAGTCTTTGAGGTGTTGAATTGGATGTTTGGATCAGAAAGAAAAAAGAAAGAAAAGAAACAGGACAGATTGGGAAAAGGGAAACGGCGCTGGCCCTTTTTCAACCACAAGTCGGCCCAGTTCAGCCCACCTCACGATCTCCCGGAACCAAGCCCGCCCACACACACCCACTACGCAAGCAACACACACACCCACACTCACACACCCAACGATGATTGTGCAAGAGAATTTCGATCGTGGGCTACCATCGGACCTTTCCACAAAGGACCGGGGCGGGTCACCCCAAAGCCCAGACCATAGCAGATCCCACTAATGCAGGCCCCAAAGAGGGAGGCTCCGCTTCTTCCTCTCTGCTGTGGCACTGTGGCTCTCTGCTTTCAGTGCTCTTCTCTACCCCACCCCGCCGAGGGGGCCCACAAAAGATGAGGCGGAAATCTTCTGATTATGAGGACATTTCTGGCGCTACTGGACCTGGATCTTGCATCGATTGCCCGGCAGTCCGGGAATCGTTGCAACAATTCGTGTCGCGGGGCCCCGAAAGAGAAGGGTTCACTATAAAATAGAAAAATATAAGCGTGGTATGCCGGATGCAGCAGCAAGAAAAGAGAGGGGCGGGACCCGCCGAGATCTGGTCTCGTCTCAGTTTAGTTTGTGTGTGTGTACGTGTTTTTTCTCTCTCTCTTCCTCTTTGGGGTGCCTTGTTCATCATCATCTTATGATTCTTCTTCATTCGCCTTCCTTGTATGATACCTAGATACTACGTAAAGTGTGAAGTAGTATGCGTACTGCATTAGTGCATGCATGTCTATAATGAAGGTCGAATGTTTGCGGCTCTCTCCTACTTGAGAACCGCGCATTTCCGAAAGTGCAATGGGATGATTTCTATGCGCGTGTGTTGCACTTCGTCATGATCCACTGACTCAACGCAATACGGGAGGGTGAGAGGCTACTGGCTAGCTTGCCACACACCCAAAAACGATGTCATCGTGATCATGGTATTGATATGCATTATTCAGCGGTTGTCTTTGAACAAAAACACTGGAGCCGATGTACTATGATGATGATGCTCCAATATACATAGTGCTCGACCACACACTACTTGCCCTTCCTTTCCTGCTTGCCTCAGCTTGCTCTCAAATGATGCCACGTCTGCAAAAGACCAAGCGACAAAACTTGTGGTCCCGGTCAGCGAGGCAGTGCATTTGCTGATCGGCATGGACGTTGCATAATCAAGAAGGGAATCCATATTATAGAAGCTGTGGGTACATACAATACATGCACTGTACTGTAGGAGTGACCAAGAGATAAGGTTTCGAAAGAGAGACTATCGTGGCATCGTCTCATCCAAAAGCCATACAGTAAAGGACTCCTCTCTTAGTCTTTCTCCTCTTTTTTCCCTTCTTCTTTTCCTCTTTCTTTTCTGTTCCGACCCGGGGCCACTGACGGCGAGAGAGACGTAGATACAGATTTCCTCCGCACATTGCACAATATCATCTTCTTTGTGAACGCAGAATTACGTTAGTACGTGCCCAATTGATAGTCAATTGATAGTCAAATCACTGTATGACCTCCCCCAGCGAGAAAGTATGTACCATGTACTTTGCCGCCGAGGAATCGATCTCGATCAAGCGAGTACGCCAACATTCCCCTCCTCCGCAGATCATCCAGTCTTTTTCAAGACCAACTCAGCACATACACGCATACAAATCATACCATGCAGCACCCCGAGAGTGTAAGGGGCAGCAAATAAAAGTTTCCGACTGGCTGGCTTAGGATTTAAAATGATGATTCCCGGTCTATACAAGCAGCCAGAATCTGCAAAACGGGCGACTACTGCAGTGTGCGTACATTTACCCCGGCGAGTTGCTCTGCGGGCTCTGCGGGATGTGAGTGGGTCGATATGGAGACCATAACAGCGCTACTGCAGGACCTTCTCCTCCTCCTGCGCGGGGTTAGGAGAGTCGTGTGAGAAAAAAGAATGGGGGAATACAATGATGTGCTGGCCTTGGGAGAAGAAGGTTCGGGAGACGAGACAGTTGTCCTCCTTCTAGCCAGTGTTCTCCCCAGTGTAACTATCTCTCTCTTCCCCACGGCAACAACGGCAACAGAGAGGGAAAGGTACGTACCATAGTACCATAGTAATCAGTTGCGTGGCCTCTCGTGTCAGTCTTTTGTCTCAGCCAATCGATGGAGAAGCTCGACTGTATTCTGGAATCTCATGTCGCCAAGGGCAGCGAGACGCCAGGCAAAGACAAACTGCTGGGCGCAGCCTTCGTGGTCGTGAACAAAGATGGTGCGTAGAGCCAAAGTGATGCACATGCACACATACACATATACATACACACACGGCTGACCAGGTCTTCTCACTATTCATAAAGGTGTCATCTACGAGGGCTCGGCAGGACGAAACCTCTCGTCTGCAGACTCGCCGCCGTTCACGCCCGACTCCTTCTGCTGGGTCGCATCCATGACCAAGCTCGCCACGGCGGCTTGTGCCATGAGGCTTGTCGAGAGGGGTCTGGTCGGGCTCGACGACGACGTGAGACCTCTGGTCCCGCAGCTGGCAGAGGTCAAGATCCTGAGGGGTTTCGTCGGGAACGATGTGCCTTTTCTAGAAGAGAACTCCACCCCGATTACGATGCGGTAATTCTTTTTCTTCTCTTTACTTTTGTTTCTCTCTTCTTTCGTTCTTCTGCTCTTTCATACAATCAAGTATTATAATAAGCAACCATACTTGGGGCGTCAGTAGAAGCTGATCTCTTTTTCTGCTCTCGCGCCTCTCCTTTTCTTCCCACATAGCCAATTACTCCTCCACACTGCAGGTTTTGCATACGGCAACGGAGACCCAGACCTAGCCAGGTGGGCAAAACACATCGGACGCCGCCACGATGATCTCCAGGGGACAGTGGAGATCTGGAACACGCCCCTGAAATTCACACCGGGCCAGGGCTGGTGCTACGGCAGCAGCATCGACTGGGCAGGCCAGGTGATGGAGAGGCTCACGGGCAAGAGGCTCGATGAGTGCATGGCCGAGGAGATCTTTCGGCCGCTGGGCATGAACGACACCACGTTCCGGAGGGCATTGTTGCTCCCACGGATTGAGGGCCGGAGTGTGCCGACTGCGAACCGGAACAAAGCATCGGGAGAGCTCACGACGGGAGCGCATTTCATGCCTGCCGACCCGGAGGTGGACAGTGGCGGTGGTGGGCTGCATACGACGGCTGCAGACTATGCCAAGCTGCTGCAGGCCCTACTCAAAGCTTCTTCGTCATCGTCGTCGTCGTCCTCGTCCTCGTTGGCTGGGCCAGACGACAGCGGGCTGTTGTTGATGAAAAAGGAGACGGTGGACGAGATGTTCAGGCCACAGCTGACAGACAAGGAGCGGCGCTGGCTTGAGTTCATCACAGGCCGGTTTCACGATGGAATGACCCCGGATTTTGAACCAGGGACACCGCTGGACCACGGCCTCAGCGGAGTTATAAATATGGCAGACTCCGCCGGCAAGAGGAGGAAGGGGAGCATGATGTGGGCCGGGATGTGCAACGCCCACTGGTTCATCGATCGTGAGTCAGGCATCGGGGCTACCTTGATGACCAACGTGCTGCCCCAGCCCGATCCGGTTGTTGTTAGGGTGTGGGATGAGCTGGAGCGGGCTCTGTACAGTGCCCTGCCGTCTCTTCTTGATCATCCTTGTCACCATCTCGCCTCTCAGCATCTGTGATTGGAAATGGAAGAGGAAGAACAGCGAACTGCCTTTCTCTCTCTCTCTCTCTCTCTCTCTGAATTCTTTTTTTTTTTAAGCTCACCCCCATCAAACCATGGAGTGTGCCGTACAACTGTAGTGTACACTCACTCTTCTATTGGGCAAAATGAACGAATGGGCTTTGCCCTCCCCTCCCCTCCCCATAAAATCGCTCTGGAGCCGAAACTAGCCTTGCCCATATTATGGGTCAACGGACCTTTTTTTTTTTCTTGCCTCTTCAAAACCCCGACGACTCCATCGAGTCCAGTCAGTCAGTCGACAGTGCTCCGCGTGTGTGTCCTCGGACCACAGCTCCGTTCTTACTCAGCGTGGCGACCTTGAGGGGAGGCGACAAGTTGTCTCGGGTGTGTGGGTGTCAGTATGTGGAACCCATTAGCCAATTCCTCTCGTGACGCATCGAAGAGTTCTCGTTCTCAACGGCCGCTGATAAATTGTACTGTAGAAATGTATGTCATCTTTCAGTTGTAGTATGACGTTTTGATAATGATCCAGTTGGTCGTAATATGGGTTTCTCAAGTGCTTTCTTTCTTCTTTTTGGGGCTCTAAAAACATGATATGCTTAGTGGCCCCCACAGAACTCTGCTTGTCCTAGTATATGCCTCTTTTGTCTTAGACAGACCTTATTTCGTTGTGCTGTCATAGTTCACTACCATGGCAAGAGACAGACTGGATACACCCGTCTTGTGGAAACAGGACTACAATGATAGTATCATAGAATATTCCAAGTGTACTCCACCTCCATCAGCCTTCCCCAGCCTCTACCCTCTGTACTTTGATTACGCCCACTGTCTTCGCGAGACTTTGGCAATCCTTGTTGTCTTCACTCCACCCAGCTTCATACAGTGAGTGACCTTGGGGAAGATAGTAACATGGCCATCGTTCAAGCACTGGTCTTCAACTTGGTGATAAGGGGCTGGACTTCACAATGCCGTCCTCCCATTTTTGTACTGGGCTTCGACAGAGTTCCGCCCCACAGGCCGGCTTGACTTGGGAAGCACTCTAGATGGCAGCGAGGATAATCCCAGATGGAAGTATTATTTCGGGAACCGTATCAGCAGCCGGCTATCTTGAGTTGTTGTTCTACGCTGCTACAAGGAAGTTTGGAGAGGGTATTGTCTTGAATGATAGCAGTGTGGAAATGAAAGACGATGTGCTGCGTCGTTCATTGTAGGGTCATCATGGATACTTACTCTACCTCGGAACGAAAGGGAGGGGGAGGAAAGAGAGAAGAAAAAAAACCAAAAGCCCACTGGCATAACTCGCTTGACATGAGATGTTCATGAGAAGCTTTATAGTCGCTTAAAGTCTTCAAAACTGCCTAAACATACGTGCCTCAATCTCGCACCGGGAGGGATAGCCTCAATGTCATGTACATTACTACAGAGCAGTCTTTAGAGAGCATTCGAAGGCGTCCTCTAGTTTCAGGGTTACCACAGATATCGTTGTTAGCGTGCCACTCCAGGGTTCACCTTACAGTGCTCGATGCCCTGGAGCGGCACTCGGCTTGCAACCTAAGCTTCTCATTGGTAGCGCTTTGCTCTGCAGGCCCCGCCAAGCAATAGATCCAAGGTACCAAGTGACTAACCATTGCTATCGCAATCATCGTCATCTTTGGGCCCAAAAGGCAACATACGAACATCACCTGCGCGTTCTGCTTTCCTCACCAAGCACCCACGAGACGTCTTCTGAAAGCACACAAGACAGAACAGGTTTAACCAGGACATGCGAGAACTTATACGAACCTTTCGATACCCAACCAGCGATACCCAGATCACAAGAATACCGCCCCCCCCCCCCCCAACAGAGCAACACTTACCTCTCACAAGCCCAGCAACCGCGCCTCTCTACTCTCCTCCCCTTCTCCAAAGCAACCCAACAAAATGAACCGTCTCTTCGGCAGCTCCTCCAAAACCCCGCGGCCGACCCTAAACTCAGCCATCTCGGGCGTCGACGAGCGCATCTCCTCCATCGACGTAAAGCTCGCCTCCCTTAACGCCGAGCTCCAGACCTACCAGACCAAGCTCTCGCGCATGCGCGAGGGCCCCGGCAAGACGGCCCTGAAGCAAAAGGCCCTCAAGGTCCTGCAGCGGCGCAAGGCCTACGAGGCGCAGCGGGACCAGCTGCAGTCGCAGGTCTGGAACATGGAGCAGGCGGGCATGATGCAGGACAACCTCAAGAACGTCATGACGACGGTGGACGCCATGAAGACGACGCAGAAGGAGCTCAAGCGCCAGTACGGCAAGGTCGACATCGACCGCATCGAGCGCCTCAACGACGAGATGGCCGACCTCATGGACGTCGGCAACGAGATCCAGGAGAGCCTCGCGCGCAGCTACGACGTGCCCGAGGACGTCGACGAGGCCGAGCTCGACGCCGAGCTCGAAGCCCTGGGCGCCGAGGTCGACCTCGAGAGGGAGCTGGGCGGCGGCGAGGCCCTGCCCGGGTTCATGCAGGACGAGGTGCCTGACTTTATTGACGAGCCGCCCGCGACCGAGGCCGGCAAGGCGGTCAAGGAGGCTGCTGGGTAGTAAGGAACGCTGTGGGAGAGCTTTTTTTTTTTTGGTTTATGTCACATGGCAGCGGCGCGACAGAGCCGGAGTTGGGACGGGATAGGAGTTGGTGGCGTTGAGCGTATCGTTGAAACGGGGGATGGTGGTTTCTTCTATAGGGAGCAAGACGGTTCTCCGGGGATCGTGATGAATCAATACCTTGCGTCGACTATTCATCTATTCACAGATTTGAAGAACTCATCGGTTGGATCTCGAGCTGACGATGCCGGATAACTGATGGCACGCCACGGCGCACAGAACGTACCGACCTAGACTAGTAGGTACCGTCACAAATACATATGGGTGGATGGAAATGTCAAAGCTTGAGCTGAATGCTACCTCTCTACAATGCACTACCTATCGTATACCTCATCAAGGATTATGTCGTTTCATTCATGAATGCCGGCGCCCGTGTCCTTCCTCCCTCCTGGTCGTCCCCAGGACCAGTCCCGTTGCATTTTCATTCCCGCAACACCAACGACTCATTTCGTTCTACCTCTTCCATGACTCCGAAACAATGCGTGCCAGCCCAATAGTCGCTCCCTCAGATGTTGTCGCAAAGGAAAAAGTTCAAGCACATCAGCCCGAGCGTACACCTGGTCTTCCTAAGGGAGAGGGAAAGGGAGACGCTCCATCAATCAACAGTAGCAAAGAAGCGTGCAACCTCCTCCAATGCAGGATCCCCATTACAGAAATCCCAGCCCACGATGACGCTCGTCTGGCTACAACAGATGATCCGGCGGGCATCAAACTGCAACTTGTAGATCCGAGTAGGCATGCCGACCTCAGGCGCATGTGCGTGGACGCGGTGGCCGCCACCTGGGCCGGTGGGTGGTGGTGGTCCGACGACACTTGGATTCGCTGCTGAAGCAGTGCCAGGGGCTCCAACTGAGGAGGCCCCGGTAGGATTCCCACTGCCGCCCGCGCCTGTGTCGTCATCAGACGTGCCATTGCTAGCCGCCGCAGCGTCGGCAGTAACAAGGCCTTGTTGGAAGCCCTGGACACGTGCCCTGGCCTGTGCCACCTGCATGCGTACCGTCGCAGCGCTGACCACCTGTCGCAGCTGTGACCGGACGAATGGGCTGCCCTCGCGGTCGATGGCGGCCTGAAGTTGACTCTGCAGGGTGAGCATTGCTGGGTACTTCGCCAGGGCCTGCTGAAGCGCATGTACACCTTGGGGCATAATGTGATCGATCATCTGGATGTAGGATTGGGTAGTGGCCGGGTTGAGATTGGCCACAACCGGCGAGGTGACGTGAACGAGGTCCCCAATGGGTTCCAGTGGCATGGGAGGAAGCTGAACGTTGGTGAGGACTGGGCTCGAAAGATTCGAGAACCGTGGTCTTGACGCACCACCGGCGCGCACCGAGGATGACATGTGCGATGAGCCAGCGGCAGCAGCAGGTGCTCTGGAGGAGCTACCTGACCCTGACGAGCCAGGTGAGCCAGACGACGTAGACGCGTTTACCACAGTCGAGCTAGGGCCCGTACCTCGAGACGCCCGAGCAGCATTGATGGCGGTAGAGATAGCCTGCCTGGAAGGAACAGGAACCGAATACCCCCGCCTGGAAGAATTGCCAGCTCCCGTGCCTGCGCCGCTCCCGCCGCCAGGTCCATTCGGTGGGCCAGGAGGGCCAGGCGGGCCAGGTGGTGGCCGAGCGTCCGTGCCTTGGGTTCGCTGGGCCGCCTCGTCCTGCTTCAAGTGGTGTTGTGGTCTCCACTTGCCCGTCTTGTCCCTCCTCCAGATGATGATTGTCTTGTCGTATGAACCAGACACGATGCGACCCCATCGCTTCCCGCCACCTCCACCTGGCGGGAGCTTCGCCCCGTAAGCTGTGATCTCCTCGGGGTCTGAACTTCCTGCGTTGCCATGCCGACCCCGTCGGGGCGAGGCAGAAAGCTCGCCGTCCTCCAGGGCCTTCATGTATGCCTGGTCGACCCTCTTGGCTTCTGCGGCATCCTCCTCCAAGCTCCAGGGCCGGTCACCAAACCCGGCCTGCACGGTCCGTACCAGGTCTGTGTGGTCCCGGAGACTGGCAACCTCTATCCCCGTCTCGCGGTCAAACACCTTGACCTCGTTATCACTAGACCCAGAGACAATGCGCTTGCCATCGTACTGGACACACGCAATGCCCTTGTTGTGACCCACGAACGTTCTCTTGCAGACACCCGTTTGCCAGTCCCAGACCTTGATCTGGCGGTCGCCACTCGCCGAGACGACCTCGTTGTCGACAACCTGTACAGCATTCACTGCCGCGCTATGACCCTCCAGCACGCCAATCATAGTGAAGGCTGGAATTGTTGGCTGTTGATCGAGCGACATGTCGTCGTATCCATACTTTTTGACAATGGCAGGGACCGGGTAGACGTAGCCCGGGTCGCCGGGCTTCATGGGTCGCCTGTTGAAGATCTTGATGGTTCTGTCCTTGGAGCAGGTCGCAAGAATGCGCTTGTCGAACTTGACGTTCAATACAGGGTCGCGATGGGCGTGTGTGAGCCGCTGGATGATCTCACCGGTCGAGAACCTCCAGATGATCACGTCCGAGTCGCTGCTGCCCGAAACAATGATGTCTTCATTTGGGTCCGAGTCAAACTGGAGACACAAGACGGAGCCAATATGCCCAATCAGTGGCTTCCGTACCAACCGCCTCGTGGCCAGGCTCCAGATGCGCAGTGTCTTGTCCCTGCTCCCGCTCACCAGGTACTCTTCGTTGTACTGGAGAGAATAGATGCACTCGCCGTTGTGGCCCTCCTCGGGGTGATCCGGATGCGGCAGTTGAAAGTTCTTGAAGTTGCCCTGTTCCCAATTCATCTCTAGTTTCCTGCGCATGGTATAGAGATACTGCCAATTAATGCGCTGTCTCTTCAGTGATGGATCCCAGACCCATAGCCCCGAGTTCACCGAGGGGTGGGCAGGTGGCTGCGGCGGGCGCAGAGCACTGGAAGGGCTTGCAGGGGCCTTCCCCTTTCCCTTGTCGGTAGTAATAGGCCTGCCCTTGTGGGCAGAGCCAACCGAGCTCGAGCCGGAGCCCTGCATGTTGAGGCCCCTGAAGGCAGGCGTCATGTTGCTGCGGGACGGGCCGGCAAACGCAGACTGGTCAGGCTCCAGCGTCTTGGGCTCATCGACCAAGACGTACCCGGCGTCGGTCATGGCAGCATCTTCGTCTTCCTCCAGGGACACAGCCCGCTTCTTGCGGGTGTGGCCATCCTCCTCCGACTTTTGCCTGTACATGGACCCAGTGGCAGTCCTTCTGTTGACCATCTCCTCGGCAGCCTCGATCTCGTCCGCGACCACCTTCCAGCCCTCGTAGTGGTATAACGTCTGCCATAGTGTCCGGTCCAGGGCTAGGCTGTACCATGCACGACACGTCTGTGCGACAGAGAGGAGGGACACGGGGTCCAGGTAGCCGAGAACCTTGAGACATATCTCGGCGGGGAGGTAACGGATGAAGTCGATGTAGAGCCGAGGGTTCATCTTCTCGACGATCTCAGCCACAAGACTGGTGGGGAGGTTGTCAAGGAGGTCGAGCGTGAGTTCTGTTTAGAGAGTACACCAAATGTCAGTGCCAGCTCGCTTATTTTAAGTTCAGACGGCAGATATAGCGAGGGTGTGCAGAGAGCTGCCCTGCTGTTGGCTATAAATCTTTGGTGTAACACCAATAGGCGCCTACAGCACACAGCCGGGACACTGCGTATCGAATCGAGGAGGAAGGGAAGGGGAGGGTTTCAGTAACGCACGAGCTCTGAGGTCGGTAGGGAGATTCGCAATGTGGGCGGACAGCCATCCTTTCAGCTGGACTGAAGAGGCACCCGACAATGGATTCATTGAGCCAATATCAGCCGGCTTGAAGGTAGAAGGCTCGAGCTGGGTGAGAGGATCCTCCGAGTAGCCCTCGTCGGCCTGCTGGGACACGCCGAAGCCTTCCATGGTAGGAGCCAGGCCTAGTGTCAAGTCGCGAGGCGACGAATGACACGAGGTGTGACACTGGATATGAGTCCAGGTATAGGAATGTTGCGGTGTGTGTGTGTTTCAACGAGGTAATTGGGTATTGTCTCTTCACATAAGGCTCTATGCAGAGTGGACGAGCCGGGACGCAGGTCTTGGACGATGCAGACGACAACAGTGAACGGGGGTTTATGGAGCCCTAAGCAGTCATGTGGTGATTTGCGACTACGGGAGTCTCGGGGTTGGTATGCATGCGATCGTAATGAAGGTGTAATCGCAGTGGGTGGTCTCAGCGGTTCCTGGTCGCACGGAGAGTTGTGTATGGTCAACGCCCCAGCGCAGAGGAGTGGTATATATTGGCTGACGCGCGCAGGGTTGGGATGGCAGCGGTCACGATGACTATGCCTAACCGTCTGAGGTGTAATAGAGAAAGAAGGCCAAGTGAGCAGGCGAGGTAGTGGTCGCAGCACGAGATGTGCAGTGTACTGTAGCTAGGACAAGGCAGGAGGCGGGAGGGGAGGGGGGGGAAATCAAGGCTGACCCCTTCGCCTTCCAAGTTGCCTGTGGTTGAATCGAGGTCGAAGTTGGGGGGCTGAGCCGCTTTCATGACGGCAGTGTTGTGTTCTGCAGTCTGCTTCCTACGGTCCATGTCCAAGTCGCAGGTGGTGTAGGGTCTGGGCCTCAGTGAGCCCTTGGGGCGCTAGTGCCACCGTTTAGTGGGATCGCAGCAGTGGGTCCCGGGTTCTTTCCTCCCCTTGCAGTCGTCGTCGCCTTACAGCCTGTTAAACCCACGGGCGCAAGCCGGCTTCTAGCACGTCCTGTGATTTGATATACTATATGTAGGCTAGTGGCGGTTTGCCTGTAGGCGACGCTGCAACACAGCAAGAGACGAACGTCTCAGCAGATTTGTCAGTGGCGGCATAAGACAAGACGCGGGCGTTTACAACGTGCAATTGACTGGAGGTAAGAACAATACGAGGGTCGTCGTTCAATGCCGCGCTGCTGCCACTCGCCCTTGATTCTTCTCCAATCCTGTCCATTGCGCGGCCCTGGACACCATTCTGGAGTCTCCACGACGGGTCTATCTGGTTTTCGTCTCCACCATGGTAAGTCCATACTTGGCCTGGCGTATCGTTGCCGCTAGATGAGAAATCATGTTTCTGCAGCTAGCTTCTACGGTTGCGGTCTGTGCCGAGTGAGGTTGAGATCACGTTCGGGCCCTTGGGTGTTCTCGACCCCGGATTTCCTGTTGTGTTGGCCTGCACGTCATCTGCAGCGCTTCTTCCAAGGTTTTTTGCTACACCCATGCGGCGATGCTACCCTGTCCCAGCGACCCGCGCGGCGTCATGGCCAAAGGTTTCCCTTTTCTACTGTGCACACTTGAGGTGTAGGACGACCCTGACTGCCCACATTGCATACTTGTACCTAGCCTTGGTTATTGTTCTTGGTTGGTTGTCTTTCTGCATCGAAATGCACCTTGGTTCGGGGTTGGTGGTCTAATTGCTGAATTGGTATGGCCCATTTTACGCTCGATATTCAACCCCCTTTAAAAGAAACGAGTGAGGAGAGAAGAGGAAAGGAAAGGAAAAGAGGAAATTATGGTACAGCAAAATAGTGCTTGAGTAGTGTCCTCAGATGAATTTCCTGCTGTTCTGGCCATCACTGGTTTGTTTCTGCTTCCCATACTCTTCAAGGAATTGACATGCGCAGGTTTTGGGAGTGGTGAGAATACATGTTCACTATCTAGTACCTGATGGTATTGTTCCTTCAACAACCCCACACATGAAGCAAAAACCGAACAATCCATTGTCATCCCCAACAGTCGACCATCTGCTTCTATGCCTCCATGAAAACGTTTCTGGCGCGTGCTCAAAGGGATGTGGTTGCCTGCTGTGTGCGACGGACACTTCTCGGAGACTTTACTTTCTATGTGGGACAACACGCTTTGAGGAACACATCGTCACATCAAAGAGGCCGATTAATCAGAAGGGTCCGTAAAGACAATTACAACCTCAATAAATTATGCGCTTGTCTCTCAGGGTCCTAGTCGAGGGGCTGTGGACGTCTTGATGCTAGGGACGTGCCCGAAAAGTATCCGCGCGCGAGGTCTATAAAAATACCCAGTACAGACACAAGAAGAGAAGAAAATGCTGTCTAGACCATAATAACCATGCTCAAATGCCCTCAATCGCTTGTCACATCCCTTGCAATACTCCCAGTATCATCAGCGCGAAGAAATCATCACATCATGTCCGTCACCAACAGCGACCGAGCCGCCTCGGCCATGGAGAGCATCGTCAAAGACCATGAGTCTGATGAGGGGCAGCAGTTCCTCACTAAGATTATGAAGGCCGTCTCTCAACCCCTAGCTGCCAACATGCTCGCCAAGATCGGCCTCAACGAGTCCACCAGTGAGCCGTTCAAGCTGCTGGACCACGGCTGTGGGCTGGGCGTCGTCTCGCGGGTGCTGAAGGAGACGATTCCTCTAGATGTGATGCAGAGAAGCAGCGTGCTCTGTGGGGACTCTAGCGAGACGCTCGTGGGCGCTGTCAGGAAGAGGATCGTGACGGAGGGTTGGGCCAACACCGAGGCGAGGGTCTTGGATGCGCAAGTTCGTTCCCTAGCCCATTGTTGTTGATATTGGCGTGGGCTTGATGATGTTTGCATTGTGCTGAACCAACCTGGTCAGAACTCCGGCCTCCCTGCTGAGAGCTTCACACATGTCGTCTCGAACATATGTTTCCACCTCGTGCCAGACTCCCAGGCTGCTCTGAAAGGTAAAACTTCGCGCCCCGTCCTATCCCGATCTTTTCATATTCCTTTCCTTGCTCATTCTTGTCCTGTTGACCCCTCTTGCAGACAGTATTCGCCTCCTCGCGCCAGGCGGGACGTTGGCCATCACGACCTGGCACACCGCCAATCCCTCATGGGTTATACACATGCGTGATGCCTTTGACTCCTTCCCGGCCTCGCTCCTCCCGGAGGACTACAAGTCCCACTTTCCCATGCACATGTCATCCTGGGGCCAATGGGGCAATGTGGACTGGCTGAGAGACACACTCTCGGACCCGACTCTCTGTGCGCTGGAGGACGTGCGCGTTGAGGTGTTCGCGAACAGCTACTGGATAGAGAATGTGGATGAGTTTATGAAGGCCCATGCGAAGATGATCGATCTCGTGGCGGGGATGGTGCTGACCAAGGAGAGCGTGGCCAAGCTGGGCGGGATGGAGGGGGTCAGGGGCCGGGTGAGGGAGTACCTCGAAGGGAGGTTTGGGACGAAGGGGTGGACGATGACGGGGCTTAGCATCTTGGCATGGGGGAGGAAGCCATCTTGATGAGCTCAAGGGTGAGAAAGCCACGGTGCGGGAACGGGAGGAGGTAGTGTAATCAGGACATGTTTTGCAGAGCTGCGCCCAATAGGAAGAAGTGGCCATCCATTGCTCAACGGAATTTGTCAACCGGCGTCTCCCATAGAATCTTGCCATTGACTCCTGGGAGAGAAAGAGAATGCGAGAGCGAAATCCCAAACAGCATCGTCAAAAGCCGAGCACTTGTGGTCCAAGTCTTGCGCACTGGCCCCAAGACAGATTCGGCAGCCATATGAGACGGTCCGAATGGTACACGAACACCAAGACAAGTAAGAGGGGGAGGTCATCAATTTTGAACAAGTTCTTCCGACCATCCATCCATCCAGCTCGGAAGACGGAGCTTTGAGGTTCGAGGACATAATAGGATGCGACTGTCTCCCCCCTCCCCCACCCACCCACGCAGCGATTCATATGGTAAGAGGCGAGGTCGGCCCTGCGGCCAGATATGATCCGCCGTTTTGTTAGCGACTCACCCAAACAGGAAGATGCTGGCAGAGATCTCTCTATCATCCCATATCTCTCTGCGACTGTCCGGCACTTCCTGCAGTTGTAGTAGCAGCCACTATGGCCATAACGTGTAGATGGTGGGTGTATGGGTGGGTGTGCTGGCGATCTCGCCGACTGGATGGAGGGTTTGGGGGGGGGGGAGTGTTTGATGGGTTGGTGGGGTGGAAAAGAGGTGCTGCCGCCATGCAGAACACGATCCGGACCCGTCAAAGTCCCCGTGTCAGATGCTGCAAGGTGCTGCATCATGTATGCGCGCTTTCTCCCCTTTTGGTACTTCTTTGGTATCTGACAGGGACACGACATGATTGCATTCTGCGGCTTTTCCCACGTCTGCATGCAGATCTGACAGTCTGCATGTCTCTCTTGGCTTACAACCTCCCGACTGGTCGGGTCCGAGGATCCCCTCACAACTGGACTTGACAGCTATGTTACATGGCCCTAGATAAGGAGGCTCGTTGATAAAGATAAAATATCCCTAGGCAGGTGGTAATCATGATACATGTTGCGTTGATAGCAGAAAAATGAGGATACATGGGAAAGACCATAAAGAGACAAACTCATCCAATAATCACAGTGCTACAAGTACAGCCTGTGATGAGGATCGTCGGACTGCGCTTGTCCGGTTTGTTCAACTGGAGGGATCCTTGTAGATCTATCTCCAGCGGGCAAATCAATCACGGTGATTTGAATCTGGTACAAATTAGACCAATAGACGAATGGGGTGTGCAGAAGGGGAGAGACGTGTGTGGGTTCGCCTAGCAAAGACTTCTAGACTGGCTTCTGGAAGATCCGAGAAGAAAATCTGCTGAAGCGGGGTAGGCAAGGAGGCCGCGAATTGTCATGGCGTATATTGTACCGAGACCTCGGTTTCTTTCTGTGCGCCAGTTGGGGACCCTGCCGTCGTCTCTTCCTCCCCTCTTCGTTCGTGCGAGCAAAAGAAGGCGCAATCAAAGAAGAGAGCCTAACATTGCGAATCCTGGAGGAGGAATAGATAAAAAGGACGGAGGACCAGGGCGGCCCCTGCATTCCGGGGCGGGCTTTAACGAGATCTGGGTTAGCGCCGGCGGGTGTTGGAAATTTTGAAACACTGGGAGGGACATGCATATCGTGAACGCTCAATGCTATAATGTCCGGCGTATTATATAGGAGTAAGTACCGTCTCTTGACCATCCACAGAGAGGTGGGGTAAAGAAAGCAATCAGTTCATGTGCACAGGGCATCACAACGTCACTAGATAATATGCTTTGCATGCTACGACACAAGAGAGGGCCAGGACACCGGTGAGGAATATACAAGTCAGGTACCGAGGGACGAGGGAGCTGGTCATGATATCACTCTTGTTTCGCAAGTATGAGGCCATGACTAAAATGATCTGCTGCAGATAAGCATCCTGTTTGCTATCGTGGGAACAGAACTGCAGATACTTAAATAGTATGTACTGCGCACACGAAGAGGCACTATGGTTGGGACGTAGCACCTGTCATGGACATCTAGCAGAAAGGTTTTGCGTCTGAACTTGGTGTCCCCAGCGATTTGCTCATGAGCGAAATACAATACCTAAGCCCAAAGCCAAGTATGCAGCAGCATAAGGGCCTAGGGAGGCTCCGACATTGCCCAACATCCACAGGAACAAGTGGATGCAGGAAGAATCATCTGAAAAAAAGAAGGAACCCCTTGGACCCTGCAACTCCCGTGCCGGAATCCCTCTCAAACGATCCCGCACAAGGACAAGGTGGGTTTTTCAGTTGGTGATTGCTGGTGGTGTGCAGTATACGCCCCCGCCCACAATATGTACTCTTGGTGCCGTAGCAGGTACCTGTGCAAGCTGCGTTAGGCGCCAAATCCCTGGATGTGAGCCCACATGCTGATCCCCTTGAAATCGATTTGGGGCCCAAAGTACTAAGAGAGATGTACCCAAGGCACCATAAGTACTGTGGTACTGGGGCAGTTCCCTGCGCTTCAGCGCCGCGCTAGACCTGAAAAGACAGCACTAGGCCCGTAGCCGTGGGAAAGGGAAGGTGCACCTGCATTGCTTTTCAAAGGAAAAGCGGGAAAGAAGAAAGGATAGGATAGGAGAAGGAGAGGAGAGAGGGGAAGGGGGGGGGGGCCAAGTTCTAGGGAAAGAGCATCACACGCCCACACAGGCCCTGGTCCAGCCTGACCTGACAAACCAAGTAGAGTGAAAGGTCGAACGAGGAGACGACGCGCACACTGTTTCTTCCTTTCAACCGTCTCCTGCGTGTTTTGTCTTCCCATCAGACGGCGACATTCTCCCCGCGCGCAGCTAACAATCTCCTCTTTCACCAACGCCTCACACAGCCGTGGGCAGCAGACGTACAATACAACAAAGGCCTGTCGACCTCGTCGTCGAGCGTCGGCGCAATAATTATCGAGCGGGTCTTCCCCCACCTGATCTGGAAGCACCTAAATCCTCTAGCATTTCAGAGGAATCCATCCAAAAACGAAAGGCAACGCAGCGCAGCGCAGCGCAATCCGGACAAGCGCAGAGGCCGAGTTCGACCTCCAAGACGGCCTGTTTCAAATCTCCCAACACCCCCAATCCTCCCCTCCAAACGTCATCTTTCTCACCTCAGACCCGCGAAAACCGACAACCACACGATTACTACCGTTGCGGCTGAAAAGGGGGGAAGAAAAGAAGACGGACAGAGGACGTTACATTCTTGTCGAGTCGGCTCCCGTCGATAGGAGAAGAGATATAGACAGACAGGAAGGAGGTCGATCACAGGCCTCGAGCACGGTCGACCAGCAGCACCGACCACCGGCCACAACAAGAGAAGGGGTTCCACTGCGACACGGCGCTACTCCGGCCCCCATTGTTGCGACGCTCTGAAAGACACTCCCAAATCCCAAGGGGAAAGGAAAATACTGTAGAGCAGAGGCCATCTCCCCCAAGAGCCGTCCGTCGCCTCCCGCCTGCTCCGGATTCCTTCTGGTGGTCTCGCCACGATTTCGGCTCCTGAATCCTTCCACACCAGAGAGGATCTCTTCACCAATTCAACCAGCCTCGCATGCCGGGAGCTGCCACCAAAACCTTTCGAGTCCGACCTGGCGAGGGCCTTCTCCACTCCTGTCGTCTCCCTCAGTCGATTTATCGCCGCCGCCGCCCGCGACTGAGTCAGCTTTAGACTTTGGACCCCGCGTCGCTACCTGCCGTTACTCACACGCTGCGGCCCGAATTTCCAAGTCTCGCTGGCTGGCTGGCATTCCTTCGACTTCACCCCTTTCGCTCTCTCTCCGTACGAGCCGCCCCTCATTCCTTCGCTCCTCTCCGCCAGACACACCCTCTCGTGACACAAATTTCGACCGCCATCAAATCGACATTTGTCACTCACCCCTCGTGACCCTTTTTACCGCCCTTCCGCTACTTTTCTTCTTCGACTGCGACCCTCGCGCCCCCCTACGAATCCCGGGATCCTCCCTCCCCTGGTTTCCAACATCGGCCCACCCGTTCTCGATAAAGTCAATTCTGATCAATCACGTTCATGGAGTAGGTTGTAATGGCATCACATGCTCCTCTACTAAGAACAAACACGGCTCCCGTCTTTCAGCATTCGACTGACGGTGTAGCGAGGCTAGCCAACATGAGCATGAGCAGCACGCCAAGGGCAAGCCAGGTCTCCGGTTCCACGGTCTACGCATCCAATACTAGCCTCACCTCCCTCTCGAATGCGAGCACCATCATCTCTCCGCCCCCAGGAGGTCAGGTCGTTGCTACCAACAATATCATCAACCAGAAGGCAGATGCATCCCGCTCGCTATACCAAATATGTGTCGCTCTGAAGCAGCGACTGCGCCTCGTCCCTGGCTTCGAGGGCTACTTGGCCCAGCTTGAAGAGAGTGAACAGCAGGTTGGAGACGCCGGTGGACCTGTCCAAGGGCTGTGGGACCTGTTGAAGGCTGGACTGCCGCTGCTGGCCATCTACAATGCGTGCGACCCCGATGACCGCCTCGATGTCGCCAACGTACCAAATAAAGAAAAGCGCGCAAAGATGGCGATCGGCAAATTCGTGCAAGGATGCTCACAGCAACTGAAGATACCATCTCAGGATATGTTCATCATCTCGGATCTGCTCGGCAGTGACACCACGGGATTTGTCAAGGTAAGCTCGATGTCTTAGGGCGCGGGACACATACCTGCAGTCTCACCCGCTGTCGCGAGACGAAAGGCAACAACATATTCCAGGTACTAATTACTGCGCTGTAGGTAACGATCGTCATCAACTATGTGCTTGATATTGCACAACAGAGAGGTCTCTTGAAGCAGCCGCAGGCTCCTTCTCCCGAGGAAGGCCTGTCGTCAGCTAATGGAGATTCGCAAATGAGCTATCGCGACCGCATCATTCGCGAGCTCGTCGACACCGAGCGAAAATATGTTCAGGACCTGGAGAACTTACACGACCTCAAGAAGACTCTGGAACAGAGGGGGGCTATCAACGGCGATATTGCGCATCAAATCTTCTTGAACATCAACGGCATCCTAGATCTCCAGCGCCGATTTCTTATTCGGGTTGAGACGACAAATAATATGCCCGAGAACAGACAGGACTGGGGTAACCCTTTCATTGGCTTCGAAGAGCAGTTCACCAACACTTACCAGCCCTTCATTGCCAATCAGCGCAAGGCCGCGCAGATGGCAAGCCAAAACTTTGACAAGATTCAGACCGTAGAACATCCCGTGGCTTGTGACTATAACACCCTGGATGGCTTCTTGCTGAAGCCTATGCAGAGACTGGTCAAGTATCCTCTGCTGCTCAAGGTTTGTCTATTTTTTTTAAATTATTCTTTTTGGTGCCTACCTTGGTGTGATCTTGTACTGACCGTGCAAAAGGACCTCCTCAAGAAGAGTGATGACGAGAATACCAAGAGGGATCTGGCTGCCGGAATCGAAGCTGCAGAGCGTGTTCTGAAGAAGGCAAACGAAGCTGTGGATAGGGATCTTCTGGATGAGGCACTGGACGATCTGGTGGCTCGGGTTGACGACTGGAAGAACCACCGCGTCGCCCACTTCGGACAACTTCTCCTCCATGGTGTCTACACCGTCATCACCGGCAAGACGGAACAAGAACGGGACTACGAGATCTACCTGTTCGAGTACATACTGCTGTGCTGCAAGGAACTTACGCCCAACAAGAGCAAGGACAAGAAGGACAAGACGCGGTCGACTGGCCCCAAGATGAGGAACAAGAACGCCAAGCTCCAGCTCAAGGGAAGGATCTTTATGACGAACGTTACCGAGGTGTTGAGCTTCTCTAAACCAGGTAAGTTGCGCTGCCGACGTATTCAGCTGGGCTACATATTTTTTTCTTCTTTTTTCTTTTTTTTTCTTACCATGCATGTGACCGGTTTTCTGACTTTCGCAGGTTCGTATACGGTGCAGATATGGTGGAAGGGCGATCCGGGCGTTGAGAACTTCGTCATCAAGTTCCAGAACGAGGAGATGATGAAGAAATGGGCGAACCACTTGGACACTCAACGCAAGGATAACGCACCGCAGAGCGCCACGACGCCTGATCAGCCAACGGCAAACTTCAGGTGGATGGAAGCGCAGCCCGACATGGTGAACCCATACGCAGAGCACGATGAGGATGAAGAAGAGTACACACCCCCTCAGAACTCGTATGCTGCCATGCCGGGTACGATGCCGAGAAACAGCTCGAGCTCAAGTCTGCGACAGAGATCCATAGGAGGGGAGAGTACTCAATCTCTGGCAGGCATGGTCCGCCGGCAGCCCCCTACCAGTTTCCCGATGCCGCAACAGACGCAGCCCCTGTCATTACAGACAGCAGACCAACCATCCCCTGGAACACGCGTTGCGGATTCGTATTTCTCTCCGGTAGGCGAATCGCCTGCCTCATCGAGGACCAGCACGACATCCAACTTCTTTGGTCAGAACGCTGGCTACGTTCTGCCTAACGGCGGATATCCGCCATCTGGGTGGGCTGAGGACAACAACCGGTACACGGCACCGGCGATGCCTCGTGCGCCCTCGCGTGATGGACCATCCCCAGTGAACGCATTCGGAATGGTGAATGGGCAGCGCAACCCCCGTGGGCCGTCATTGCCAGCAATGTCTTCGTTGCAATCAATCGCTCAGCAACAACGAAGTAGGTCCTATTCAACTCCTGATATCAATGGGCAGCCGCAGCCACAACAGCAACCCGTGAGGAGAACCGAACGAGGCGGCAGTCAAGGCGTTCCTGCTGTGCCAGGCATTCCCGCGCATCTGCAATCAACATATGATGGCGGCATTCCGAGGGGTCCAACCGGCAGTCCCAGGCACGATCTTCCAATTCGCACTAACACCCAGAGTCCAGGCGTCCAGCGGGATCGCCAAGGCTACGGTGGCCAGATGGGCCAGTTCCCTTCCCAGCCTATCAACCGCCAGCACACTCCTGTCTCCAACGGCCAGCAGGGCATGGTGCCGGCACCGCTCAATATCGACCAGTCGAGGGCAGTCCCGGCGGGCTTGAACACAGCCGGCGCCCTCCAGACGCCTAACCCTCTTGCGAGCCCCAACGATCCTCCATTCCAGCACTCGCAGCTGAAGGTCAAGGTGAATTGCGACAGTGGCAACTACGTGACGTTGGTCGCAGCCTTCAACATCTCCTACCAAAGCCTCACGGATCGCATCGACACCAAGCTGCAGCGCTTCACCAACTCCCGCATCGCTAATGGCAATCTGGTGCTGCGCTACCGCGATGAGGACGGCGACTTCGTGAAGATTGAGAGTGACGAGGATATCCAAATCGCATTCTCGGACTGGCGCGAAAACATGCGAAGCATGTACAGCGGCGGCATGGGAGAGATAGAGCTCTTCTGCGTGGGTGACACCGCTTAGTCGGACGGTGACGCGACCGTTGAATCCATGCCACCGTTATCGCCTCCATCGACTGTGTCTCACAACGCTCCATAGTGGGAGCCCAAAATTCCGAAGTCTTGTCACTCATCCCAGCCGTCTTGTTCACCTTCGAGCAAGAGGCCGGCTTGGCGGGCCACTGATGGCATCGACAACACAAGTCTCAGGCCAGTCGTGGCTCTCCAGTCTACCACTAGACGACAGTCTCCGCCATCGATGTGGCATCTAGGTTCTCAGCGGCAATCTACATTCAACTCAATGTCCAACGCGGAAGCACTGCCGACGCTACCGTCAATATCGAGGAACATTCCTCTTCGAAGGCGCGGTTGTCGTCACCCTGGCTGGTGGCGCTGAGCGACGCATTTCTTTCAAGGTTGTATCAAGAGGCTTCTCTCGTGTTCGAAGAGGCCGCAACTCAAACATATATACCCAGTTTCTTTCTCTCTTCTTAGCATTCAAAGGGCGCATAGGATTCAGGATGGTCAAGACGACATATCGATACCGATCGCGACCGACGACTTTTGCATCTTCAGCCGCATCGCGTGACTCCAGACCCATCAGAGCCACAGGCCTGAGGCGGGGCAGTATTTTTCTCTTGTTACACTCGAAACCAATTCATCCGCCGCCTGCACTGCTTCCACCCCAATGGTCATTGGTCTCTTGCAACAACCATAAGTCTCCAGCATTAGCACGAACTCATCACACAGCGATTGCTTGGGTGCTCTCGACCAGAGTCGACCGTAACATTTCGATACTGCGCACGTGACGGCCAAAACTGGTGTTTCGCGCGCGGACTGTCTTTTCATTTTTTTTATGATGGGTTGATGATCATTCCTACCTTTATGGGCTTCTGGTTTCTTGGATGGAATGAAGATATTCCAGCGGCTGTTCTGTTTCGATACTACACTCCTTATACCCCTCCCATTCGCGACTCTTGGGAATACCGACCTACGATTCTTTCGTTCAAATAGATATCCTCGAGTCGGCATAATTTGGTTTTTTGACATTTTGATTCTTGGACGACATAGTGGCTTAGGTGGGGTGGATACGATGATTTCGACGGTAGAAGTATGGTTATTTTTTTATTTTGTTTTGGGTTGGTTTTCTTTTCGTGGCGAGTGGCCAACATAAGGTGCTTGGGCTCCGGGGCGTGTGCAGTTCGTCGGAGCAGATACTGCGTAGGAGAGCAGCCTTGTGGCACCACGATCTTGAAAGGGCGGTGGTCTGGCTCTCATACCCTCTCTTTCTTTGATTCCCCACCCCCCTTTTCCAGATTCTACTGCACTCATCATCATTGGGGACGAGTTCGCAAAGCGTGAGAACGCACAGGATCCGGCGCTAGTGCTAAATTGGCTGCGGCGCAATTGAGATTGAATATTTTCCATTCTGCAGTCCACTTGACCTCAAGGAATATGGCGTAGAACCAAGCAGACTGGTACCAAGAGGCAGTATCAATGAGGAGACTGATTTATATAGCTGATAATTGTCCTGCGCAGCCTTAAGTCCTCTTTCTGTCTCTATTGGCGGCGATATTGATGTTCCTGTGATACGCCATGCTTTTATGTGTACCCTTTCTTTTTCCCCTTAACTCTCAACTCTCACTTTCGTGTTCCAGAAGTGCCTACAAGCTCAGTAGAACGGTCACTCAACAGGAATTTATGATAGGTGTTGTAGCTACTATTGTGATTCCATGACATCGGCAAAGGAGCTTCTAGAATGTTTCTTCGACCCCAAACTCCCGAGAAACAGGGCAAAGTTTCTTGGTGCGCATATCCTTTTGGCCGATCATATCGAGTCCATTTTTAGACATCCTTGCGCGATAACGCATGGGCAAAGTCCATGAAGGAACCATGTGCTCGCCTGCGTATCATTGGACAGAGCATTGGTTCTTCTACGAACTGCACATCAAATGGTATACGCGCGCAGGGATTGGGTCATCGTTGTCCCCGACCCTCTGGGGAGGTCTAAGGACAGCCCAGCTGTCCCAAGCCAGCATCTCACGTACTCAAGTAGTACTCAAATACCATGATATAACCCTAGCCCTTCTTGTTCCTTCTTCAGCAACCTAGATAAGACCCCAAGAATATCGATGGTTGCTTCGAAAACCAACGGTGACCACAGCCATTGTCACCGCTAAAGCGCCGAGAACGAATAAGTCAAGGGTTCCATGGTGGGCACGCACAGCGAGGTACCCTAATTAACCAACATCTTTTGGTCTCAACGGTGGCTCGCCATTGAGATCTACTAGCCATTCTTACCCCCAAGGGATTTCCATAGCTTCCCCGCATCTTATCCTCACTCCAACGTCCAGGGTGGATGCATAACAGTGGTTGGCACATCTTTTGGTTGCGAGATACCGACGGGCCGGCCTTGCGCGTGACCTGGACAAGAGAAGCGGTAAGCGGTCAGGTGGGGAGAGAAGAGGAAGAGGGGGTTGGGGGATGAAAGTACTGCGCAGTTGCTCCATAGCTTCCTGGCAATATGTACCGTAAAGTATATTCTCCACCTCGCCTCCGTCGGATATTTGGAACTTTCTGTAGTGGGCTCTGCTCGTCTGGGGAAAAACCTGGGGTAAGACACAGAAATAGTGGAGATGGGTTACATGTGCAGACGGTGGGTTGGGCTCGCCGCGGGGGAGGAGACGAAGGAGGGAGAAGAAGGGCCGTTTGGATGGTTACTTACAAGTACCATTAATGCAAGGTCCTGCCTGGTGCGGGCAAGGGATTACTTTTTCTAGGTATTTATATAAATATGGAGGACTAGAACTTTTAACCCCCCCCCTCCACTGAATGGAACTAGAAAGAAGGAAGAAAGAAAGAAACAGGCCACGACTAGGACGGGAGAACAGCAACGTCATTTCTATCTTTGATGGATTGGTAGTCTCTACGTGAACGTGAAATCGAAAAGGAAGAAAGAAAAAAGAGAAGCAGAGAGCGACCACAATGGGCTCCGAGTCCTTCTGGAAAAGTCGGTCCCTCCGGGTCTCGGACAAGAAGCGGACGAAGGCAGCAGAGCTCACACTCAAGGAGTCGCTGTACCCGATCTGCCTCGTCACACTCCTCTTCTTCCTGTGGGGGTTCTCGTACGGCCTGCTCGACACGCTCAACAAGCACTTTCAGAATACCCTTGGGATCACCAAGGCGAGGTCCTCAGGACTACAGGCTGCTTATTTTGGGTGAGTGTTTTTGTCTGCTGTCTTTTCAGGGTCGGCTGTTTCTTTTCTTCTCTTTTCTTCTTTCTTTGCTTCTCCGTATCGTAAGATTTTTGATGGTGTTTTGTTGTTCTTTTTTTCTTCTTTTTCCCTTTTTCCCCTCTCTCTTTTCCCCCTCCCATCTCGTTTGGCTAGAGGCGAGCTGATTACTGAATTTTCAACACATCTGTGGTGCAGTGCCTATCCCATCGCCTCGCTGGGCCATGCCGCCTGGATCTTGAGACATTACAGCTACAGGGCCGTGTTCATCTGGGGCCTGTGTCTGTATGGCATTGGTGCTCTGCTCGCCATCCCGGCGATTATGCACCGAAGTTTTGGAGGGTTCTGTGTGTGTATCTTCATCATCGGAAATGGTCTCGGCTCGCTGGAGACGGCAGCCAACCCGTACATAACTGGTAAGTTATCCTTTTGGTTGGTTTAAAATCAAGCAGCAAAAAATCATAAACCCCCCTCCCCACCCCCACAAGTATATCTCTCTTTTCTGCGTGGGCTTGATGGTAATCATCTTCTTCTTCCTTCTTTAGTTTGTGGTCCGCCCAAATATTCCGAGATCCGCATCAACATCTCCCAGGCCTTCAACGGCATCGGCACTGTGGTCGCCCCCGTGCTGGGGTCCTACGTCTTCTTCAACTTTGGTGATGCGCGCGCCCTGCAGAACGTGCAGTGGGTATATCTGGCCATCGCCGTGTTCGTCTTCTGCCTGGCTTGTGTCTTCTTCATGTCTCACATCCCCGAGATCACCGACGCCGACATGGAGTTCCAGGCGGACGAATCGCGGGCCTCGGCAGACAGCACGAAGCCTTTCATCAAGCAGCACCGGTTGTTCCATGCGGCGTTTGCGCAGTTTTGTTATACTGGGGCACAGGTTGCCATTGCGAGGTGAGTAGTTGAGGTTGGGGTTGGGAAAAGGACTACAATGATGGAGCCGTCCTCCAAAGTCTTTCCACTCATTCCCTTCTTTTTCTTCTTCTTGTTCTTCCTCTGAAAAAAAGCAATATGAATGATTCATATCACTGACCATATGCGATTCCAGTTACTTCATCAACTACGTGACCGAAACCCGCGCCAACACCTCCTCCGCGCTGGGCTCCCAATTCCTCGCCGGCGCCCAAGGAGCATTCGCCCTAGGCCGTTTCGCGGGCACAGCCATCATGCACTTCGTCCGCCCGCGCTGGGTCTTCCTCTGCTACCTCAGCCTATGCATCGTCTTTGTCGGGCCCTCCATCACGCAGCGCGGCAACACGGGCATGTCGATGCTCTACGTGACCCTCTTCTTCGAGTCCATCTGTTTCCCGACCATCGTTGCGCTGGGCATGCGCGGCCTCGGTCGCCACACCAAGCGCGGGTCCGGGTTCATCGTGGGCGGTGTCTTTGGGGGCGCCTGTGTGCCGCCCCTGACGGGGGCTGTGGCGGATATGCATGGGACCGCGCTGGCGATGGTTGTTCCCATGGCGTTCTTTATTGCGGCTTGGTCATACTCGCTGGCGGTCAATTTTGTGCCGGCGTATCGCGACACGGCGGATGCGTTTACCAAGACAGAGATTGGGCTGCATGGACATCATGAGGGGGTTGCGGAGCTGGGCGAGGCGGGAAGTCTTGATGTGGATGAGGAGAAGGCTGTGGTGAACGAGCAGAGAGAGGGGTGATGATGATGATTACCTTTGGGAAACAATATATTTGTCTTTTTTTCCTTGGGGGGCGGGGGGTCTCCTTAAGTGGGAGAAAAGGAAGGCCGGAATAGCAGTGAAAGAGGCCAGACTCCTTTCGTGATGCAAGTTATTGGGGAACGTACATCCAGCACAAAAAGAGAAACTATTCATTTCAGATGGGATCGATTCCTATGGCTGACATCAAGAATTAATTTGATGCCTTACTAGTGATCTGAACTCTGAGCAGTGCTTCGAGCGCCGACCGTCGTGATGGTATTTTATGCGGTACTTTGTTATAATACAACGTCCTCACTTGTTTTCTTTTATCTCAAGTCTGCCTATATCCACACAAACACACCATGCGCACGCACAAAGGGAGGGGGGAAGGAAGAAAGACCGCGTTTCGAAGCCATGTTTCAAAGAATTTCACGACTCTCCATCACAGGCTGCACCGCTTAGTCTACAGCAAACTTTAATCTAACCTCATATCTATCACCTTGCATTATATTTCCTCTTAGTCGTGTCGTCTGGCGCTTCTAAAATGGTGGTGTGCCGGCTCGCTCACGAAGCAACCTGACTGGCCTTTTCATCCTTCGTAATCACCGTATCTTCGCGAGACTGAACCAATATTTGCACCAATATTACTTTCCTCAAACTCGCGTATGCAGTCTTGGATATCTCATTCCAATCCAGACCTGCAAAACTCAGGGGGCGGCATCACTCGAAAAACGACAGGCCAACCTGGGGTCCATCCATAGCCAGGGCAACTGACTGGATGTCAGCCCAGGTCTAACCGCCGAAGATGTGATCCATTCCCAACCCAGCCAATCATTTTACACAATATTTGCCAGGCCCCGGCGTCTCCATCACTGTCACCTCGCCTTTTCCCTATCAGCATCAACCCTCACTAGATGACTTTTCTGAGCCCAATGGCCACATTCTTCTTCTTCCCTTTTCTGGGTTCTTCGCCGACTGTGACGGTGTGAGCATGCACGCCACAACCTGTGCCGTTGGAGCCCCTGGAATGTAATTAATCACTGTGCAGAGTCCTGGCGAAGGAAGCGTTCACTAAAGCGGATGGCCCATGAAAACGGAGCACACGAGAGACGTCGTTTATTAACAGAAGGTGGCCCTCTTACTAGCACTCAAGAAAAATACAAATAATATTGAAAGAGACACCGAAAGAAAACAAGAAAGCCCTGGGCTGGTGAATTGACCAAAGCATATAACGAAAATTTTACCTTCACATCAAATCATGAAAGCCGCAGCAGCAATAGCCTTCGCCTCGGTCACCATCGCCGCAGCATTGCCCTCTCGACGGTCAAACTCAGATTGCAGCAATTATGTAGGGGGACTTACAGCTTGGTCGGACGCCAACTTCTCCGGCAGATCATATCAATACAATGTCTCAGCCAACACGTGCAGTATGATCTCTCTGTCCCCGACTTGTTAACCCTTTTTCTTCCCTTTCTTTCTTCTTGACCCCTTCTACAGTTGTTGGATCCCCCCTTTCCCCAGGATCCTCACAAGACACACATACAGACACATACGCACACGTACTGATTTCATACATAGTCTCCATAGCAGGGCAATTCCCGTATGAACAGCCAGCCGGTGTCAGCTCCGTGGCTGCGAATCTTTTCAACTGGTGTACATTATATCCGTAAGCCCTCCCCCCCCCCCCTCTCCCCCCTCTGCAGCCCAAATCTGTCACATGACAGGTATCTGGACAGATATACAGACAGACAGACATTCTGTTTTCTGGCCACCGCTTCTGATCTGATGTTGCAGTAATACGAACTGTGATCCCGGGCTGGGAAGGATCAACGATACGCTGGATGTGGTCGGGAGTTATTACAACCTGGCCGGCTCCGAGGAGGTTTGGGACAACCTGGCGCAGAGTTTCTCATGCCGGCCTTATGACTGTTAGAAAGATTTTCAGCTGTGTATATTACAACAAGCTCTTACACTCTGGTTGGACACCCATACATGATCTATCTATGGAAATGGAAGTCTTCATCGAGGAAATGGGATTGCTGAGATATATAACGAGTACTTCAAGATCAAGCGAACTGGACCTCGAATTCCGAGCACATGATGGCGTCTATTTACAAGCCATTTGATGATGCGCGAGACCTGTACATGATGGACAATGAACGCGTTATATTCCTTCCCCGCCCGTCCCCTTTTCTTCTCTCTTTGTGTTCTTCTTTGCTTTCCTCACCTTGCTTTTTCTTGATTCGTCTGCTAGCAGGCTTTGCACTTCCCAGGCAGTCCTCCGAAGCGCAATTGACCCCCAGAACAGGTCTGTGAACAAACTGAGGGTTCCTTCTTTCACATGCTGTCCCCGTCTCTATTCAGTAATTGGTTTAAGCTAGAAATAGGCCGCGGCTCCTCATCACCTTTCTGGCTATTATAGGGCAGAACCACCAGCTGCTTTGGACCGGCTACAAGATTTCACACCTTATATCATAACAGTCGTCTTCAATGTTTTCCGTTCATTGTTGTGGCGGAAGCCTTTTCCTCCCACCACGGCGGCTCCCGAAATTGTCACTGGCGGCCATTATAGTCGCTGGAAGGGTGGTGGCCGATCCCATGAGGCCGCGTGGCAAAATAAATGGTAGTAGTCCTCAGCAGCAAGTCAGGGCAGCGGTCTGGGTGTCGGTTTTTGGGAGTTTTCCAGCTGGATCTTAGAGGCATAGCTGGTGGCTGACCACTCGCCTGTACGCGGCGGAGTTCGACAGGCCCTTGTTGACCCGGCGTTTGAGAACTCGGCTGCAGGCTTCGACGAGGCCTGAATGCCGACTGACGATAGAGGCTTCTAAGGTCTCAACGTTGACATCAGGACAGAGGGCAAAGTAAGTCGCTGGAAGGCTCGCGCCGAAGCTGGCTGTGGTCACATCCTGCGAAGGGGTTTAATCTTTGCTCTGAAGTGAACGCGGTGGAATGACTACCATTTGGAGGGAGGCATCTGGCTTGTTTGTTCAGTTCGCCTCTAGCAGATCCCATTTCAGATGGCGGCTGGGATGGACAGTTCGTTTCGAAGATGATGGGACACTCTACTGGAAGCATGTCCAAATGCGAAGGTCGTGTTGGACTTCACTGATTACTTGCTTCTAAGAGAGCAAGCCATGATAGTATGAGTCGCAGGGTGATATGAAACAGGGAACGAAGAGAAAGGAGGGGGGGGTTTTGGGAGAAAGGGAAAAAGGGAGAGAGTTAAAAACGAGAGGCGGGGGAGGGAAATGGAAGAGGGCAGAGGAGGGGAGTGATAGAAACAAACAGGAACCTTCGACGCAATCATAACGTCGACGGGCAATCTGGGCAGGCCGGGACCTCATGTTCACATGGTAGATGTCCCACATGGTAGATGTCCCTGTGTCAGACCATTCTAGGTGCCATCGGTGCTGTCCTGCTTCGTCTGGTGAAGTCAAAGCACATCGATGCATCTCACGGAGATGAGGGATGCCTGGGCCGACAGTTCCGCAGCGGGTAGGATGCATAAGACCGGCCGGAGCCGTAGCGCTGTGGGGGGGCGGAGGATCGGACGGTCGGAGACAGGGCGGCGGAAAGCTGGTGGCGGAGAGCTCACAATCGCCATCCAACATGCCAGCTCTGCACCATGGCCGTGTTCGGGTTCATCTCAGGTGCCCAATAGAGTTTTGGCTCTAGCATGACAACGTCATCCCGTGCTGTTATGTCCGTTGCTCGATGCCTCGGCAGACCATCGTTCCGGTGAGTTGTGGAGACGGCACCTTTAGGAAGACCCTCTTTAAGACCGCCTTCGGTCCCGCCCCATTCACGACTGGTACAGCTCGATATCGACAGACCCGACACCTTCCAAATCTCACTGACAAGCAGTCTCCTCATATTTTGATCTTGGCCAGCTTCAATATGTCTCTCGAAGTTCACCATCTCCACCTTTCCCAATCCGAGAGGATCGTATGGCTGCTAGAGGTATGCATCGTCGCATCACACGTGTGATGAATCACTCGCTCACCGGCCCAAACAGGAGCTTAACATTCCCTACGAGCTGCATGTCCACGAGCGCGACCCACAGTCCGCTCTGGCGCCGGCAGACCTCAAGGCCCTCAACCCCTTCGGCACCGCGCCCTACTTCCGGGACACCAAAGTCTCGCCACCTGTGGAGCTCTCTGAATCGGGTGCCATCGTGGAGTACATCCTGACCGTCTATGGCGGCTCTGGCGCGGTGCGGTTGACGAGAACCCCAGACGACAAGGAGTATGGTGCCTACCTGCAGTGGTTGCACTACGCCAACGGCTCTCTGCAGCCGACCATGAGCCGCAACATGACCTTCCTGCTCGCGGGCATCGGTAGCGGGAATCCCATCATCGAGTCGTTCAAGGCCAGGACGGATACGGCGCTGAGGCTGCTAGATGACAGGCTCGCCGTGAGCAAGTACCTGGCAGACGAGGAGCTGAGCACGGCGGACATCATGAGCTTATTCAGCCTGACCACCACGCGAGGGTTCTGCCCACGGGATCTGAGCCCGTACCCGAACATCCTGAGGTACCTGAAGGATATCGCGGCTCGCCCTGGATACCAGGAGGCGATCAGGAAGGGCGACCACGGGATGGAGCCCATGATCGCAGCCCAGGTCGAGGGATTCACCCAGTTTCCTATCATTGCGAAGGCTCTTTCGAGGGAAAAGTAACCTCGTGCTCTTTCCAATGATGATCGAGGCTGTATATGTATACAAAAGAGAATAGTGTCGCGTTATCTCGAGAGCTCTCTGTCTTTTTAAACCCCCCCGGTATTGTGTGTGTTACTGGATCAAAGCAGATCATGGCCTGGGCCAGCGTTATCGAGAAGTCTTGGGAATTTCTGCAGTGTGGTCAGCTCTGATTCAATTAAATTCCCTCTTGTGTACAACCCATTCGCATTGTTAGACAGACAGATGTGGTTGAGCCTGGTGTCGATTTTGGCTGTTTCTAGCTGGCTGTTGATTGGGACCCTCTTTTCCCCTTTTTCTATCTTTTTCTCGTTGTTGTACGTCATGACCAAGATTGTTGAAGAAATCAAGCATGACGAGGTAGGACGGGTGAGTGAAGGAGGAAGTAGAGAATTCTATTTCGTTCCTGCCTTATGATATGCACTCGGATGGCTCTGCTTGAGATGTACTTGAGCACCAGCGTTATCTATACAGTATGCACGATGTACTAGTAATATTTACAGTACCTGTACTACGCTCTTTGTTAGTACTGAGGAGCTGTAGGAGCAGATGACCAGGGAGACCCCTGCCACGCCCGCGGTAGCAGCGCTCACTTTTCAAGACCGAGGTTCTGGGTTCACAGGGCCTATCGTCAGGGTTTGGGCATCCAACCAGCACTGGCCACCTGAGCCTAAGCAACATGCGAAATGGAGGGTGACAGGGGTTGTGATTGATCACGAACATTCATCTCCCAGCCATCAATCAACATCGACATCTCCATCGCCGGCCTTGCCGCCCTCCTCCTCTTTTCCTCCCATACAGCAGGTCAGATCCAACCTTTTCCCCCCATCGTTACGCTGTCTGCGTCTGGATTCTGTCTGCATACTCCAGTCACCACAACAGACGCTTCGAGAATCGCGCCCCTACTTGATTAGTCCGTCCCTGCCGGCGGGCTCCCATCATCAATCAATCCTGACAGCAGACACCAGCGTGCAGCCACGTAGCTGACAAACAGGCTGCGAACGAGCGACTGCCACCAGCGAGGTCTGTACCAGCACGGTCTCGTAAGCACGCAGCAGCTCCCTTTGCATCAGCAGTCTTGGGCTTGCAGTCTACCGCATTCATCATGGCAGAGAGCAGTGGTGTCGATCCAGGTGCGTCTCTCTCCTTTTCCCTTACCTGTCCTCCAGCTTGCCTTTTCTTCCAGTACTGTCATTAGCTCCTCAACATGAGGTGTCAACGCGCAGTGCGGTTTGTGTCACGCCTGCTACTGCTCTGAATCTCGAGGCTGACAGGATACTTGTCTTCATAGCTGCCCCGAACCTTAATCTCACCCCTGACGAGAAGCGAGTCTACGGCCAACTTTTCCGACAGGCAGACACCGACAATGTCGGAGTTGTTACAGGAGAGATTGCCGTCAAGTTCTTCGAGAAGACAAGACTCGATTCGAGGATACTGGGCGAGGTCTGGCAAATTGCAGATCAGGAGAACCGGGGCTTTCTTACCCCCGCCGGTTTTGGTGTCGCCCTCCGCCTGATCGGCCACGCCCAGGCTGGTCGCGAACCGACAGCGCAGGTTGCCTTGCAGCCTGGCCCCATCCCTCGTTTCGATGGCTTCACGCCCGCCCCGCCTCCGTTGGCACCGGCTCCTACCGGCTCTCCGCAGCCCATCTCTGCCCAAGGAACCGGCAACGCCCCCATTCGCATCCCGCCGCTCATGCCGGACAAGGTCGCGCAATATGCAGGACTATTCGAGCGCCAGCCCCTGACTGGGAACATGTTGGGCGGGGAGCAGGCGCGCCAGATATTCGAGAAATCCGGCCTGCCCAACGAGACGCTGGGCCGCATCTGGCAGCTCGCCGATACGGAGCAGAGAGGCGCCCTGGTGATAACCGAGTTTGTCATTGCTATGCACTTGTTGACCAGCATGAAGAGCGGCACTCTGAGGGCCTTACCAAATATCCTCCCAGCTGCTCTTTATGAGGCTGCTACGCGACGAGCACCAGCTGGCGCCGCCCGACCACAGAGTCCGTCAGGTCCTGCCCTGTCTGCCATTCCTCGCCAGCTTAGCGGTCAGGCGCAGATGCCGATGCGGACAGGGTCTCCTCTTGGGCCTGGCTTGGGGCGCTCTGCTCTGGCACCGCAGTCCACGGGCGATACCTGGCTGGTTACGCCAGCAGACAAGCAGCGATTTGATCAGATCTACGATGGCCTTGACAAACAGAAGAAAGGTTATATCACAGGCGAGGAGGCGGTTCCTTTCTTCAGCCAGTCCAACCTCTCTGAAGCTGTTCTCGCAAACATCTGGGACCTGGCGGACGTCAGATCCGAGGGCATTTTAAACCGGGATGAGTTTGCTGTAGCCATGTATCTCATCCGACAGCAGCGCAGCAAACAGGGAGACCTACCGCAGAGCCTCCCACCGAACCTGATGCCGCCTAGCCTGCGCGGCCAGGCTCGCCCGTCGACGGCGACAAGTGCATTTGATGCACCACCGCCGCAATCTCCACCCCAGCAGCAGCAACCTCCGCCACCGAAGCCAGCCTCTGCGCTCGACGACTTGTTCGGACTGGACTCGACACCTGCGCCATCACCAGCTGTCCAGACTCAGTCCACCGGCGCCGCTCCGCCGAGCGACCCATTCGGTGGAAGCATAAGCCCAGCTGCGCCGACATCCCCAGCCAGGATGTCACCCACGGCGACAGGCAGCTTCAAGCCGTTCATGCCGTCCTCATCGTTTGGTCGCGCTCTGACAAGCCAAGGTACCGGCGCTTCTGCCAGTGGATCTTCGGCGGGGGCTGGGTTCCCTAAGCCTGCAGCAGCGCCTGTGCCTTCCCCAACCACTGAAGACCTGCTTGGCGATGCCGAGAACGAGACAAGAGGGAACAACATGAATGACACTATGGAGCTTGCCAACCTATCGAATCAGATCGGGACACTTTCCAAGTCTGTGCAGGACGTGCAGGGCCAGCGTAGCTCGACGCAGAATGAGCTCAACACGACTGCGCAGCAGAAGAAGAACTTTGAGCAGCGCCTGGCGCAGCTTCGCACGCTGTATGAGAACCAGGCCAAGGAGGTCCGCGACCTGCAGGACAAACTCACCGCTTCTCGGAACGACACCAAGAAGCTCCAGACGGACTGCGCGATGGTCGAGGCAACATACAAGGACCTGCAAACCCAGCACCAAACCATTCTGACCGCCCTCCAGGCCGATCAACAGGAAAATGCTAGCCTTAAGGAGAGGATACGAGCGGTGAATGCAGAGGTAGCAGCCATCAAGCCACAAATCGAGAAGCTCAAGTCCGAGGCCCGACAGCAGAAGGGCATGGTGGCCATCAACAAGAAGCAGCTGGCTACTAACGAAGGCGAGCGGGACAAGCTGAAGACAGAGGCTGAAGACCTGACCAAGGAGAATGAAGAACTCGCACGGCAGCTCAGCCAGAGCCCGCCTCCAGGCGCTGTGCCACAGGTCGCCAGCCCGGCTCCTAGTAATGCGAGTGGGAACAATCCTTTCTTCCGGAGGACCGGCAGCACGGACATCATGGGGGCGTTTGCTAGCCCTGGCGCGTCTAGCAGCAAGGCCTACAACGACAAGTCCTTTGACGATGTCTTCGGTCCTTCCATCCCTGCCTTTAAGCCACAGACCACGGGAGCCTCTGCCGCTAGTACCGGCTCGTTCGCGACGCCGACGTCCACCAGTCCCAATGTGAGCAGGAACCCAACCTTTGCGAGCGATGCGACCCCTGTTCCGCCTGAGCCCCGACAAGTAAGCTCAAGCTTTTTGCCTTCTGGAGCCCCGGCCTGAATCCTGACCGTCGCTGACCAAGCTCCCCACAGGTTTCGCCTCCTGCTGCTGAAGCTGCGGGTATTGCACCCACCGAGGACGTGCCTGCTACGGAGACTAACGCCGAGACCAAGTCACCGGAAGGACAAGCTGCTGCTGGTGTTGGTCCTGCTGCCGACGGTGTGGCGACGGGGCCAGGCCCGGAATCTTTCTTCCAGGAGAGCTCCAAGACTGAACCTGTTGCCGCGTCTGGGGATCCATTTTCTGCCCTGGACCAGGCCAAGGCCAAGGAGGACTTTGACAACGCGTTTGCCAGCTTCAAGGCGTCTTCATCCGCCTCCAAAGGTGCATCAGGAGGTCCTGCCGAGCCTGCAGGTGCGGCTGCACCGAAGAGCCTGTCCGCTTTTCACGCAGAATTCCCTCCCATTTCGGAGCTGGAGAGGGACGATGAGTCGGACTCGGAAGATGAAAAGGGCGGATTCGATGATGACTTTGCGCCTGCCAGCCCAAATGCCAGACCGGCGGCAACTGGCCCCGACTCTCCATCTCTTAGCAAGGCTGTCGTTGCCGAGGCACCGGTGTCTGGCGCTGAGGAGCCATCCGAGAAGGCCGAGTCCCACGCCGATGACATCTTCGGCAGCGCTCCTCCTCCTGGGAGCTTTCCCGAAGCCGACGAGCCAGTCGCCAGCGCCACGCCAACCGCCACGCACCATGCGCCACCGTCAAAGCAGTCTAGCTCTGCTTTTGACGATCTGGACGACGATTTTGCTGATCTCGAGGATGCCAAGGAGGGCTCACAAGACGACGACTTCCAGACCATCTCGCGGTCTGGCCTGGACGACTTTAACCCGACCTTCGACAGCCCACCGCCCGCTAGTAAAACCGAGTCGAGCGCCCCACCGGGCAGCAGCTCGGGCAACCCGCCACCCTTTGGCACCGAGAGCACATTCGACTTTGCGAGCATCGACAACACAGCTTCCCAGGCCTCCACAGCGGCCCCCACTGGAGGAGCGGCCAAGCCAGCTGAGAACCATGACTGGGATGCCATCTTTGCAAGCCTCGATGATGCGCCTCCAGCGCAGACGTCAGCAAGCCCGCCGCCGCCGGGCAGCTCCGAAGGTACAGCTCCAGCCCCGACCCCGGTCACTGCGACAGAGGCAGGAAAAGATAGCCTTCCCAGGCCGGACGGGCCGGGCCGAGCGCTGACTGAGGATGGGGTTCACGACGACCCGATACTTAAAAACCTGACGGGAATGGGTTACAGCCGGTCGGATGCGCTGAACGCACTGGAGAAATACGATTATAATCTGGAGAGGGTGAGTTGAACCGAGCGAAAGCCAGCCTGACTGCTGAATATGTGCTTTTCTCTCCTTGTGAGCTTCACTGCTTCTTATTGCCGTGGCCAATTTCTTCCCTCTTCCCCCCGTCTCTGGCCTGGTGTGCATTGCGTGTCTCTTATGACTGACCTTCTGTTCCATAGGCGGCGAATTATCTGGCAAATCAGTCCTGAGGCAGAGAGACGGAGGTGAACCAGATTGGAACAGACCCTCTCAACATACTGTAATACGAGGTGAGCGAGTTTGGGAAGAGACCCAGCAGTGGTAGAACGCTCAAGGGAATTTGCCCACGAGAGGGGGCCCCTTTGAGTGCTGTTTTGGACAATGAGAAGGACAGGTGAAGCCATGGTGACATCATTCATCTCGTGGACATATAATGAATGTGTGTTTCCATACAGAACCTTCGTGTAGAAGGGTTGGCAGAGCAAGCGCCAGATGCATAATGTATACAACTTGACTCACTTGGTGATCGCTTCTCACTTTTCAAATTTTTTATTTAGTGTTGGAAAACCGGTATCCCAAGAGACCTCAAAGCAAACATTTACCACGAGGCAGAAAGAGCAGGGAGGCTCCGGGAGGTTGGAACAACGTAGGCCCTGTAGAGCCAGAACATGCCATGCGGTGATACAATTATTATAAGACACAACGCTAGCCAGCCATGTGCTGTGTATGCCCGTGTTTTTGTTGTTGTTGTTCGATCTGCCAGCCCCCTGGGCGACCAAAAAGGGAAAAAGGAACAAAAGATGGACATGTTCAACAATGACGCGCAAAGAAAGCCGAACAGAATCCGAATGTTCAACGTCGTCCGTCGTCCGTCTTGCCGAGGCCTCAAGAGGAAGCCAAGGAACGGTTCTCACGTTTCCTGCCCCAGAAGACTTTGAAAAGGAAGGGAAAAAAAGGGAGCTGGCCCTTTTCGTTCCGTTCGTGAGAACCTGACACTTCGCCGTGTTGCCGCTGGTCATGGATCCCAAACCAGCCGTGGATGCCAGTTCTTGCCTACATCAAGAATCCTCGCTGGCACCCTCTTCTCAGCACCGAATTCCAGTACGCCTGCTCTCGAACCCTGTGGCGTGTTCGTCATCGTCATCGCCATCGTCATCCCGGTGGACCGATCATTGTCGCCCAATAGCTCCGTCATCGCCTCTTATCTTACTGTGGGGGCGGCAGATCCAGGTCAATGTCAAGCTCCTGGACAAACAGGTCGTTCATGGTGGTGCCATCCCTGAGGTACACCCAGTCGCCGACAGCCGTGTCCTCCTTCTGGGCCTGGCTCTCGCCGTAGACGACGTAATCGTAGCGCTTGGGGCCAGAGATGGGGCTTGAGAGCCAGATCTGTTTGTTGGGGGGCTGCTTGTTGATCACGTAGGTCCCGATGGTGGGAAAGGTCACATTGAGAACGCCGGCCTGAAGAGGGAGTTAGGGCCCGGTGGTCAGCCTGATGAAGGTGGAGGAAGGAAAGGGGAAGAGTTATTTGGTGTCATCTGTTCCATACCGAGTACTCAATGTCGACCTGGTCATTCGCTTCGGCGACCTCCTCTAGCCGGTCTTGGATGGCCTCCAGGTACTCGTCGGCCAGGTCGTGGTAGTCTTCATCCGAGAGCTCGGCGGGTACGGGTTTGATGGCGTGGTCGAGAACGTTGGGGGGTTCGGGGTCGTCGGTGTCGGGCAGGATGCCCTTGGGCCGGCTGCTGGTGGCCGACAGAAACCTGGTCTGGGAGGCAATCGACCTCCAGCTGGAGGTGAGGAGGACAGCTCTAGGAGGGGTGGAAGCGGCGGCCTGGCGAAGAGGCGCGAGCCGAGCTGCGCCGACAGTTGAGAGGCGCAGGCCTCGGGTGACAACACTGGAAGCTCTCGAGAGGGATGATCTCGTCATGTTGACGGGTTGGCTTGGCAGAGTGTGATATGAAACGGAAAGCAGGTGTCTCTGGACAGGTCGGTGATGGATAAATAGGAAGTTAAGATGAGAAGTTGAAGAATAGAACGATGGGGTTCGCAAGTAGACAAGTCTGAGAACTTCAATTGGGGTGGGTTGACTTCAGTTTCTTTGGAGCTGGGGGTCCCTGAAGTGGTCAACGCCCTCGAAGCTGTTAGCTGCTCTGGCCTGGAACCCCCACCCACTGTCCAGCAGGTAGCTTTCCCCAGCTTTTCAGGGGTGATGGTTCCCCCCCACCCGTGGTCTGTGCTCGGGAACGTTTCCCGCGCAGCGCTTGACGACAGGCCAAGCATTTGCTAGCATCTCACCTTCTCCAAGTATCAAGCCCATGCATCCTACCCCCAACTAAAGCAACCACACACAGGCCCCCTGTGCCGCAGTTCGAATTATCAACACGACAGTCAAAGCTGCTCAACAAACCCCCCACGAGCAAGATAACCACCTCTGCACCTGGTGTCTGCCGGCTGTTGCCACACATCAACCATGATCAATGCATTTTTGGTCTTCAATGGCCAAGGACAACCACGGCTGACCAAGTTCTACACACAACTGGTATAATCAGCCAATGCCCTCTCTTACGCCATATGCACGCCGCTCCAATACAGCAATGGTATCCATTCCTTACTTGACTAACCCCGTTCTTCGTACTAGGACACGTCCATACAACAACGCCTCATCTCGGAAATCTTCACGCTCGTGTCCAACCGCCCCTCTGGGTCCTGCAACTTCCTCCCCCTCCCGCCGCTCCTCGCCGCCTCCGGTACCTCCCACTCCTCCTCAACCGAGCAGCAAAACGACGTGCCCTCGCTCGTGACCTACCGCCACTACGCCACGCTCTTCTTTATTGTCATCTCCACCGCGACCGAGTCCCCGCTCGCCCTCATCGACCTGATCCAGGTGTATGTGGAGGCCCTGGACAAGCTGTTTGAGAATGTATGCGAGTTGGATCTGATCTTCAACTACGAGAGCCTGCACGCCACTCTGGCCGAGATGATCGTCGGCGGCGTGGTCATCGAGACAAATCTGGACCGGATCGTGGCCGGTGTCAAGGCGCAGGGGACGGTGGCCAAGAGGCCGGTCAACGAGTCGAGGGGTTCCGGCCTGGGCGCAGGGCTGGGCATGGGCGTCTGGACCGGTAGATGAGGGATACCGGGTTGGCAACGGCGCCGGAAGCATCTGTTTGAGATACACACATCCACTCAGGATGATGACTACTGCTACTACTACTACCGCGGAGAGTGCTCTCAGTCGAGCCCTCTGATCTAGTCTGCACGCCGTGCGTCGAGACAGGCCGCGGTGCCACGAGCGACACGTGCCATGAGACAGGACCGCTCATACGACGGGGTTCTTCAAGATGACGCAATGCAAGTCCGACACGGCCATGGGAGAAGAGATGCTCGATTTTCTAAGTAGATGCTTCAACTCTACCATGCTCAGGGGGTATCTATCCCCAACCAGAACGCCGGGAATGCAGACGGGATCGTTACAAGGCCTGTTTGTACAATGACCTCCAATTGAGGCCGAGGACATGCTCTCAGCTGGTTTCTCTCTTCCGCACAGGGTTTGAAGAAGAATGCCCATAGTCAAATCCAAGACTGTTCCAAAAACTTTGGCGTAGCTAGAGTTCCTGCGTGTCAGCTCATGTCAATCCGCCACCGTAGCCATCTCATGTATGAGTGCTCACCCCGTCAAATGGTTGGCTTTCCTGCTTCCAGTCCATGAAAAGGACGGCATATGTGGCAACAGCTTCAAGCCCGCGTCAGCTCATCTAATCTCTCCCCCCCCCCCCCTTTCACCTTCTTCTCGACGTACAGACGATGCTGAACAGCTGGATCAGCTTGATGAACTTGTTCCACCGCGGCCGCGCCGTGGCAAGTGCCAGCCTCCGTTTGTACTTCTTCTCGTACCGGAGCTGCTCCTGAGGTGACAGGCTCTTGAAGTCGGGCGGCCAGACCTTCTTGGGCGGATAGAGCTCTCTTATCCTCGCGATATAAGCGGCCTCGGGCGCCGCTGCGTTCTGCGCAGCCCTTCTGATGAGGGTGGGGAGCATGATTGGATGACAAGGTTAAAAGAGAGCATACAGTAACAAGAGTAATGAAGAAGCCTCGTGAGGTATATGGACAAGTCAATCAAGGTGTAAAAGACACCGTTGGAGGGCGGATGAGAGGCTGGCTGGTGTTGAAGTTTCGTCGTTGAAAGTTACGTATAGGATGTGTTAGACTTACTCGTGATTTTCATCTATTGGGCTAAAGGGATAGGGGCGCCATCGCATGGTCATGGTCCCCTGTTGGTGCACGCCAACCCAAGCCTAGCGCCTGCCGCCTGCCGGCTTCCTACTACAGAGAGTGGACCCGCCAACCCCGCGGCTGTGTCCGACTCCTGCTGCTGCTTTTGCTGCCCTGGCTTAAATTTTTGGCCCCGCCATCATCTCTGGCAGCCCACCAAGCAGCTGCTCCGTACAACGGTGACTCAACAACCTTCTGACTTGAACAGCATCAGACGGTAGATTTGGGGAGAGAAAAGGCTCTCAGGTCAATCTGGTTGGTCAATTCCTTTTGCAATGTCATACGGTATTGTGTACTGACATTTCTGGCCATAGCAATTCGTTCTTGACCTTCCCAGAAGAAGAAAAATAAAGGCCCAGCGACAGACTGACCCAGCCCAGCATGGCTGCCACCGGCCAGGTCGTCGTCCCCGTCTCTAAGACGAAGGAGCTCAAGGGTGTAGGTTCTTTCAAGGCTACCGATAGACAGCCATTGCCCGGCACAGCATAGCACCTGCTCACATTGTCTCTTTCTAGACCGAGAAGAGGGACACTCTGGTGGCTTGGGAGAAGAAAATACAGGAGAAATGGGAAGCCGGTATGAAGCACAAAATCACAATACTTGAGAACCGAGAGGACGATCATAAGACGTACGAGAAAAGGGACTGACGAGACATGCTTCGAAACAAAGACAAGGTGTTCCAGCCCGATGCTCCTTCGACCGACGAGGTTCCCCTCCATTCCATCTCCGCTGCTGAGCTCCGCGAGAAGTACCCAAAGTTTTTCGGCACCATTGCCTACCCTTACATGAACGGCACCTTGCACGTCGGGCATGCCTTCTCTGACAGTAAGGTCGAGTTCATGGTCGGTTGGGAGCGCATGCAGGGGAAGCGCGTCCTGTGGCCGCAGGGCTACCACTGCACCGGCCTGCCCATCAAGGCCTCTGCGGACAAGATCGCCAAGGAGGTCCAGATGTTCGGCCAGGAGTTTGAGAACTACAACGAGGAGGAGGAGCTCCTCGTGGAGAAGGCCGCCAGCGGCGCGAACCCCGTGCAGGCCAAGAGCGAGGACGTTACCAAATTCAAGGCCACAAAGGGCAAGGCCAACGCCAAGGCCGTCAAGATGAAGTACCAGTTCCAGATCATGGAGGCCGTTGGCATCCCGAAGAAGGAGATCCACCGCTTTGCGGACGCGCAGTACTGGCTCGAGTTCTTCCCGCCCCTGTGCAAGCGGGATCTGTCCGCATTGGGATGCAGGATAGACTGGAGGAGGCAATTTGTCACGACCGATGCGAATCCATACTATGACGGTAAGCGATCTTGAGTGATTCCTTTTCTCCCTTTTCACCATTTGGCCAGGAGGTGTGATCCGGACTGACTTGAGGTGGTGCGGTAGCATTCATACGGTGGCAGATGACCCGCCTGCGGGAGATGAACAAGATCAAGTTCGGCAAGAGATACACCATCTACTCGATAAAAGATGGCCAGCCATGTATGGACCACGACCGGAGTGATGGTGAGGGCGTGGGCCCTCAAGAGTACACGGCCCTGAAGCTGAAGGTCCTGGAATGGGCTCCCAAGGCTGCCGAGGCCATCAAGGGCAAGCTGCCCGACGGGGCCAACATCTTCTTCGTGCCTGCTACCCTCCGTCCCGAGACGATGTACGGGCAGACGTCATGTTACGTCGGTCCTAAGCTCACCTATGGCGTCTACCAGGCTTCGGAGAACGACTACTACATTATTGGTGACCGTGCCGCTCGTAACATGGCATTCCAGGGCCTGCTGAAGGACAACGGTGTAGCCCCCAAGTCGCTGGCTGAACTCAAGGGCTCGGACTTCATCGGCACCCTGGTGCACGCGCCCCTGTCCATGCACAAGGATGGTGTTCGCATCCTGCCCATGGACACCGTCCTGGAGACGAAGGGAACTGGTGTTGTGACGAGCGTCCCATCAGACTCTCCCGATGATTATGCCACGGTACGAGATCTGGCCAAGAAGTCTGACTTCTACGGCATCCAGAAGGAATGGGCCGAGCTGGAGATTTTCCCCATTATCTCAACCCCGACGTACGGAGACATCTGTGCAAAGACCCTTGTGGAGAAGCTCAAGATCGCCTCGCCCAAGGACACGAAGCCTCTGGCTGAAGCCAAGGAACTGGCGTACAAGGAAGGTTTCTACCAGGGAACTATGCTGGTAGGCAAATATAAGGGAGAGAAGGTTGAGGCTGCAAAGCCAAAGGTTCGCGCCGACCTCATTGCCGCCGGCGAGGCATTCCCTTACGCCGAGCCCGAGGGCCAGGTCGTGAGCAGATCTGGTGACAAGTGCATCGTGGCGCTGATGGACCAGTGGTATCTGGACTATGGTGAGGAGAAGTGGAGGGACCAGGCCATTGACTGGGTGCAACATGGCCTGAACACCTACTCGACCGAGACCAAGAATGCTTTCGTGGGTGTTCTGAACTGGCTGAACCAGTGGGCCTGCGCGAGAACTTATGGTCTCGGGTCCAAGCTGCCATTTGATACCAACTTCTTGGTCGAATCCCTGAGCGACTCAACGATTTACATGGCATACTACACTCTTGTCCCCTGGCTGCACACGGATCTGTTCGGCCGGGAAAAGGGCAAGGGCAACATCTCGGCCGACCAGATGGTTGATGAGGTGTGGGACTATGTTTTCTCCAGAAGTGAACTTACCGACGAGGTACTGGAGAAGAGCAAGATCCCCAAGGCCACTCTGGAGGGCATGCGCCGTGACTTCGAATACTGGTACCCTCTGGACGTCCGTGTTTCTGGCAAGGACCTCATCCCGAACCACCTGACTTTCTTCCTCTACAACCACATTGCCTTCTTCTCTCAGGAGTATTGGCCACGTGGTATTCGTGCCAACGGCCATCTGATGCTGAACGGTTCCAAGATGTCCAAATCCACTGGCAACTTCATGACCCTGGATGATACCGTCAAGAAGTACGGTGCCGATGCCGCACGAATTGCGCTGGCAGATGCTGGTGATGGCAACACTGACGCCAACTTCGAAGAGGATGTGGCTGACAATGGTGTCCTGAGGCTGTTCAACAACCGGGAGTGGATCGAGGAGGTGTCCAAGGACCCCGATCTGAGAACAGGCCCCCTGAACTCGTATCAGGACGCGCTCTTTGACAACGAGCTGAACGTTCTCGTGGCGGATGCCAAGAGAGAATACACCGACACGAACTACAAGCTGGCCTTGAAGGCAGCATGGTTCGACTTCACCTCGGCAAGGGACTTTTACCGCGAGGCTTGTATCGGCGCCGGCATCAAGATGCACAAGGATCTCATCTTCCGCTACTTTGAGCTGCAGGCTCTAGTTCTGGTTGTCATCGCACCCCATTGGTGTGAGTGGATCTGGCTGGAAATCCTCAAGAAGCCACAGTCCATCCAGCTGGCCCAGTGGCCTGAGGTGCCGGCGGCCAACTTTGGCCTGTCTGCGGCTCGCGACTACGTCCGGCAGACGTCGAGCAACATCAACAGTGCCGAGTCGACACAGCTCAAGAAGAAGGCCAAGGGCAAGGAGACGGTCTATGATCCCAAGAAACCCAAGATGCTCACGTAAGTCTCCCTTCCTTCCCCATTGCATCCTCCATATTGGAGCCTTCCTCTCTTGCCCCTAAATTGGCTAACGCAAATCGTTCCTATACACAGCATCTTCACCACAGACAAGTACCCCGCTTGGCAAGAGAAGTACATCGACCTCCTCAGCGAGCACTGGGACACCTCGAGCAAGTCCATCAAGGATGAGAAGGCCCTCAACGACCAGATCAAGAAGGGCGGCGAGGCCAAGAAGGCCATGCCCTTCGTCAAGCAGCTCCAGAAGCGCCTCGAGGCCGGCGAGGACGCCTCGGTTGTCCTGTCGCGCAAGCTCGGCTTCGACGAGCAGGCTATCCTGCTCGAGATGGTGGCCGGCCTGCGCCGCACCACGGGCTTCTCCAAGATCGTCGTCGTACACGTGGCCGAGGGCTCCAAGACGGGCAAGGACCTGACGGATGCTGGGAAGGGGGTGGACGTGAGCAGCCCCATTGGTGCCAATGCCGTGCCCGGGGCGCCAAGCTTCATGTTTGAGAACCATGAGGGATAGATGCGAGGATGAAGTAAAAGCATAGATGCGGCGACGAAACACAAAATAGAACATAACCATTTGGAGAGGAATAGAAAATACGTGTTGCTGCTGCGAGAGCATAGGGAATTGAAGAAGAATCACCTCAATTACGTTTGGAAGACAAGCACCCAAGCTCTTGTCATGACCAATAACACAGACACCCCGTACTGTAATGTTATTACACTGGTAAAATGCAAATGCGGAAAAGGGGGGTCCTTGTCCTCAAGAAATGACTGACATAATCTTTTGACGGCCCCTTGAATGGTCAAGTAGTCTGCGGATCTAGTGCCCTATATTCATGCTACTGGCTACAACGGCTCTTCCTTCATCCTTCATATCGTACGTTGCTTGTAAACTAAACACATAGTGTAATCCTGGTACCGTCTCTCAATGACAACCAACATGGATGGGCATCTCATGCCCCAACTTCTCTGAGCTTGTGATCAAACTCCCGCTGTATCATCTCAAACATTTTGAGCACCTGTGGCAACCTTTTCTCGCCGTCGCCATCCCAGGCAGGCCCGGCAGCAGAGTCAGAGATGCTGGATCCAGGGCCTTCCGATGAGCCGGGCAGATTGAAATCTTTCTCGTTATCATCATCACTGATATCGTCGTCCCATGAATCAGCAACAACGGTCTTCTTAGCCTTCTTCCGTGAATTAGTTCCCATTGCTAGTCTCTCCGGGAGCTCAGCCTTCGGATGGTCTTCATTGTCCAGTGAGCCAGAATCGACGGCATTTTCTTCATCCAGACGCTCCTGATAAGCATCGTCGGCGTCCTGGATATCTATCATATCCATGTCGTCATTTCCAGATGTGAGGTCCATGAAGTTGCGCAAGCTCGTGACAATCGTGGCCAGGACCAGCGAGAAATCTTTCAGCCGAAACCAGACGTCGGCCCGTTTGATGTGGTTGTCTCGAACAATAGCCTCCAAGTCGCCGTGCTTGTAAAAGTGGTACAGGTAGGCGTTCCAGGGCGAAGTCGTGTCGTCTGGGAATAATGGGATGAAGGGAATGGCGGACTCTTCCAGGAACACCCCGCTACGGGTGGTACTGCAAAGCTCGTGAATGGAGTTGAAGGAGTCGTCTCCGAACCCGGAAAGTGCAGCGAAGGGCGAGCGCACCTTTGTGGGTGGGCGGCATGCATCTCCAAGGACTCTATGTACTGCTTCATTGCCATAGTTGTCCTTGGAGACACCCACTTCAAGACCCGTGAAGGGTAGATTTTGATCCGGTCTGTCAGCCAAGTGCTGGTCCACAAATGCGAACGCGTAGTTCTGGAATATATCGAGAGTTGTGCGGTTGTGGTCTCGCAGGATCCTGAGAGCAGCATCAGGCAGAGGGGGCAGAAGGATGACTGATGGCGACCGCTGGATGGTCTGCTCCCAGCTCCTGTTGATGTTTCCTACTGGAATGCGGCAGAATATATGAGCCAGAACCAGGACGACCTTTTCAAGCTTGGCGTCCATCGTGGCCTTTCTCTCGGCACTCAGGTCGTGGAAATAGCCTTCCTTCAACAGCGAGTGAAAGGCGAAGACTGCGTTCTCGGTATAATAAAGGTGTCCCACCAGACCAGCAAAGTTCAGGGGTGTGCCATCACTCCCAAGAAGGTGTTGTTGGCGGAGATACTCGATGGAGAAGCGCACGTGGTGCTTGATGGACATCTTATCAGCTGGTCCACCTAGGTATAGGCGCGTCTGGGACAGAAGGGACTGCACCGCCCGGACTGCAAAATCAGAGTTCCTCGTGTGATGCAAGAGACTCATGGTCCTCAAAATAAGTGTAGTCGAAAGAGGAAAGTGTCCACGAAGATCAGGCAGTCGGGATGACATGATTTCGTAACAACGCTCCTGCGACATGCCAGCAAATACAACATTGCCCAGCAGATCGAAGCCTCGGCGGCCGGCACGACCTGCGGCCTGGTGATAATTGAGAGACGTGAGGTACACGGAATCCCCGTAGAAGACGACCGTTTTGCAGGGCATGTCTTGGTAGCTGCTAGTTAGCAAGTAGTTATTCTTCCGTATGTCTCGTTGCGATGCTCTCCCAGGAAGACTTACTTATGCCGAGCGCCAACGTCCCCGTGGCAACAACCACCGATAAGAACCCCTTCCGAAAGAGCATCTCCACAACCTGACGATACTTGCGATTCATCCCAGCATGATGCACAGCCACCCCACGTCTGAGGGCACCAATAAGTTTCGGGTTGATCTTCCCAAATTTCAGGGAAGCGATGGTTTTCTCCAGTTCGGAAGGGGCAAACTTGGTCTCATCAGCAAAGGAGAACATAGCAAGCGGTGCTTGCGGGTCGAAATGCTCCCAAGCGCTGGAATCATGCGCTTCTCGAATATCGTCGTCTCCGCCTTCGTCGCCTCGAGGCTTTGCCTTCAACTTGGCTTTTTTTTCCTTCTCCTTGATGGCCTTCATCTTGTCACTATCCTTTTTGTACTTCTCAAACTTGCCTATTGTTTTCTTCCAATCCGGACTTGATGCCTTCCACGCGTCTTCCGCCTCGGAAAGCTGGGAGAGTAGTCCGAAAGCGATCATCTCACAGTTCGTCCGATCGTAGTTGAATAAGATAGCAGGCAGGGCTCCTTGAGCGCGAAGATCGGTAAGGAGAGACAGAGCATGCTTGCAAAGATCTCGGCGGTCGAACTCAGACATGTTGTATGAAGACTGGAGATCTTTGAGAACAGCTTCGAATGGGGATGTTCGATCCGTCATCCATGTTTCCAAGCTCTTTTTGAGCTGGCTCTCATACTCAGCCACATCAGCCTTCCTCAAGATGTATTTGTAAGACGGCTTATCACTGCCTTTAACGTGCCGAAGTGCCTTCTCAGGCTCCAAGGTTGGATCGAGGCGATGTGTCTCGGTCTGGTGTTTCGCCATTGACTCCCACAGAGTGATACAGTCTCGTGGCTCGAGGCTGATGTCTTGAAGCGTGCCGCGAGCCCGGTTGACAATACTAGCCATGGGGTGGACGTACGAAAACTGGCCTGCAGTCCCACTGCCATCATCTAAACCAGGAATGGGGAGCCTGTTGACAGGTTGCAGACCAGCGAAGGCAAGATCTTCTCGTGGCTGCGGTTCCCAGAGAAATTTCCGAAGGTCAGAGTATCGTGTCGAGTGAACGATCATCTCCAATTCGTTCCCCTTTGCCTTCTCGGACCCTTCAAGCCAGGTTCTGAACTCTCGTGGATTACCTACTGTTGCTGATAGGGCAATGATAGGGCATGGGGCCAGGAGGAGCAGCTGCTCCCAGATGACACCATCTTCTGCCTGGCCGATGCAGTGGACCTCATCGAAGATAACACGTTCAACTCTTCGAGACCACGAGTTTGGGGCTTCCGCATTGGACGGCGCCATCAGCATGATTTGGAGGATGTGGGGGACCGTGACCAGCACTTGACAACCAGTTGGGTTGTTTACCCGATAGTCCCTGGTGTGAATTGCCCACACAGACTTAGCATTGCGATTAAAAGACTTCCTGAAACGAGCCTGTATCTCAGCCGCAATTTGGTTCACGAGTGCCTTTGTTGGAGCCACGTAGACCAACACTCCATCATCGCTGTTCTTGAGCACCTTCTTCATGGCGTAGAAGGAGATGAAGGTCTTGCCCGCGGAGGTGGGTGCCACCACAAACAAGCTCTTGTCAGCGTCAATGGCATCGAGAACCCTGCGCTGCCATGCATCTGGGTGAAAAGGTACGCGAGGATCAGGCGCAGGATCGAAGCTCCGCTCGAGGACTGGACCACAATACCGAAGCTGGAAGTTAATCCCAGCAGGTACATCCGGAAATTGGACGGTGTTTCCAGATTTATTGAGACGCAGCGCCGTAGACCACATGAGCGCTGCGATGTTCATGCCCATCGTCGTGGACCGTCCTACCTTTGCCAAAATGTTGGCAAGGGTGTTGCAAGCGTAGAGAGCAACCTCTCCCTCGATCGCAGCTTTGGCATGGTCTGACATTCCATTCAGGTATTTGACTACCTTGGAATATCGCCTGACAAGGTCGGGTTCCATGTCAAAAGACTTGCGCTCCTCTTTCCAGAGGAGTAGTGCGCCGTCTGCTTTGGCGCCGGCCTTTCCCTTTCTTACGGCTTCAGCAGCTTCTAAGGCAAGTTGCTTCCCACTCTTCGCTTTGGCTTTCTTTCCACCCTTCATCGTTGTGGTCTTGACAGGCTGCGGCTGCTTTGAGGAGCTGGCAGGAGACTGATTTGGCTCTTCCGCCACGACAACAATGATCTCCGGATCGATGATCTTTCCCGTGGCATTCGTCAAACTTGCAGAGTATTGAAGGTGGGTCGCCATGAACCTCTGCTCGCTTCTCAACTCCCACTTCGTCTTGGTACGAGGAGGCCGCTTAATATCAATGGAAACACGCGAGTTGTGCCAGTGGGTGAGCTCCTTGAAAATTTTGGGTAGGTGGTCCCGCTCAACAACGGAGGTAGGTTTGATGTGAACGTCCTCAAGGTAGTTGTCTAGGACTGGATGTGAGAATGGAAGCACGCTATTTTCTCGTGTGCCTGCGCTAGCAGCACTGAAGCCAAGCTCGGGCTGCTTAGGTGGCGGGTTATTCCACGATATGTCAACACCAGTGATTTGCTTGACTCTGTGTGCAAATTCCTGGGCTTCAAGGACCAAAAATTTTGGGAGGCTAGGACAATGTCGCGATTCCAAACAGTTGAGAAGCCTGCCATCCAGCAAGTCGAACGAGTCCCAGACGACGTTATTTGGCACTAGATCGAGAGCAGTCCTGCAATAAGACGAGAAGTCTGAGACAAACTTGATCCGTGATGCATTCTTTGGTAGGCCGACTATCTGTTCGATAGACCGTCGAGACAGTGGCAATCTCCTTAATAGAACCAGATGAACAACGTACTGAGCTGCCCAGGAGCAGAATTCTCGCGACTCTGGACCATTGGTCTTGGCCATGGCACAAAGGGCATAGATGGCAGTGAGCTCACGGCTCGTGAGGCAATTGCCATCTTCCCATGGAGTCCAGTCCTGGATTGAACCACGGACGTCGTTCAGGAGATAGGGATCAAAGGAAAAGACGGGTGTTTCCTCGCCGGATGTTGGGCAGAGGAGTGGATTCGCCTTCCAGTAGGAAGAGGGCGAAACGACTGAGCAGTATACCTTGAATGACGGGGCTCACGCGTCAGCATCAGGACATGTAAAGGACATAAACTGACCAAATCTTTGGCATACCTTTGAGCTGGCGAACTCAAGCCCATTAATGAATGCAAGGCTATACCCCCTAACCCCAAGCTCCCGCACGATGCTCATGTGTGTAGTAGTAGAGTTTCTCGACAATGAGCCAAAGGTCTTGGCGTCGAGGCAGAGGAAGAAGTGGACCGCATTCTCTTGAAGATACTGCTCGAAACCCTGGTCATCCAAGCTCGCGAACTCGAAGCAGACCGCATCGCTGCCACCGCGGCTAGGATCAGGTATGGCAGCATGTGAACGCTGAAGGTGACGAATCATGATGGCGCGTATCAAGAGATGTTTGCTTGTAAGAGACTCTGGAAGAGTATCTCCTGGGAGACAAAGTCGTTCCTGGTCGCGAAACCAGACAATGTGAAAGTTGCAGCCTCGGTCCTTCAGCTTCTGCAGGAAACTCTCTACCGCGTGAACTGCGTGGACGAGTTGAAACCCATCTAATAAAACGGATCAGACGCGTCAAAGAAGAAGAACAGGACAGCATTATGCGGCGGATGCATGCGAAGAGAGGAGTAGGAGGAGCAGGAGGAGGAGGAGGAGGAGGAGGAGGAGGAGGAGGAGTGGGCTTGCCTTGGAGATCAACGCGAGCCTTGTGAATGCAATGCAGCATCAGTGCGTCGCCATGAATGACAAACAGCTCCTTGCCTGCGAAATCACCGATGAGATCGACCTTGAGAGGGCTAAGTGACTCGTACCAAGCGTCAATCGCTTCGTGAACATCTTTTGAGGATGTCATGATAGTGAGTGGTTGTTGTTGCTGGCGTTGTTGTTGTGGTTATCGTCTTTAAGGGTGAGGGGAGTTGAAACAAGAGTTGGTGATTTAAATACGTTAAGTGTTTGGGTGTTGGGTACTGTTTGTTCTGATGCGGTGGTTTGCGTTGGGTCGGGAGCCAGTGAGCACTGCACATGCAGCATGCAGTATGCAGGCCTCTTGCATATGAACGACACGTCGGCAACTGTGCGCGGGTGGCAGTTGCCCGACCCAGCAGCAGAGCAACGATCATCCGTGGCGACGCCTGCCAACCGCAGCAGACATTTTGCACAGCCTACCTGCCTTGCTTCCACCTGGATCTGCCATAGCAAGTAACTAAGTACTTACCTGAGGTACCTTCACAACCTCGACCTCAGCGCCTGCCCAAATATTTGAGTAAGTACTTACTTACCCAGCCTGGTTGTCGAGGTGACCGAAAGAGTTCCTACCTAACTGGACCTACCTTTGATCTGCAAATTCCTCGCCAAGAATGGTGAGATCATAACGTAGCCGAAACATATTTATCATAATTATTGGAGGATCTTGCTCGTTGGTGACTTGCGACCATGTCTTTCAGTCCGGAATTACACCCATGCCGAACCATGTTGATAATATGGGCACACGTCTCTATTAGAAGGCTACAAGCCACATAGCCTTAAGTAGAACCTACCATCGCCGATGTGTAAAGTAAGTAATCATCCATCAGTACATCTCAGTCATCAAGAAGAGAACTTGGGGTTAGTCTCCTGACAGAGCATCCCATCGGGCGTCATATGATAGACACCCTGTTCAGCTTCATCCTGACGTTCAGACAGGGTCCATTGGAAGACGTGCGACCTGTCCTTGTATGGCCTGATATCATACAACCCACCTGGCATCACCGGCTTGTGACCGTAGTGCACCGTCAGGGTCTTGAAAGGGGCCTTCCTTGGGAAAGCTTGATCACGCAGGTAATGGCAGATCCTGCTGGCGGCAAACGAGAGCCTGCCCGTGATGATAAGCTTCTCTTTATTCTCCTCCTCCTCTTCCTCCTCAAAGTCCTGGAAGAACTCGAGGTGTTGGAGCTGCCGGAACGAGGCCAGGGCACGGTAGATGTGTTGCGGCCATTCGCCCTCTGGACAGACATCAACAGCCAACTCCTCGATGTGCGGACAGCCCTCTGAGATAGCCAACAAATCCTCCGCGCTGACGGACTGCTCCCATTCTACCGGTTTCTGTGTGGGAATCTGGTGAATCTTCAACCTGCGCAGGCTCGGCCCATGCCTCAACAGATTGTCCAGGCCTATACTGACAAGCCTCCGGACCGTTATAGCCTCAAGGGGGCTTGTGATGTCATCATAAAACATTCGCAGGTCTTGTTGCTCGATGTCGGCAGATCTGGCCATGCCCAACCCCAGATCCACTTCGCGGAGGGCCGTGAGCCATGGCAGGAGCTGCAGCCCTAGGTCCGAGTCCGCCGTGTGTAGACGCCGGAGGCGGGACCAGTCAAAAATCGAACCCCAGCTCACCTCCTCGCGCACGGCCAGCGGATACCCATCGCTATGGCACAGACTGGATGGCTGCCAGTGTGGCCAGGGGCTTCCATAAAAACAAATCCCCTCCTGCGCGGGCCGGCCGAACGGATATGCAGCAACCTCGAGCTCCTCAAGAGCAACAACCGGCCGCTCAGCCTCGGTGAAGCCGAGCCCGGTATACTCCTTGAGTGGTGAAAACGTGAAACACCCCGGCTTGGGCAGGCCGACCTTCAGTGTGAGCTTGCGGAGGTTGGGGCAGGACTGGAGCACGCGCCTGAGGGGCAGCATCGTGTTGAAGCACTGTGCCGCATCTACATACTCACACCTGACGTCGAGTGAATACAGACTCCTGCTGTTTACCAACTGTTCAAGCACGTAAGCTTTCGAGCGGTCTGCGTTTCGGGCGTGAGGGTCCGGAGGGGAGGGCAGTGGCACCGGCGCGACGGTCCCGTTTTCATGCACAACGCGGCCGGGAATCGAAACGACGTGGAGACGGATCGTAGGACGGTCCTGCAGGAACGCAAGCACTGGTTCAGGTATGGCATCTTGATATTGCCATGCCAGATCGCGCAGGCCAGACAGCTTGATAATGAACCGACCCAGTTCAGCCATCAGGGCCGGTGTTGCGCCGGCACCAGAGATGGTGAGGCGTCGGACGTCAGGAAGGAAACCAAACTTGTCCAAATATTCCATACGGGCACGGGCCTGTTTCTCCCCTTGTACATCCCTGTCCCAAACGCGCAGGTTGAGTGTGATCTGTCGATGTTGGGCGTGCCGGGCCAGGTCATAGAAAGTAGGGCTTACGAGGGCCAGTGTCGATAAAGTCTTTGGGCTGTCGGCCTCAAGCACGTCCACGATCATGACGAGGATATCAGACCCCAGATCTTCTAGGGAAGGGAGTCCTGAGACTAGTCGGGTATCTTGGCGACGTTGCTTTCGCGTCTTTGGAATTGCTGGCTTCTTTGGAGGACGCCGACCTTTGCGGGGCCTTGGGTGTCTCCAGCAAAAGAGCCCTCCTAACAATGAAGGCGAACTTAAGACCATGGTGATGATGATGATGATGACTTTGTTGTTCTTTTTGTTGTTGATGATCAGCGATGTTGGCGCAACAGGTCGATCTAAACATCTCGACGCATGGAATGAGGCCTTCATCCAAAGTGCAGTTCCCAACTCCTCATTCTGCCTGGCCAAGACTGCCTTAGCCTTCAACTCTGGCAGTCAACGAGTGACGGCACGCTATGCTGACTGCAGATGGACCTGCATGCTCACTCTCCAGATCACAGGCGACAGAGACCAGGATCCAGCCTGTTGGACCTGGCCATGATCAATATGAGAGAGCGATGTGAGTCGATAAACCAAACTAACAAGAAGAGGAACGATGGAATGTCCAAAACACGGTAGTCACGGGTCGAAGGTTGGCCAGATGAGAAGCTCAATGGTGATGAAGCCTGGCTGTGAGGTCGTAAAGAGGAAGGAGACGATCTGCGCCACAGATAACGCTCGACCCCCAGGTCAAGTGTGGCTCAGTCACACCAGCCACACCTCTGCGCTGTGGAAATAATCTTAAAATTGGCTATTATGGCAGTTCCTCTTTCTCTCTCCACTCCCCGGATCTAGCGCCTTTTACTACTCACGTAGCGTAAATAGTACACTTCTGGTGGCCCGCTATAGCCGCCTCGTCTGCTTTCTCGTCACATTCCTGCTTTCTTTTCTTCAAGTTTTGGCCTATTGATACGTTCACGAATAGCTTGCCAGGAAGAGGATTACAAGCTTGGAGGAGGGGGTGCTCACGCAATACTACACCATGCAGCTGCTCATGCAGGTGGTGCAGATTATTCGACGGGCTATGACATATCCCCTGTCTTTGGCCCCTGTCAGTATGATTGAGGCTTCTTTGGAAGGTTGTCGTCAAGCTTGCAACAGGGGCGGGACGGTCCTGCCTTCCTCTCTCCGTGCGTGTGTATGTCTATCTATCTAGGCAGAATTCGATAGGCTGCAGGCATCTTTTGCAAGGCCATAAAGAAGAAAAAGGTAACAGATCAGACCCGCAGATCAGCAGCATTCTTGGCGTCAGGCGGCTGCTGCTGCTGCTGCTGCTGACCGTTGACAGTTGCTCACCGATCCCTCCCTGGCTCTGAGGCATTTCGCTCGACTTTTGACGAGGGGGCCACACAAGCACTGCTCTCTGCCTGCTCCGTGCATCGTTTTCCAATTCAAAGGTCCACCCTCTTCTCTTCTCCTGATCCACCAAGGACCAAACATGTCGACATAAACAAGAAACGGGGGTACAGGGGTGGGGGGTGGGTTTTGTTGAACAAGGTCGCACTCAGCTGCCGTGGCCTTTCCCCTTCCCGGGATGTTTGTCCCAAAAAACCTGTCTCCTGTGGTGCTCCGCCAAATCCTACGCCCGCTTAGGCCGGAGCATATCAGACAAAGATCTAACCTCGCATAGTAATACAGCAATGTCACCCAAGGCAAAAGTCAAAACCTGATGCTGTATGACTGTAACTTGTCCAACCTCTTTATTTTTTATTTTTTATTTTGTTTGACGATAGTTACATTCTTGTTACGACGCGACACAATAGCGCCTCACTTGTTGGTCACAAATCCTCCCCCCGTGTCTCTCCACCCGTCAGAAAGGAGGGTCCTCAGCCTTTCCAAAGGGGGCTCGACCCGGGCTTATTGCCTGCTCCAGAACAGTTCCTTATCTGAATTGCGGCTCCACAGGGGTCAAATCGTCGCTACAACCTTGTCACAAGTTGCCTTGAACGAAACAAAGCTGGACGGCTGGCTGCTTTGCGTTCAGCTTTTTAGTTTTCTTTTTTTTTTTTTTTCCTTCTTCCAAAGCGCGCCCCCCCCCCCACCTGTTCCCCCCTTCTCTCTCACCTCTCTCGCTCGGCTCCATGGGTCCCACCGCAACCTCAATTGTTTGGCGGGCTGTTTGAAGAGCCGAGTGACTCTTGCCCCAGAGTTCCCCTTCTTTTTCATCATCTTCTTTTCGCCCCAGAAGCACCGACCAAGGAAGTCTTGAAAAAGCCTCGGCGCTGCCCACCACCCCTGGGGCCGCCGATGGAGCACTCAATGGGAAGAGACGAACGACCTCGCGCATCCACTCTCACTACACACGCAGATCCATCTCTTTCACTCACTACTTGACTGGCCTCTTTCCTGGTCAGAACCGAAAAGAAAAAGAGAAACAAAAAGGAGCGCAAATAATTGCAACGCCCACACATTATACCAGATCGATCTGCTCTTCAGGGCCCCCAGTCAACCAGGCCACCACGCGATTCTTATCCTTGGGGCCAAGAGATCGCCAATCTTTAGATCTCAACCCAAAGAAGATCTCTGAAAGGTCTCCCCTTCCCGCGCCTAGGATCATACGAGAGTAAATCCTCATAATTGCGTACACACACACACGAAAAGAAAGAGATGCGCTTCCCTCATCTCGTGGCCGCCACCCTGACAGGCGTGCCGGGCCTGGTCTCAGCGGACCCTTCATCGAGTTCCAGCTGCACAACAACCACAAGCACCCTCACCTCCTCCTCCACGGTGTCCGTGACGCTGCCGAATACAAACAACCCCTGGTCCTCATCGATATCGACAGCAAACTTCACCATCACTGACACCGTAACCACCTACTCGACCACATCCACCCCACTCGTCATCATCACGGGCGGCAACAGCACCTTCTCCGTCTCGCCCACGTCTACTACGCCCGCCACCGTGTCTTCCAATGTGGCCGCCGCCGGCGAGGGCCTCGCGGGGGACAGCAGCATGCTGGGGCTGGTCGTCTTCTTTGCGCTGTCCCTGTGTTTGCTGTGAGGACACAGGCCGTGGCTCTTGATCCTCTTTTTCGTTTATTCCTGCTTTCTGCTTTCGGCGATACGAGTCATGGAACAATTTTTTCTCTCTTTTCTTTTTTCTCTTGGGACGACATGATACCACCAGGGATTGCATCACGAAGCATCATGGCAGGGCACTGGAGTTTTTGGATACTTCGAACTACCCTTGCGAGGGACTTCATCTGGGGAAGGGCATCTTAACGCGGTTTCGGGGGTTTTTTCCCTCTCTATTCTTTCTTCCTTCTTTCTTCGGAGTTGGGCTCTCATGATGGTCAAGAGACGGACCGGCCAGCCTGTCCGGGATTTTGGAATGAGGCAGTACGGCTTAATGCATAATGTAGACAGGATCTATGGAAAAAAAGCAGGGCTTCTACCTTCTCTCAAGACTCTCGCGTCCTTCTTGCCTCTCCCTCCACCGTGCACAATCACTTGTGCGCGCCATTGTCCTTGTTCTGATGTGCACCCTAGTCTTCCGAACAATGGTGCGAAAACCCAACAAGTGACGATAACATGCGCTCGCTCTGTCGCCCTGATCCGGTTCCACAAACTTGTGGCGGCGCTCATCTCGACCCCTCTCGTATGCCACTTCCTGACCTCTACAAAGTTTGTTTTCCCCCTCTCTCCGCAGCGCTTGCGTACCCATCACACAGCCAAACGATTTCCTCACCGCAAACATCGAACACCGCAGTCCGCAACGGCAGTAACGTGGGACGCAGATGATCATCATCGTATGCAGCTCCACGACAGGATTTCTTGGAAACGGGTGGCCCTGCTGTGAGAGCGTCACCACATGATGTTTCCACTGCATCTTCTCCCCTTCCCCTCTTTTCGCCTCGAATTGCCGTGCTGGGTATGTTGTGCTTGCCGTCTGAACTCAGCACTTGTGAAAAACCCGCCCAACCTGTCGCGTCGGACAAGTAAGTTGGCGGCGCCCGTGGCCGGAAGCGGGCGGCCCAGCAAGATGTGCTCGAGTTGCAGGAATGTCTGTGTGTCTCTCTCTCTTCCGCCCGAGTGGAGTGTCGTGTCTTCTACCGAGAGAAGTTGTGCTCGCGGTCCCGTCATTCAAGCGGCAACGGAAACCTGCGCGGGCGCCTCATCCTGCTCGGGTTCTGGCTCGGGGCTTTCGGGCTTGGGGAGATTATCCTGTGGCGCAAACACGAGCACAGAAGAAGGTCAGTCCAACCGCCCACAAGTGTTTACCAAACCGAAAAAGAAGAAGAAGAAGAAGAAAAGGGGGGGGGGGCGGCAGAGGAAGGTCCTCCTGACCTGGCGTAATGGCTAGGTCAAGACGAGATGAGTCGGCTCAGGAGGGAAGGGTTGCCTTACTACCTCATATATGACGCGAATCATCAGGCTGCAGCTCGGGCACACTGCGATATCCGTCTCCTCGTCCTGGAGGTCCGCGAGGGCAATCTGGAAGCGGTCGCCGCAGGGGCATGGATAGAAGTAGGTCTGCAGGGCCTCGTCATAAGTCATGTCCTCGATTTCGACCTCGTCGTAGACGGAAATTTCCTCTTCGTCGGACATTTTGTGTTGGTGTGAGTCTGATGCTTCAGGCTGGGTTAATCTCTAGTTTGAGAAGATGAGGTGTGTGGTGTTTGAGTCGAGGGCGCAAAGCAGGAGGGGGGGTGTTGTGGTTGTGGTCGCGAGGTTGCTCCCAAAAAGTTGAGTCGACGGTGTGGCAAAACTTCTGACAGGCCTATCAAAGTGAGTAGTGCCGGCCTAGGCGCTGATGGGATTTGAAGATTGCCATACATAGAAGGCGGTCAAGTGAACCCCCCCCCCCCCTGTACCATGGACTTTACTAATGGCTGTTAGTACCATTATACATGCCGACACCCTCTGTCACCAGCCTTTCCGACCAGGTTTTTCCATTCCCATATTGTATTCATGCTGCAAACTCCCCCAGATCCCAATCTGCCTATTGGGACGAAATACTGTATCCTGTCGAGGTATGATTGGCCTCTTGATGAATTGCTAATTACCACCTGTCTCATACTTTGAATGTCTGGTAATTAATCTGGCTTTCATGGTCTGGTTTCCGTCACACTTTACAGAAGAAGAGTATAGACTACTCAAGTGATATCTAATCACCTTTCAAACTTCAGGCTTCTTTGTGCTCTTCCAGTCCTTTACATCAATCTGGCCATCACAGTGCTATGTTCTTCTTCAAGGTGTGTTTCATGCGCAAACGACAGCCTCTGGCTGCTACATTGGCAAATATGATTTATACGAAGCAGACTAGTGAGTGACCCACCCTTCAACTGGCCATCTATTCCTTAGGGCTGTATGACATCTACTCCTCTGGTATGCCTCAGGAAAGTGGAAGAGATCGGATCCCACGCTGAGGCAGAGGCGCTGTGAAACAAGCAGGGACCTCAACCCGTAAAGATGAGTCTCTAGAGAACCTACAGACTATGTTCATCACTTTCCAGTTAAAGAAGCCATGCCCTGGTTAGCAGTTCAAAATCCTAAGTGAAACTCAGAGGCCCCAAAGGCACCTCCACACTTGTGAATCGATCCCGGCCTCTGTCAAGTACACGTCGACGCCTGGACACTCATCAGTGACAAAATATGAAGATCATGCTGCATGCAACCCGACATAAGTGGAAAATGATAGTAATTCAGCGGAGCAAGCAACTGAACTCCAAGTCCTTGGCCCAGCAACAACCAAACTTCGACGCCTTTTCCAAGTGCATTCCCATTCATGAATATTGTCCACCACAGTCCTAATCGCACCCTTCTCCAAACCTCTATCCCCTTAGCAAAGCCATCAATGATTAGTCCTCATGAAAGAAAACATCAGTCCAACTTGACCAGCCCTGGCCCTCTTCTATCCAGATACCAGTAAATGAAACCTCTAGAAGTAAGTTAAGTACTCAGTATCACAATCTCAGCATCACCCTGATCAACCAGCTACTAAACACTCCACAGAAAATGTCTCCATCCTACCACCCAGGTCCTCCCAACTACACCCTCCAACCTAAAAAAAACCCCCTCGACCAAACGACCGCCCTCTCCATCATCAACATCCCCCCCTCCACCACCGTCCGCGACCTCATCCGCAGCATCATGTCCGTCGGCCCAACAGGCCGCATCCTGTTCGCCCGCCTCTACGAAACCCCCTCGAGCAGCAGTCCCACCCCCGCCAAAACAGCCAAGGTCGCGTTCGCCACGCGCGCAGAGGCCCAGCGCCTCTTCGTTATCGCACACCAGGGCCTGTTCCAGGTGCAGGGCGCCACGGTCCGCGCGTTCTGGAGCAGCGAGCTGTGGACGTCGCTCGAGTGCGCCGGGCCCATCTCGCGCGTGCTGATCATCCAGGGCCCGCGTGAGGTCGTCAACCAGAACAGGCTGCGGCAGTATTTTCAGAACAGGCTGAGGAGGTGCGATACCGAGCATTTCGTCTTTACTGAGTTGAATAATGAGCCGGAGAGAGAGGGTGGTGGTGGTAATGGAGGCGCGTCTGGTCACGTGCAGGCTATCTGGCGGTTTGGGAGCTGGTTTGATCAGGCCGAAATGGCAGTCGAGTGCCTCAAGAGAGACTTTCCACTCCTGGTTACTGTTCGCTATGGGTATGATCCTTGCTGCTGCTCACCTGGTCCAGCTGCCAGGGTTCTTTGGAACTCGTAAAGAGAAACGCGCAATGTGGCCGTGGTACAGGAAGGAAAGAGGGCCTTCTGTTTTCCTGTTCCTGTTTAATTCAAAGGGTGTTATAGGCGAAAGAACCCAGAATCATTGACCTCAAATGTACATACCCTGCTAAACTCTACAGATAATCAACGAGAGAACCATTACAACCTCAATGCGCGTGCTTTCCCCTTCCCTCACTTCAGTTCAGGTGGTTCAGCAACAATGTCGACAGCCTGCTAATCTCATCTGCATCCCGCCTGATGTCAGGATCACCAGGCTGGAGAGCCTTGGCCTCGTCGATGAGACTCTGCGCCTCCAGCAGATCCCCTGTCAGCCTCGCCGCCTGCGCCGCCTTGTACAACAATTTAGCCCTCTGCCGCGGGCTGGGTGTCCACCAGGTGCCCAACACATTGCTAACCGTTTCGGCGGCGCGGCAGTTGCCGTCCACGCGCCACCGCGCGTCATCCATCTCCATCTCGTCGTCCAAATCGTAGCCGCGCATGTCGCTGAGAATGGCCTGCGCCTGGTTGCTGTACAACGTGAACAGCAATTCGGCCATTTTGTCTAGCACGCCTCGACCGTACAACGACTGTACTCGCGGCCAGTTGCGCCTCACGGCCATGCGCCGCAGCAGTGCAGTGGCGGTGGACCATTTTTCGCCGGCCTCGAAATAGTCACCGGCATGGAAGAGCACATTTCCTTCGTCCTTGAGTTGAACTAGAGAGGCAACGAACTCGTCGGCGTCGGGAACAGCATCGCTCTGCATCTCCTCCACGGCAGAGGCAGCAAGGGCACGGTCGACCGTGCCTGTAATCTTGACGTTCAGAAAGCCGCGGTAGTGGTCGCAGAAGGGCTGTAGGAGGCGTTTCTGCGCGGCGAGGGTGTCGTAGCTCGGGTCTGCGTTCTTCATGAAAGGGTCGAGCATGTCGATGGTGTGTTCTGCGGTCGCCACCTCGTGCCCGCTGACCGCCGGGTCGGAGAGATCGCGCGCGAGAGCGTCGAGATCACGCCCGCGGATAAGTATGTCGCAAGTGTTGTACTCTCGTTGCCCTTCTTCGTCGAGGGTACCCTGGTTCAGCACTTGATACATCATGACCGCACCGCGAAAGTCTCTGGCGACCGACCAAGTAAGGATCCTCGTTGCTAAGACTACAATGTGCACATGAAGCTTGGTCAAGATTCGTGCGACGGGGATACCCCTCAGAGAGATGCCCACAAACTCGTTTCCTTTAATCATCGTGGCGCGGGCTTCGTGATGGACCTGGCGGCAGGTGAGCAGAATGGCCGTGTGGAATAGGTGCGTGATCTGCACAGGCCGGTGTCTCCTTTCCAACTCTGTGAGCTTGCCCAGGGGTTCAGGACAGAGCAGGTGTGCATAGACGCGGTTCCTTATCTCCGCGGGAAAGTTCAGAAAGGGAAATGCCATGACTACGGTGGAGGGCGAGGGCAATGCTTCTCAGTTAACAAGACAATGTGAATCGAGACAACCGTTTATCTGTCTCGAGCAGTCGTGGACAAGCTGGCGCGGGAGGTCTCCGGTTACTCTTGTTCCTGAGCAGCACCTTTGTGACGTCGTCGTCGTCGTCGTCGTTGTTGTTGTTGTTGTTGTTGTTGTTGTTGTTGTTGGAGTAGTGGCAAGTTAAGCATTGGAAAGGTGTCCAAGAATCTGAGAGCCTTTAAAGCCCAGTGCCGAGGACCCCGATTGCTACGCACGGAAGTTAGTTGCCGTTGCACAAATGCCATGTATGCTTGAAACGTTTGGGGGTGGCAAGTACGACATCGTGGTGGAGGCCAGTTGGTCGCCACTGGGCACCTGCATATACGAAACGTGCAGGCAGGCGCGCACATGCAGGCGCGCACATGCAGGCTGGGTGACAAGGGTTAGGGTCCAAACGCCGTCTCCAGCCCTTGACTCTATGCCCTTGGTGGCTGCCTTTTTCTGCGCGCTCCTGTCGTGCCAACCCAACCCAAGCCCCGGTTTGCCGGCCATGATTTCTCGGCCTCTTGTGCTCCCCTTCCGTCTTCCTTCCATTTCGACCTCTCATCCGGCCTTGCTAGCTGCTACCTCACCATTTGAGAGGCGCAGCCCGGATATGCCTCCAAGAAGCGTGCATTCAGCCCCCAACTGCCATTTGCATTAGCCAGGCCCAGTAGAGCAGGCTTCTAAGCTCCTGCCTACTTATCACAGTGAGGATGCTTTGAGTGAGCCGCTGTTTAGGCGACGGTGGAGGACAGATTAAAGTGGTCATCGGCTGATGTCGTATAAAGAGCATTTTCAGGAATTGAAGTAATATAACAATCGTGCCTTTCGCATTACACATGAAGCTTGCTTCTCTAAGTGATCATGTTTGCCGCTAATGTAACCAGATGGCCAAAGGAGTCGGCGTAAGCATACCACCTGTCGTGTTGTTTTCCACCCGCTTCCTTCAACTCAGTAAGGTCACTGTTTCTCAGCATTCCATGCATAGCGTTTGTATGGAGGTATTCTGCATAGTCAACTGCCCAGTCAATCTCGTTCTCGGCATGCCACAGCTTCATTGGAGACGGTGCAGGCGAGGAAGAATACTCGGGCATAGCCCAAGACGGTGCCGTAATTTGTGCATGCAGAATGCCGTTTATAATAAGTACAGCAGTTGCAGTTCTTATGAATCGTGTCAGCTAGGCCCTCTTAACTTGGGGATATTCGTCTGGCACAACACACACTTACCGGCGGCGCGATTCGAAAAATACCCAGTCCTTCCACGGGATCATTTGACCCGTAAGTTCATCAGAGCTGATCAACGTACCAAATTTTGCGGTGAAATGCTGGCATATTGCCTTCATCTCTCTCTCTTCGTGAGTGCTCTGACTTTCAAAGGGGTTCGTACCACGCCTGCTCACATTGATTGAAGCCAGAAGTTGAGTATCAAAGTTAGTATAGTCGTGGCGTCCCTCAATAATTCTCAGGAGCATATAGACAACGAGAGATTGCAGCGCCTCCAGAACCTCCCACTTGTTAAAATTGTGGTACTTTTTGCGTTGGCTCTAGTCAGCAATATGGTCCTCACTAAGTACTAATCCGGATTGAGGGGTTTTATACGTACCTCGTTGAGGAGTCGCTCCTGTTCGATCCGGATCAACCCCCAAATCAAGCTCTTATTCATCCGTCGGCCGTGCAGCATCGTCTTCGATAGTTTCAGGGCAGCATCGAGAGGGCTCGGATTTGCTTTGTCCTCTTCAGACAAATACTGATATTTCGGGTGGATGAAAGGAGGGACAGAGTCTCGGTTGACCATAGTGTAGGGGTAGGAACGTAGGATGTGCAGGGCAAGGTCGGCGGTAAGCTCAATTTCCGGTTCTGAGAACTTGCGTCGTTCAAACAACGAGGAAGGATCTCGATAGGCCAGTGAGACTGGGGTCGAAGACGATGGCCCTGCTGATTGCCCTGGGAGTGTATCAATATTGGACGAGTACTGCAGAGTGCCACTGATGCTAGAGGCGTCGACATAAGGCCCGAGAAGATTGCCTTCAGCCGAACTAGTCGTTCGATTAGACAAATGTGACCACTCAGGTCTGAATATGTCATTTTCCCAAGTAAAGGCCGCGAGAGAAAGGTTGCGGTCAGTGAGCATCTCTTCAGGCTCAACGGGAAGGCTGTCGAGGCCAGGCCTAAAGTCTTGTAAAGACTGGGATGGAGTGTCCACAGCGGGTACGCCGCCGAGCTGCAAGGAGGCCGTTCGCATGAGGCTACTACCGTCTGTTTCAATAGCTAGGTTGGCTGCATTTTGGCCGTTCAAAGTGCCTTGATATGTACATAAGATGTTTCTTGAGGCGCATCGAGAGCAGCCTCCAGGGCCTGAGCTGCAGCGGACCTTGGACCGCACGCATTCATCGCAGGCCTTCCTTCTAGGCAGAGGCTCTGATTGGTGTTTCTTGCGGCAATATGAGACATGTTTGCTTTTGGCTCGTGCTACATAGTGTCAGTCCAGGTCGCTTGGCTGCGCGGTAATTTCTTACAATCGGTACCGTTAGCATAGAGCTTTTTACAGATGGGACAGTGCAGTGCACTCCTCCGGGTGATCTGCTCCTCCATTTGGGCAGGATAAGGCTTGTTGTCTCCGGGCCTCGGTAGGTGTATCGGGGAAGCAGAAAGGGTTCCCCCCAACTGACTACGGAATTCCGTGGTAAGCCACAAGCACATGTCACTTTGATTAATAATGACAATGCACTTGCAATAGATTTGCGGCTCCATCGAATCTTAGGTAAGCATAGCACAATGTACTGTATCTGTACCTACAGTGTGATAACGGGTATAACCACTATAATGTTAAATACCTATATTAATGGACGAAGACTCTGCATCTGCTATGGCCCTCTATGTTCCACTCGCTACAAGCAAGCTTAACTATACTGGCTCAACAGCTTATGCTGGCTCGGCTTGTGCTGGCTCTGACAGGGGGGTGAGTGGCTAAGCAGGTAGAAGGAGGATAAGTAAGTAAATAAGTAAGTAAGCAAGCAGGTGATAAAAAAGATGGCATACTAAACAAGATCCAGGAAGTCCATGTATCTCCGAAGTTTGTGGGGGTGAGTTAATAATCTAGGGGAGAATTGATGGGACAGTTCCGAGATATGTTGGCAAATTTTCCGGAGATGTCCAACGGAGCATGTGTTAGAGGATTATCTCGTATGCCTTGGACATTGAGACTGGCTTCAAGGCTAGCCCAAAGAAAAGGTATTTAGGACCAGGCATCGGTCAATGACCCGATCTACCAATATTCTGCGTGTTCAGTCACATCAGTTATCTCTAACAGAATCTTTCCGATTTCGCCTGCAAACATGACTGCTCCTTTTTTCCCATCACTTACCAAGGTGTATCATGGCGAATCTTACCCAGCAATATCACCATCACGCCCTGAGCTTTCAGCCAAAGGAAAGGTTGTTGTCGTCACCGGCGGTGGCAGTGGCATCGGCGCCAGCATCGCAAAGGCCTTTGCAGCCGGCGGAAGCACCAAGATAGCTATTATTAGCAGGACTGAGAAGAAACTTGTCGCGACCAAAGATGCTATCGAAAAGGAGTTCTTAGGCACCAAAGTTCTGGCCGTGCCTGCCGACATCACCAACGCGGAGCAGGTGAATGGCGCTTTCGCTAAGATTGGCCAAACCTTTGGCAAGGTCAATGTACTCGTCTGTAACTCCGGGTTCCTGCCAGCTACTCAGCCTGTACTCAGCTCAGGTTTCGATGTGCAGGAATGGTGGACCGGATTCACCACCAACGTCCTAGGAGCGTTGTACTCGGTCCAAGGATTCATCAAACATGCAGCCGAAGGAGCCTGTATCCTGCACATCTCAACTTGCGTTGCCCATATGCCACCGCTCGAACCTGGTGTGTCTGGCTACGCCGCAAGTAAAATGGCCGCGACAAAGTTATTCGACTACTTAGCGTTGGAAAATCCCGGGCTACACATCGTCAACATTCAACCCGGCCTCATCCAGAGCGAAATGAGTCGCAAGAGCGGGCATCCTGGCACGGATCACAGTAAGTCAACTGACATCTTCTTTTTGCTTTGCTCGCTCCATTTCTCTTTCAAATTAGTCAAGCGCTTCGAAGTCACCATGGAAAACTAAGCTAACAGTAGAGCAGTCGATTTGCCTGGCCACTTCTGCTTGTGGGTAGCTAGCCCTGAAGCCTCTTTTCTCAGGGGCAAGTTCGTATGGGTGAACTGGGATGTGGACGAATTGAAGGCTAGAAAGGAGGAAATACTGAGCACCGATCTACTGGATACGAAGCTCGGCGGAGTTTCTTTCATAGGCTGGGAAATGCCATCGTAAATAGCAAAACAGCTCTGAGAAACACCTAGTGGGGCCTGATCGAAAGAAATAAGTACATTCTTCAAAGTCCCAACGTCCCGAGCGCCTGGTGTCGCCGATAATCTAGTATGTATAACCATGGCCTACGTTTTAATTTTGCGTGGAGGATCTGAGCGAAGAGATGTTCTCATTGTATTGCGCTTGGATGATCATGGACCCAGCGAAGTGCATCTTGGGACGAATGCCCGGATTGTTGAAACAAGATTCTGGAAGGCCTATAAAGGGCATCAGTATCATCTCAAATCTGACTGCGGAAACGAAAGAGGAAAAGACGGAAAAAACAGTCCTGGATGCACTTTTCAACGTCGCATACCATGATCAAGTTGTTCATGTCTTCAGATTCTTTATGGGTCCCTCATTCCTTTTCGATATCTCGTGCTTGTCTCGAGTCTTTGATCAGGTCGTCTTTGATTTGCATCTTGCTCTTCTCAGGTTCAAGTAGCCACTTCATATGACACTCGGTGTCCGTCAGGTATGTGCTCTGTTCTCGTCAAGTAATACTATGATTCGTGATATCCGCTAGAATCTTCCTCTTTGCTTCTTCTCTAAGAAAGCTAGCAGTAACGGAATTTCTTGCTAGACTTCTCAAATCTTCCAAGCTCAGACCAAGCTTCTCGTATATCAACACATACTCGTCGAGACATTGAGACCCAAACATCGCCGGATCATCGGAGTTGATGGTGCATAGAATTCCGTTGTCAAGAAACATTGGCAACGGGTGCTCTTGGACCGACAGGCAGCAGCCTGTCAAAACATTTGACATTATGTTGATCTCTAGAGGCACGCGTGTTCTAGCCAATATTGCCATCAAATCTTGATCGTACTGCGCTGCCAGCCCATGTCCGACCCTCTCTACGCCCATTTTTAGTGCCGTCCGGATCTCATTCGGTCCCTGGACCGCACCGGTAGCTTCACCAGCATGAGCAGTCAGTCTCAGGCCAGCCTTCTTGGCTTCCGCATACACCTCATGGAACCACTCCATAGGTCCGCCAGCCTCATCGCCACCTATGCCCACCCCGACAACACTCGGAACCTGTTCTCTCAGACGCGCTGCCAGCCGGAATACCTCGCCCACGTGCTCACTGCCCCACTGCCGACTCGCATCCGCGATCCACAGTATCGACGGAGGCGTGGTCCCTGTCTGGTCCTCAATGCCGGCCACAGCGTCTTCCAAGGCCCGCATGACGTCCTCGACCTGGAGGTCAGGCTTCCACCTCATGATGTTTCCCCACGCCACGTACACCTCTGCGTGGACGACGCCTTGCCCTGCGAGGTCGCGTACCATCTCACGCGCGACAAGTGCGTAGTCGTCCGGCGTGAGGAGGCGGTCGCATACCAGCGTGAAGGTTTTAAGGAAGTGCGCGAAATCCTTGTATTTGTAGAGCTCGCGGACGTCTTCGAGACGCAGGGGCTCGCTGTCGTGGCGGGCTGAGAGCACCACGAGGGTTTCGGGTGTCACCGTGCCCTCAAGATGTAGATGAAGTTCACATTTGGGCAGGGCGCGGAGCCAGGTCCTCGCGTCGATAGTGGGCTGGTCTGGGGCTGTCTTCTGGCTTGACATAACGCATCGAGCCGCATGGAGGTTGCAGCTGAGAATGGTTAATGGGACCTCGTATTGAGGCTGGCAGCGGGCGAGCTTAGTTCAAGCTGCAATGAAGGATGTTTGGTTTGGGTCCTCTGAGTCACAACTGAGCAATGGAACTTGATGTTTGCTTGGTCCTCCAAAGCGCTGATGGACCTAAAGACACGTGGGTCTCAGGAATTAGCGCAACAGGATTACCAAGGATCAAAATCATTAATCGATATGATGGATTGTCAACAGTTGATCATATATGTAACGAATTCCGTAATTACTCTTCAATGTGATATGAACTTCATTGAAAACCATAGCGCCAAAGTAATACGTCGTTCAGTGTAATAATAATTTCTGCTCTTTGCTATCGTTGACATCAATACATGCCTTTCTGCAGGACCTGACGAGCTTCGGGTAGCCAGAACTGTATTGCTCTGCCTGAAATGTGGATATAATCATCTCATTTTGTGTTTATGAACTCGAAGCACAGAGAGATTCATAGCATATAATTATAAAACGCACGCCACAGAGTATTCCTTATCGACAGCGAATATTCTCGAATCGCCCGTAATTATTGCAGGCGTAATTGATGCAGTGCGTCGCTCAGCTGCTTCTTCTTTGAAACACAGGAGCAACATCACGCCATATACTTAATTATGATGAGTGGACAGGACGAGATCTATACCGAGACCATGTTGATATTGCCGTAGTATTTCCTTGAGCAGGAACTTGCACTTTAATTAAGCATCCGCTCATGCATGCTTGAGTGCCGGACAGACGGATCTCGGCGCAGTCCACTGCCACGAAACCGGGCATAGACTGCGCGGATGAAGACGGCGAGACATCAGCTGGACCAAAGGAGAAGCTGCTCCCATACCTATGGTCCGGATTCCGAAATGCAACGAGAATTCTGCAAGCCTGCTTTCTTCGGCAATCCAATGCGAATCGGAGGATTTCCGAGGTGCAAATGATTGCTGCGGCTCAATCATGTTGTCAATACGAGGACTTTTTTCTTCTTTTCGATTCGTTACAGCGTATCTCCCCGAGACGTGATTTGCCACAAGAGACACGCATGTGCAACCTCGTTGCATTGAAGTTCCCACATCAGGCACTAGATCGGCCTGACTGGCTGACACGTCAGGAAGTGCTGCACCGGGGTATCACACCTTGCGTGCGCATCGACGAATCGGGCCATCACTGGTCTCCCGAACGGCCTCTGATTTACGCCTTTGTTGTGTGTGGTGTACACTGGTATGGTGGTATGCAGGAAGTCTCCTCAGGAAAAAAGCCTGCCTCACGATGTTCTTGTGATTGCTACATCCATCCAGTAAGATGGCTGCGCTTGACTTAGACTGCAAGACTAGCAATTTCTCTCCTCGACCGAGGCAGCTTTTGGGTAGCGAGCAGCAGGACCATGAGTTACGGTACATGGGGACTGGGCAGACATCCTTTTTGCTGCTGTGGCAGGTCGATACTTGTGCTGAGAGGGAGGAGTGTGTGCCGCGGGTGATAGTGCCTCGCAATTTCGGAAGGTGGTTAAGTCCCCAGCGGGGGCCGCATCATATGCTGTTTGGCATTTGGTAACTACCTAGGTACCTCTGCAAACCCGTTTGGATTCCCAAATATATAGGTTCAAACATCCAGAGGCGCGCAAGTAAACCTGACGCGTGATGCCATATTTTTCTTGACCGTTTAAAGCAGACGACATGGCCGACAGCAAAGCCCACGCCTCGTCTGGCCTCAACAAGGAGGCGGCCATCGCGACCAATGGCATGGACCTTCATCAACATGCCTCGACAAATAGCGAGGAGAAGGGTCCCGAATTGGAGCAAGTTGAGGATTCCCAAACCAAACCAAAGTTCCTTGGCAAACGGCAAAGAGTCCGCCGCCACTGTGCCAGGCGTTGGTGGTGGTGGCTCATCGGGGTCATCGTGTTTCTTGCAATTTTCTTGCCATGCCTGTACGTTCCACACTTTTAATACCCACGACGACACGCTCGCCGCTTGACATGACGCCCCGTCAATGGTGGAACATAATAAGGATCACCCAGCTCATAAGCACACAGGTTCCTCAAGATCATACCAGCCGTCATCCAGGACATGATCAACAAGACAGACCTTCCAATCCTGAATGCCACTATTGGGGCATATTCTGCGACAGAGTTGCAGTTCAGTTTCAGCACTGTCTTCAAGGCTCCAGGAAGCATAAGTGCCCGCATGGAGTCCTTCAACCTGTCCTTGTATAACGCTTTCACCGAAGGGTACTATCCCTACACATACGTAACACTCCCAGAACAGGAACTGAAAGGGTCGACGGACATATCAATCGCTTCCACTTCGCCAGTCACCAACTACACGGAGTTGGAGAAGTGGCTGAACACGACCTTGTAAGGAATCCTCCTTTCTGAATTTCTCTTTGACGTGTAGCATGGCATCATGAACGTGCATCGGCTCATCATAGCAATTCATTATCGTACAGTTACGGCGTGACGACCGAACTCAGCTTCCATGGCTCGACAAGGCTTCACTTTGGTGCTTTGTCTGCGCCGGTTTCCATCAAGAAGACTGTGACGATTGCTGGCCTGAATCAATTGCAAGGCTTTGCGGTCGACTCTTCCGACATTCTCGGTACTCCAGAAGCCGATGGAAGCAACCTGATTGGCAACGTCACAATTCCGTACGTGGAGATATTACCGTCCCGCCTTTGTTATTTTGTGTTATTTATCTGGCACTTGCTGAGAAGCAACTTGTGATTTTATTATAGAAATCCTGGCACGGTAGCCATCGAGTTTGGAGAGCTCATCTTCAACGCGGCCATTGCAAATATCATAATCGGAAACATGAGCATCTCAGACGCAACACTCTACCAGGGCAATAACACTTTCCCATTTACAGGCATCATGGACATGAACACGATGCTTGCCAACTGTAGGTGCCGTCCAACCCCCCCCCCCCCCCTCTTCTGTGACAACATCCTTCCCTCGGCTCTCTCTCGGAAGCGTGTCTGCGACACACACACACACACACACACACACACACACACACACTCTCTCTCTCTCTCTCTCCCCTTCCGAACTTCACAAGATCCACTATTCTAACTCGGGATAGACAATACTATCATGGCAAATGCGTCAGGCAATGGATCCGATGCGACCCTGGTCATGGCTATCACCGGGAACAGCTGTCTAATCAATGGTCAGCATATCCCCTACGTAGAAGCAGTACTCGACAACACCACAATGTACTCCACCGTACCGGTTTCTGATTTTGGAGGTTGAATTTTCTCCTTCCTCTCTCTCTCTCTCTCTCTCTCTTTCCCCATGGTCTGACGGGCTCGATGCCGTGGGGAAATCTGGCGGTGTAAAGTTCTTATTTAGTCGAAACCAGTGGTCGGCTCTGGGAACATGGGTGTGCCATCTCAATTATCGGATGAACGGGAAACGGCATAGGAATGGGATGGATCATGATACGAGATCTTGAAGGATTGAACGACGAGGACTGGCTCCAAGCAGCTGAGAGACATGCACAGCCTTCGACTAAGGAAGTTTGGCTAAGGTTTAGTGGAAAGTCTGGTACTCCACCAAAGAGGGTTCGACACGTCCCGATTTACCCGATTCTCTTGCATCTCACGAACATCTTCATTCACATGCCCATGCCACGCAGCGGCATGTTTTCCCCCAAGGGCCGCTCTTTCACGAGTGAATTTTGTCATGATGTCTGCCGTTGCCTTTGCCGTTGTCCAGCCGGATGTATTTTGCTTGGCGAGAGCCACTCTCGGATATGGCGACAACTACTACCAATATTGCCTAATAGAATGCACTAACCAAACAGTCCCTAGGGATTTGGATTTCCCTCTTAATGAGCCCCAGCTCCCTCGTGTCAGCACTAACACAACACCCAACCACTCTCTCCAAAAAAAAACAGATGTCCCTCAAGAGATAGAGGATCCTATCATTTTCTATTTCCGAGACCCGCCCACTGCATAAGACTGTCGTCTGTTCCTCCAGGTCGCCTTTGTTTTTGTTTTTGTTTTTGTACTTGCACAACCAAGGGACAAGACCTCTCTCTCTCTCTCTCTCTGTGGCAACCCTTCTCTAGTCGTCCGTTCATCTACAAACCAGCGCCACTTGGTGTGGCTCAAGATGGTGCCTCCCCGCCAAAACAACCATCTATGGGCTCTACTCTTCACGACCCTTGGGTGTGCAGGGCTGTGGCTCATGCGGATAGAGCCGTCCATGAACGATGTTCCTATTGCTTTCGAACAGCAAGTCGAGACCGCCAAGCTCGGTGACGGATCTGCCCTGAGGACCAGCTACACTGGCATCGGACTCCTGGACCATATTTTATCTTTCCTTGTTTTGGCCTTCGCCGCCGGGCCGCTAGGCCTCGACCCAGCTGTCAGGCTGCAGCAGCTACACTTTCTCCTCAACTTTTTCAGCTTCCTCTGCATATGGAACATCGAGGCGTACCGACCGCGAAATGCACGAAAATCATTTAGTTTGTGAGTCTGCTTATGAGCCCAAAAAGGAAGAAGAAAAAAAAAAAAAAGGAAAGGCGAAAGAGAACAACGGGAGGAAACTATTTCAGAGATCCTAACCCATCTGGTGATTTTTTTTTCATGTTATAGCCCGGGAACCTGGGCTATTTTCTATCAGACGGTCGCCGGCGCGGCCGTGGTCCCCTGGTACTACGCCGCCTGGGTCTTTTCATCTGCCTCCGAGCAGCCGCACAAAGAGTCAGACGAAGTCCCCATGAACAAGGCAAAAATCATTTTGCCCTCGGCGGTCTTCTTCTACCTGCTTCCCACGCTCGTCATGTACCTTCCGCAGAGCGACCCTTGGCTGAAGCAGGGAGTGATTGCATACTGGCAGGTCTCGCCCGTCGTCGTCAGCATGGCCATACCACTGCTCTCTGTCTTGGTGAACGACCGGACCTCCAAGGGCCTGTCTGTTGCCCGCCATCTTCAGCGGACGTATGTGGTTGCGTTCGGTGTCTCAGCCTTGGTGCATTTTTACGTGCTGCTCTCGTGTTACTCGTCACTCGACCCGCAAGTGTCTCTCTACCGTGTCTTTGTACCAGAGCGCCGGCTGTGGAAGGATAGCTTGACGACTGGCTTGCATTACATCTTCCAATGGGACTGGTGGGCTGTCTATGCCGCGTGCTTGCTGGGTTGTGTTGTTGTGATAGGGGACGTACAACGCAAAAACACCGCCGGACAGACAGGAGGAGCTAATCAGCTCGCTAAAAACGCATTCATTGTATTAGGTCTTGCTGTTCTCACAGGTCCTGGGGCTGCCATGGCAGGTGTCTGGTCGTGGAAAGAGGATTTTGAACAAGGTCCTAGGACCAAGACGAGGACTGCCTAAAGCAATCTCACTGTTAGTGAACTTCGGGTTAGAAATTCATGAATGCGGCTTAATCATTTCCGACAGCCAGCCCTCCTTGCCATTTTCCTATCGACTTCTCCGTGAACCAAAGTATTCTCACGCAATAATCCTAGCGACGCTTGACCAAGGGAGTTGTATCTGTCAAGTCAGGGAAGGACTTGTCCATGCGCAAGGACAACGCACGTGCCGTGCTCGTAATCCTAGATATTGAACCAATGTCCATGGGCGGCGTACTACTATCCTGAGGCAACATGATCTTGATTTCAGTCTCTCGGCACTGTTTCGTGCGCACGTCGAGATTTCACGGGATGGCGCAGTTGTGTACAATAAATGTATGTAATTTTTTTGGTTTCATACAATCTCGGTGGTACGATTAAAAATCGGGTAGTCTTCGCCTCGTCTTCTAGCAGTAAAGAAAGAAACCATCATCTGATTACCATAGTCCCCGCCAAACAGACCCTTGCTTGAAGAAGTGCTGCAGGATGCTTGGCTGGAGCCAGGTAAAGTCAAATGGGTATGAATCGCAAGACGGCCAGTGCAACATTACCAACTCAGCTTAGTACTCAGCCTCCAGGTCGCCCTCGTCACCTATGGAGTCCGCAGCAACCTCCTCGTAATCACGCTCAAGAGCAGCGAGATCTTCCCGGGCCTCGGAGAATTCACCCTCCTCCATACCCTCACCAACATACCAGTGGACGAAGGCGCGCTTGGAGTACATGAGATCGAACTTGGAAGACAGGGCGGACCAAGCCTCGGCGATCGCAGTCGTGTTGGACAGCATGCACCTACGCAAGTCATTAGCATTTCGTCATCTCGGACAGGGCATTCCCTTTGAGAGGGAGAGGAGGAGAGGGGGGGGGGAATGCTTACACAGCGCGGTTGACCTTGGCGAGATCACCGTTGGGGACCTGCTCAGGGGCCTGGAAGCAGATACCCAGCTTGAAGCCAGTTGGGCACCAGTCGACGAACTGGATGGTGCGCTTGGTCTTCAGGGTGGCCACCGCAGCGTGGGCGTCCTTGGGAACAACATCACCGCGGTAGAGCAAGCAGGTGGCCATGTACTTTCCGTTCCTGGGGTCGCACTTGACCATCTGGTTGTATGGTTCGAAGCAAGACATGGTCATCTCCTGAACCGAGTTGGCTTCGTGGGCAGCCTTGGCGGCAGAAATGACAGGAGCGTAGGCGACCAGAGGGAAGTGGATACGAGGGTACGGGACAAGGTTGGTCTGGAACTCGTTCAGGTCAACATTGAGGGAGCCATCGAAACGCAGAGAGGCGGTGATCGAAGACACGACTATATATGCATTTGTCAGCAAGGTTCTAAAGTCTGTGCAGCGCGTGCGAGGGAGGACGTACCCTGAGCGATCAGGCGGTTGAGGTTGATGTAGTCAGGACGCTCGAGACCGAGGTTGCGACGGCAGATGTCGTAGATCGCCTCGTTGTCCACCATGAAGGAGCAGTCGGCGTGCTCCAGAGTAGTGTGTGTAGTGAGAATAGAGTTGTAGGGCTCGACGACGGAGGTGGCGGTCTGCGGCGCGGGGTAGACACAGAACTCCAGCTTGCTCTTCTTGCCGTAGTCAACGGAGAGGCGCTCCATCAGCAGGGCGCCGAAACCAGAGCCGGTACCGCCACCAAAGGAGTGGAAGACGAGGAATCCCTGGAGACCAGCGCAGCTGTCGGCGACGCGGCGGATCTTGTCGAGGACGCCATCGATAAGCTCCTTGCCGACGGTGTAGTGACCGCGAGCGTAGTTGTTGGAGGCATCCTCCTTGCCGGTGATCATATGCTCCGGGTGGAACAAGCTTCGGTAGGTACCGGTGCGGACCTCGTCGACGACGTTGGGCTCGAGATCGCAGTAGATGGTTCGCGGGACGTACTTGCCCTGGCCTGTATAATTTTCAACGCGTCAGAGGTGATTCTTCGAGGGGCGGGTCAGCTGGAGAGACACATACCAGTCTCGGAGAAGAAGGTGCTGAAGCCGTAGTCGGGGTCAGCGGCCTTGCGCTCTTCGGTCAGGTATCCATCGGGCTGCAAGAGATAACGCGTTAGTGACAGCCAGCGCATAGTGAAAGGGGTGGTCTCAGATTCTTAGAAACGTACCTGAATGCCGTGCTCGAGACAGTAGAGCTAGAGGAAAAGAAATCAAGGGTCAGTGAGGGTTCGTTTGGTGGGTGGTTTCGCATGGTTGGGACCCGTGGTGATATTTGTTGACATGTTGACGATGGCGGGACAACTCGGGCGACGCGCAGATCTCTGCGACACACGCTCAGGACAAAACCTTACCTCCCAGCACGAGTTGGCGATCTGGCAACCAGCCTGGCCGACTAGAAGATGGAAGAAGAATCAATACGCATTCATTATCAGAAGGAATCGCGGGGTGAAGATCAGCCTGCAGGGGGCGGTCTCTTGGTGAGGGACAAGGCGGAGAGACGCGTGACGGAAAAAGGAGAGGGCAAAGCTCACCGTTGACGCTGATAATCTCACGCATGATTGCGATGACAGCTCAGCGACGCAAGATAGACTGTGATGTGGATGGATGCAACTGACAACAGAAAAGAAGGGAGGAAGAAAAAAGGAGCTGGTGGGCAGGGTTGGCAGGTCGTCAAGTATCAAGAGCGGCACGACGGTGAGGATGGGATGGGAAGTTGTGTTTAGGGTCTGGAAATCAGATCGTTGCACGTTGCTCCTCAACCTTGCAAGGGTGGTGTGGGGTTTGTTGGTGTGCTTTGACCGTAGCCTAATGAAATTTTGGGTGCTCAGTGGTCCAGCGGTCAAGCAAGTCCTGCAGTCAGCTGTCACTGGGGTTGGGGGACTTTAGGGTCTCGCAGGCCTGTGCCTTGGCTCCCTGGGTCCGCGGGAGTGGGCGACGGTAGGGGTGTTCCACTGTGAAGCGCACCTTTCACTCACTGCTGGACAGGGCGACACCTTCTACCACACCTGCCAAAGATTGGAGCTATCAATCTCGCTCCTGTCATTCGACGACTGCCAGATACGACACGCCCATTTCGGCAAGCTCGTCTCCCCCTGACTACTGCGATGTACCATCTCACGATAGTTAGCAGCAGTGATACAAACGTCGTTGCCCCCCACCTACCCACCAACGAGGTATGTTAGTCCCCTGCACCACAGCTTCCCATTCGCCAGGAGCATCTCGCGTAGAGCGTGGCGCGCGACGCGGCTTGTGCCTCTCCAATGATAATGCCGGATGGACTGGCACCCATTTTAAACCTTTGCTCTTCTTCATCTCCCCTATGAAAGATCTGCTGAACCAAAGAACCGTGCACATTTTTGTCGGCAGCCCCCGAAAATTCAAACCCCAGTCCTGAACCCTGGGAAGAGCAAAAACGGCAGTGGGAGATGTATGCCTTGATCCCGCTCTTCCGGCTAGATTATTCACGCATAATCCCGTCGCCGGCCAAATTACTTCTTAATCAAAGCCAAGATCACCGCCAGCGCCAAGCCAAATCTCTTGAGTCTTTGCAGCATCTACAATCCCTTCTTTCAATCTGAACCTTACTTGTACCGTACCCATCACTGTGACGTGCTCGACGGATGGGTCCTCACGAAGGCATTACCTTTATGAGGACTATTTATGCATGGTAAAAGTCAGAAGGTCCTTGGCTTGGTGTGCTACACGGGGATGTTATTTTGCGACCATGTGTGCCACGTAGACAAGAACTCTGGATATTGAACCAGCCTCATTCTAACAGAAACTTGGCGTAGCACTGACAATATCGTCGTCTGGACTACTACCGATGAGGTGGAGTTGCCATGAAATCCTCATGTCGCAACCATCTTTGAAAAGAGAGGCCGAATTGGGAAAGCAGGATGTTCATGGCAACGTGCAGCGGTATGACGCTGATATCCTACTAAATGTACACTGTCTCAGCACTTGAGGTGGGTGGGAATTATCACATGTACAGTATTTCGCTGGCGGCCGATACTGCGCGCTGATGGAGTTCGCAGGCGTGCAGTACTCATTGCTACACAGTAAATCTACAAGTCAACTGATGTGTCCACTGAGATCTCGCATTGCGCAAGGCGGAGCTTTCCGCCAAACCGAACATCCAAACGTCGCCCACGTCTCCATATGAAGCAGGTTCAGGTGAGGTTCGACGGGTTGTTAATTCAGATCTCATCGCAAGGCTTATACAGCTTAAGCAAGCCTGAGCCACGGACATGGGGTTTTCGTCGATTCATAGTCTGCTCCGCAAGCAAGGACAACTATGAGTGGCACGAGGAAACCACGATTTGATCTTGGTATCGGCATCGCCGTCTTTGGAAGCTCCTGGCATGTGAGGAACGTGGTTCTCTGACTCTTGTTAGAAATAGATCAAAATGACACCACATCTTGTGCGGTGCCGAGTTTCGGCATGTCTGATCGAAATTTAGAACTAAAGAATCCCCACGTTAGGTAGAACTGGGTCAAATTCGTCGCCCTAGACCGGAATTTTGCATACCGCTCTCTTTTTGTCATATTGTCATTGTTGTTCCTTCTTGTTTATCCACTCATTTGCATCCATCTCTCACACGATGTCTTTGATATGTTTGACAGACTCCGTCTACGATTGGGTAAGCACTGGGGGCAGAAGCTCACTTTAGATTTAGGGTAATAAAGCATTGCATACAGATCTTGGTAAGACACTGCAGTGTTCCATGACGAAGGGAAGTCAGCAGCTGATCTTCTCGGACATGATTGCCATCATCGTTGTGGGTGATGTCCAAAAGGTTGAGTCACTTATCTGTCCTTTCCAGGTTCCTTCTATGCAGCATCCATCATATTGCAACCTGGAGGAATAGCGGCTAGGACATTCATTATTAAACTACGATTTATGCTCTAAATCCTCTTTGTGTAGATTAAATGCCAGGGTTCTCATAGCAATGCGAACTATAATATGGCATGAAAACTGGCTGCAAGTTGTCCTTGGTCTTCAATTTTTGTTCCATGCAAATCATTACAGCAAACATGCTGCGTACTGTTAAGTACCAGTGCCATGGTAAACAGATGTCTTGAGGTTGATCTAAACTTCAGCGCTAGACCGGGACCAGATCAGGGTCACAACGTGTGTAGTGGACACCTAGCTGATTTCAGTATGAGGCTCAGACATGCTGAAGTACCTCTTGGCCCAGCTTTGCCCGCTATGGTACACCATTCTCAAGACCTAGGTACCAAAACAGGGGTGCTCTGGGTCAGAAAACTTGTCCTCTTTGGGGAGCTTTCCAGAATACCGACAAAGACGTAAATAGTAAAGGCCACATTCCCACTTTCTTCACCTTTAAACCACCTCTGGTGTTGTCTTCAATGGCCCGCCCATTCTCCTCCTGTAATATTTCCATTCTCTCTTCCCACTCTCACGTTGACCTCTCTTTTCAATACTTTCTCTGGCAGCTTTAGTTTACCACAATCTGCTTGAGCGATCCTCCCCTACGAAGTGGGCGCAACACCCCACCATCCAACTCGCGCCCACCATGGCGAGGACCATGTTCTCTCCTCTGCGCGTCATCCTATGCGCCCTCTTCCTATTCACCACACATGTTTTCGCTGCCTCTGCAGTGTTGGGCGTTGACCTCGGCACAGAATACATCAAGGCTGCCCTCGTGAAACCCGGTATTCCTCTCGAAATTGTCCTGACCAAAGACTCTCGCCGAAAAGAGACCTCTGCCGTTGCATTCAAACCTCCCCAGAATGGCGCAAAGGCCGGTGTCTTCCCCGAACGCCTTTACGGCTCCGACGCCATGGCCCTGTCTGCCCGCTTCCCCGGCGACGTGTACCCGAATCTGAAGACCCTCCTCGGTCTCCCGGTCGACAGTGATGAGGTCAAGGAGTACGCCGCTCGACACCCTGCGCTACAGCTCGAGAGTCATAAGGTCAAGGGAACCGTGGCGTTCAAGAGCAAGGATGCCTTCACCACTCAGGAGCAGGCGTGGCTAGTCGAAGAGCTGTTGGCCATGGAACTTCAGAGCATCCAGAAGAACGCGGAGAACATGGCTGGGCCAGACACGACCGTTCGCAGTATTGTCCTGACCGTGCCGCCTTTCTACACGATCGAGGAAAAGCGCGCTGTCGAGACCGCTGCCGAGATGGCTGGTCTCAAGGTGTTATCCCTCATCAGCGATGGGCTAGCCGTGGGTCTCAATTATGCGACCAGCAGGACTTTCCCCAACATCAACAAGGGCGAGGTACCAGAATACCACATGATCTTTGACATGGGCGCTGGATCTACAAAGGCCAGCGTCCTGAAGATGCAGGCCCGTGAGGTCAAGGACGTTGGCAAGTTCAACAAGACGATTCAGGAGGTCGTCGTGCTGGGCAGCGGATGGGATCGGTCTCTGGGCGGTGATTTTTTGAATGGAATTATTGTCGATGACATGGTCCAGAAGTTTGTGGAATCGCCTGCAGCCAAGAAGGTTGGGGCTACGACTGAGGGTGTCAAGGCCCACGGTCGGGCCATGGCGAAGCTCTGGAAGGATGCCGAGCGGTTGCGGCATGTGCTGAGCGCCAACCAGAACACCCAGGCCAGCTTTGAAGGTCTTTATGAAGACGTAGACTTCAAATACAAGACCACCAGAGCTGACTTTGAGGCCCTGATCGAGGCCCATGCCGCCAGAGTCGGAGGCGCAATCCAGAGCGCACTCGACATGGCGGGCTTGAATGTGGCAGACCTCAACAGTGTCATCCTCCACGGTGGTGCCACGCGCACACCATTTGTACAGAAGGAGCTCGAGAAGATCTTTGGCACGGGCGACAAGATCCGCAGCAACGTAAACTCGGACGAGTCTGCTGTCTTTGGTGCTAGCTTCCGCGCAGCTGAGCTCAGCCCCAGTTTCCGTGTCAAGGAGATCAGGATCTCGGAGGGCGCTGTCTATCCGGCTGGCATGAAGTGGACGGACGATAAGAGTAAGGCCCGCCATCAGCGGATCTGGACACCTACATCTCACCTTGGTGCGGCTGCCAAGGAGTTCACATTTGCCAACAAGGAGGACTTCTCCGTCGACTTTTACCAAGAGGTTCCTGCTTCTTCGGCGGACGTCACCACTGGCGTCGAGGAGAAGGCCACCAAGACTCTGACCACCAAAAATCTGACGGAAACCGTCTCGATAATGAAGGAGAAGTATTCCTGCGAGCCTTCAGAAGTTCACTTCAAAGTCAGCCTGCGCCTGTCCAGCGAAAATGGCGAAGTCGAGGTCGCCAAGGCTTATGTCGAGTGTGAGGCTGAGGTCGTCGAGAAGGAGAGCTTGATGGACGGCGTCAAGAACTTGTTCGGCTTCGGCGACAAAAAAGACCAGAAACCTCTCAAGGATGACGAATCTTCCGAGTCCGTTGACGAGGCCTCTACCACCAACTCGGCGTCGTCATCTTCCACAACAACCACGACCGAGTCCACTACCGAGACTGCGTCATCTGCCTCGGCCTCCGAGTCTGCTGAGGGCAAGGAAAAGAAGACAAAACAGATGGTTTCCGTCAATGTCAAGCATGAGCTCACAAAGAGCGGCGCACCACAGCTGGACAAGCTCGACATTCTCCAGTCAAAGGACAGGCTCAAGGCATTTGAGCAATCTGATAAGGCTCGCCGCCAGCGCGAAGAGGCCCTCAACCAGCTCGAGGGCTTTACCTACAAGTCCCGAGACTTGCTTGACAGTGAGGTATTCATTGCTGCTTCTACAGAGGCCGAGCGCAAGTCGCTCGAGGAGAAGAGCAGTGCGGCTAGTGACTGGTTGTATGACGACGGCGCCGATGCTTCCAAGGACGAGCTGAAGAAGCGGCTCAAGGAACTGCAAGACATTGTGACCCCCATCCAGGCCCGCATTGAGGAAGGAACTGAGCGTCCCAAGCTGTTGGGCGACCTGAAGGATGCGCTCAAGCAAACAGAGGAATTCGTGAAGAACATCAAAGACAAGATCGCCGAGTACGATGCGTGGACATCCTCTGCTTCATCGGTTACCTCCTCATCCGACTCGTCCACAGTAACTGCCGCCCCTTCTGGCGACTTCGATGACCTTGAGGACGACACCACGACTACTACCCGCGCTGCCAAGATGGAAGATGTCCTGAAGGAACGTGGTCCCGTGCCCCCGCTCTACACCCTCGAGGATCTCAAGGAGACAGAGGACATCTACGCCAAGATTACGGCATGGCTCGAGGAGATCGAGCCCAAGCAAGAGAAGCTCGGCGCCACAGATGATCCGGTGATGACGGCCAAGGCCTTGAAGGAGTGGCGCCAAAAGCTGGACAAGGCAGGGGTGGACCTGGCCATGAAGAGCGTAAAGAACTTTGACAAGAAGAAGAGCAAGTCCTCTTCGTCCAAGACCAAGAAGTCCAAGACCAGCAGCACATCAAGCAGTGCCGGCTCGGACCGGACGATCGAAATAGGCAAGAATGGCCAGATGCCGTCTGCGGAGGAGCTCGAGGAGATGATAAGGCAGTGGGAGCAGCAGAACGCGGATCCTGCTGCCGAGAAGGGCAGCGAGGAGAAAATGAAGGGCGACAACGACCACAAGAAGGATGAGCTGTGATCTTGGTGTTTTCGAAATGCCCAATTGTTGTTTTTTTTGCTGCATGCATGCATGGTTGCATTTTAGATAACGGCGGCCAGACTAGATCAGTGGAGTTCCCGGTCTCTGCTTCGTACAATTGATTCTCTGCACAGAAAGGGGGTGGGGAAAGAGAAAACGCAGGTTGGTCTTTGCCCTTGGGATATAACGCAATGGTTCCTTTCCTTTAAGCGAACGAGCACGAGTCACTATTATTATCATGGTCGCCGTGTCTAAACTGTTGAAGAGGCGGTCGGCCAAACCCCCAAGGCCATCATTTCCGATTCTCCCTCCGCCCCGAAAATACGACATTGTGGGGTGGCCTGTTTGCCCTGCTGGCAAAGGTACTATACAATGGCCTTGCCTGTATTACAATGAATTGTTTTTGCTGTCTGGGCAACACAACCGCGTGGGTCGATCCAGCCTCGATGTCCGAATCAAGCTCCGTCTCTGGAGTGGCCTTGTGATCCGACTGGTCCTCGCTCCTTGATATTTCCAATTCATGGATTGAAGCTCAGCATTGTGCACCTCTGTACAACATGAAAAGGTCCTGCTTCGACGTTTCATGTGCGCTGTCGCTAATGCGGCCTGCCGCGGAGAGTGAACCTTTAGAATCGTGTTGGTTGGACCAGATGCCGCGAGTAACAGGAAAGACTGGAAAGGGAGGTTCGGCGAGGACACGGAAAAGAGGCTCGCCAGTAGTGGAAAGAGATTGGGTCTGTTCAAAAGGCTCGGATGGCAAACAGGGTCTCGAGCATGTGCCGGCTTGAGCAGTACGTGTAACATGCAGCTTTCTTGACCGCGTTTCGACGGCCTCGCAAACGGCAGCAGCAGTCCTCCCAAGGCCCGCCTGTCCCTTCCATTTCGGGCTATCAGGACACCTACATACGCGTGCCTCTACCTCAAACAGCTTAGGCAGACGCTCAGGGAGGAAATTTCCCTACTATCTTCCCCCTTCCTTCTTAAACATTCGTTCTCCTTCCCTTCTCCAACCTTCTTTCCCTCCAGGTGATCCTCCCCCTCGTTCCTTGTGGTATTGTGTGTATTCGCCCAACTCGAATCACCTGCAGCCACTGGCAGCTGGATCTATCTGTTTCACTCCGAGGCAGGCCAGCAAGCTCTTCTACTCACGTCTTCTCGTGGGACAAAAGTTTTCTCCCTTCCTCGAGGCCTCCCTTGAGAGCTCGATTCTTGTAGTCAGATCACGCCGCCTGTCATCTGCCGTCGTCATTAATATTAACCAAACTCTCTTTCTACCTCACGCTGAGGGAGACCCCTTTCTGTCTTCAATCTTGTCAAAACACTTGTTGGTACTTCCTTTTTTTTCCTTTTCCAGCGTTGCCCAAAGTGATAGTCCCCCGGAATCATTCTTAGGGAACACCTTGATCACCAACAATCTCCTGTTGCCCAGTCCTACCTATTTTGCTTGGCCTCACTCGTTTGCTCATATTGATCGACGGATTCACAACAATCTGTCCTCCACTGCCGAGTTGCGCCCCAGGAAGGAACGACCAAGTATCCTCAGAGGCGTGGGTATTGACAGATCAATAACTGACCTTGACCAAGTAGATCATTTCTGTGCTCCGCTGCTCCCTCCACACCTGAACGTCTTCATACTTTGATTGCAACAAGAACAAGTCCAACAGCAGTCACAATGCAGGTCTCAGCTACCAACATGTCAGCCTTTAAGCTGGGCCTCCTGTTGTTCATTACCGTCGTCAGCAGCTCTCCCTCTTTCTTGAGCCGCTACTACGATGGATTCAGTCTGAATACCATTCGCAATGTCGACTACAATCCCAACGGTGTTGTTGCCAAGCAGAAGGCCATGTTCAAATACGCGCACCTCGTTAATTCCGATGCCAGTGTGTTCGACACAGCTCGTGAGTGTCTTGATCCTGTGCCATATAATGAATGGATCATACGTGCTCATAATGAGAAACAGCGGGCGAGGTTAGCGGGTTCGTAGAGGCGAATGATCGCGAGTGGTTGTGCCCTGTTGGCATTGGAACTCCCGCCCAGACGGTTAACCTTGATCTCGACACTGGCTCCGCTGACCTGTGAGTTCTGAATGCCCAATCATCGCCTTGGCACCATACTTTCCATCTAGAGATTCTGACGCGGCATCTGTCGATAGTTGGGTCTTTTCTCCTGATTCAGGCACCCGTAAAGGTCAGCTTGGAAACCGTCGAGTCTACGACGCTGCCAACTCCACAACCTCTGGTCCCATCAATGGCAGCTCCTGGTCCATCAGCTATGGTAGGCCTCCTTTCCACATTCGGTTGGCGCCAGTGGTCTACGTTCATCACTTTGCTGAAAAGGAACAACAGGTGACGGCAGCTATGCAGGCGGCAAGGTCTACACAGACGTAGTCCAGATCGCCGGTTTGCGGGTTTCAAACGCCACGGTGGAGGTAGCTAGCAGCTACAGCTCGAATCTGGTCAAAGATGATGCTCCTCTGTCTGGTCTGATGGGGCTTGCCATCAACCTCACGACCACGGCCACGCCGGCGATGCCTCCCATGCTCAGCCAGCTCAAGGCCCAAAATATCAAGCACATAGCTGTGGACCTCCAGTTTCACGCGAACGGTACGTATACCTTTGGTACCGTCGACCACTCAGCGTATCTCGGCAAGATGACCTATCGCCCGGTTAAGCCTGGCAAAGGCTATTGGTGGATTGAGCTCCAGACCATGCGCGTGGGCCAGTCCAACAAGACCATGATTCACAGCTGGGACACGATTGTCGACACGGGTACCAGCCTGTTCCTGGGACCATCGGATATAGTCAGGGCGTACTACAAGGCGGTGCCCACCGCGGAGTACAGCCAGGGGGATAACGCCTACGTTTTCCCCTGCAACACGACGCTGCCCGATTTCCACTTCGGTTTTAGCAACGACTGGAGTGAGTTCACCGTCCCGGGCAGGTTCATGAACTATTCCATCGCACCTGTGGCTGGCGCCCCGTGGTGTTATGGAGGAATCCAAGAAAGCAACATGGGTTTCTCCATCATGGGCGATGTCTTCCTCAAGGCTGTCTATCTCGACTTCAATGTTGCCAACCAAACTGTTGGATTTGCATCGAAGCCCCTGTACATCTAGTGACAAGGCTTTGGCGCCTCTTTCTCAGGTCACTCCTTTCCCCAACCTTTGGCAGTGCACTGCACTGTCCAAGCAGCAGACGACCTGAGCACATTTCCTTCATTCCTCACATGTCTCAGCTGCATTGTTCTCTTTCACTCATCATCTTCAGCCTGTTGTCAAGAGACTTTAGAGGGATAAACAGTTGGGAGGGACTATATGTATCTCAGTATGTTATACTGCTGAACATCTGCCATGTTATCAAACAATTGTGGGAAATACGCATGGAAAATGGACTGGCCATCAGTTCTTTAATTCCTGCTTCGCTTTACGGTTCAATACTGAGGAGTCAGGAGGATTACCTGTTAATGAGGAGAGCTAAGTAAATATGTGGATTTCGCGAATGGGCACCTGTGGACTAGTGCACATATCAATGCCATCAAGTTTGCTGAGTTGTCCTAAAAAGTATCTTTTATGTCACTCATGTTGCAACCTGTGTCTGGTATTGCCAAGACATGTTGGCGAGGCGTTCCGTGCCTGCGACATTTGAGCCTAACTGACTGACGTCTATTCAGCTAAATAGCTCAACAATTTCCCAAGTCCATATTGACATGGTCAGTCGCCAAGGTGAAATAACTAAGTAGGTAATCAAACATGCATATTATCAGCTGCCCATGGCGCACACCAGTCAGGCCTTATTTACACATAATACGCGTTGATACTATGGGGTCATCATCCTTAGTCTCTCCAAAGCACTAAACCAACTTGATCTCAATCTCTTCCCTCGCGGTTAAGCCCTGAGGTACAAGAGATGAAAAGACAGGGTTCAGCTCCCCAAAAACCAACAACTTCTCCTCTCTTCATCGTCATGGTTCATCTTCATCAGGACATCCGAAAATGCTGTCCCTCCCGTCCATCCATGCCTAACCAACCGCTCGTCAACATCCAAGGCGTGTATTATTTTTTTGGCCTCTCAGATGTTGTACCAGAAACCCAAGAAGCCCTAGATTCAACTGGAAAAGATAAAAAGAAGCAACGGAAAAATGAGCAGGAACCATGCCCTCACCCCCAGTCGCTTACGCTCGAGAAAGCGGGGGAGAGGGGTGGGGAGGGTCTTTGGGCGACAGCGTGAAAAGGGATTACACAAGAATCAAATCGATCGGGTTAGGCAATGTCGAGAAAGCAAAAAGATAGGTTGGGTCGATCCTGAACGCCGGAAACGAATGGGTGGTTGAACAGGCTCTGATGAAATGATGTGTGTTCGGCCGTGCATGGTAAGTCCACCGTCTATCCTGGGATTGGGAGTATAAGGTTTTGAGGGAAAGGCTGAGGTCGAGAGGCGGGGATGGCTAGGACGTGTCCGGAACTTCTCATAGTCGATCGAGTGTATCTTTTCGCTGCTGATGGCCGCGGAGGGGCCAAGTTGCAAGTCTCTCGAAAACACATTTCCGCCTTACTCTATGGGGTCAGGCTTGTTGTCCGTCATCCAGCTGCTTGCTTGTTGTCGTCTAGTGGTCCTGTTCGCCGTCGCCATCTGGGCCGGGCACAATCACAAAGTCAGCACTTCCGCTCTCGGACCCAATGGTTCGCACGCTCTTGATGGATCTGGCGTCGGGTGCAGTTGGTTTGGAAAGAGAGTTAAAGATGGAGTGCTGGTTGGAATTGTGACTGGGAGTGTTCTGATGATAGTGCTGGCTTCGAAGCTGCTGGGCTTGACTCTGAAGGAAAGTCGGGCTCCCTGCCCCAGGCCCGGCGGTCCCAGCTCCGGCATCACCAGCGGTGTTACTCATCATCCGCGGGAGCAGTAGCTGGTGACGGTACCGGGGATAATCTGGGCCGAAGGAGGTGGTAAAAGGGTCGGGAACAAACTCGTATTCACCTTCACTAGCGGTGGGCGTGGGCGGCAGCGCCCCAGGAACTGCCTGCTGGCTTGCCTTTGCCGTGCCCGGTCGCGACCCGCCGTGTTTCTGGTCTGCTGCCGTGGCCGTGAGGGTGCTGTCGCTCGGCTGGGGCGCGACCTGCCGCCGTTCGGGGATGCTGGCCTGGGGCGCCGGCGGGTTGCCGTTGCGCTTCAGCCGCTCCTCCATTTCGCGGATCCGCTGCTCAAGGAGCTCGAGCTCAGTGGCCTGCGTCTGGACGGTATGTTTGCTGTGGGGAGTGAAAGCCTGTTGTCAGCCCTGGGCTCTCTCTTCTGCTCTCCTCCTTCCCGCTTCCCTTTCATTTTTGTACTTTTGTACTTCCGGATCGGGACAGCGGACAATATATAACGATTGGGAGGAGGGAGAGATGCAGGTAGGTTCTGTCTGCTCGGTCGCAGAAACAGATCAAATGATCTCTGCTTGCAGGGCTACACACCGCTCGTCAAGCTTGGCGTCTAGATCGGCGACGCTATTATCGATACGGAAAATGCCCTCGAGTTCGGCGGAGAAAGAGCGGGCGATAGTACTGGAAGAAACATAAATATATACATGTCAGTCCTGCTCATTTTTCTGGTCTTTTCTCTTTCCTTTGGTCATACATAGACACAACCAGGAGGAGAGGGAGGGAAAAGGAGGCGGGGGCGAGAGGGCAGAGCGTACGATTGGGGACGCCGGGCATTGGGCTTCCAGTCTTTCTCGAGTTCCTCGTCAGACATGAAGTCCACCTTTGGAGCCCCCTTGGCAGGCTGGACAGGAGTATTGGTAGGAGAGGACGCCATTTGCGCAGTTGGTGCCTTGACGATGTGTCGGATGTATTTTGGTTTGCGTGTGGTGGCCCAAGCTGCTGCGAGTGCCTGTAGACAGAGAGAGGGGGAGAGGGAGAAAGACAGAGAAGCTGATCTGGTAGGAAGACGCAGTGGGTACGGCAGGAAGAGCGAAGCTGTGTTGTCGAGATCGAGAGAGAGGCGAGGGAGGCTCTGGGTGGTGGGATAAGGGCGGAGTGGCCGAGGGTGAGAAGAAGGGTCGCGCTGGATGTTGTATGAGTGAAGATCGGAGTTATAATGACTTGGTATTAAGCGAGTCGTTGCAGTGAAAGGGGGTCCCGTTTCTGTTGGACGTGCCCACTTGCAATAATAATGCAAGCAGGGCGGCAAGGTGGCAGTGACATCCATCTCTCTCTTTGATAATAAATAGCACTACAGTAGTACACTATGTACAGTAACCCAACACTGCTTAGCAGGCAGCTGACAGTCTATCGTTCACCCCCTGATCCTTGGCACATGCGGGACCCTACCCCAAGTTACTGGTACTACCCGCAGTGAGAGACTCCCTGATCCAATCGCCATGGGGCTAGCCATTTAGCGGTAAAACTGACCACAACAGTGCTAAGGACCCGTCCCTTCGGTTGCTTGTAGGGGGTTGAGGGGCAACCTGCCACATGGCGTTGAGCTGCCAACCACTGGAATCTCTACCGACTCTTGTACTGTGGATGGTATGTATTGTGTCCCACCCGTCCCTGGCAGCCTGGCAACTAACTGGTAGTGGAAGGGGGTCCAGTTGGTACGACTAAACCCGCTCACCTGCACCTCTTCATCTTCCCAAAATCCTACCACGAGGTCAGGCACAATCAGGCACAATTGACTCCAGCTGAGAGAAGATGATCGTCACGAATCACTGGTACCATAATACTGTGGTACTATGACAGACGTCATCAGGTGCCAGGCACGCCAGGCACGCCAGGTCACTGGTCAGGTCTGAAACCCCTCCACCCCCCCCCCTTTCCTCACCGGGTAGGAAAGTTGCTCGTCACATTGGAATGCTTCATTCTGCTGCAGGACACAAACCTTATGCCGCACATACGCGGTAGAAACATCACTGGCAAAGCGCATTGTCTCTTCTCTGCAACAGCGCCCCTTTCATCTGAAAGAAATGGCCACCTTTCATGCGGCTCAAGCCCAATGCATAAGCGTACTTGCGGAGGAACGCACCCTATCTGGACAACCTGGGGAAGGATCACCCGTTTCCCTGCGACTTTTGCTTTGCATCGTAGCATCCGCCTCCTATTCCCGGCATTCACCGCTCGCTTTCATGGGCGACAATCCATCTTTGGGGCTGCTGTTCGGCGACCATCATCTCATGGGCAGCAAACCATACTTACGCTTACCTCCTCTTCTTTGCCATCATTTTGAACGACCTTGATAATTCTAAACATAGAATACCAGCACCAAGCGGGCGCTGTATCTGACTGCGATAAATTCCTTTCTTTCTGCTACCCCCAGGGACACACGCGTCGATCATGGCTATGCTCGCAGCTTTGACCTATCTTTGTCTGGTTCAGGGATGTGCTGCATGTCACTACTCATCGTTGTCGTCGACGAGGACGTCTGGCGGCTCCTGCTCTCTCCCTACGAGGACCATTTCTTTTCTGGTACAATTGTCCTATCTTGTCACTTGTGCCATACTGTATCTCTGCGGAGAATCGCAGCAGAAATGCTCGATCTTGGGCTACGAGAGAAGCATCAGCAGACAAGTGTTGCAGCATTGTAGGCGACCTGGGGACGGTACAGGACTCCTCACCGTGCGATGCGAACCTGAAGGCATCGGAAGCGAGACAGAGTATGATTCGTGATCATATGAGGGGTGAGTTCAGCTCATGAGATATGCCATACCTGAGCTGCCGAGTCAGCTCGAGTGGCTGCTCCTGAAGACAATCTCTTTGTGAGCACATGTGGATTTCCAGCACCGATACCCATCCTCAACTTGCTCACGGCGCTTTCACACTCGGCGCTTCCCTCCTCGTGAGCCGGGTCCGGTGCGCCGTGCGGGCACAATAAAGAACCCCCACTCCGCCGGCTATCTAATGGCACATGACGGGCTGCGACCATGATTGGGGCTGGTCATTCACGCCATCGACATTCAATAAGCCTAGGGCCGTTTTCGACCATACTTCTGAACTGTGGCAGAAGAGGCATCGCCGTAGCCGATGAAATGCATGGTCGCTCTGTCAGTGGACGCTACAGGATCATACATACATTGTCGTAAGTGGCTACTTGCTTCTATCCAATCTTCTCAGGGTCCCGTCCGAAGCACTACATGTCCAGTAGTCAGCCCCTCCTCCCCCGCCTGTTCAGATTATTACTTGGCCAATATTTAATCTCATCGTCCACGGCCGACGTTGACATCGGAGAATTAGTGAGGGACGCCCTGTAGATAATCTATGCTGCACGAGCCAGGGGCTGCCGTCATTTTGCACAGATCCACTGCTTATTTCCACGCCGTGTCCTCTAATTTTATCCAGAGACCAAGCAGCGCACGAACCCCTATCTGTTCCGGCCTCTGTCCGTGTTGTTGCTTGTTGCTGTGCTTCCCCCGCAATGGTCTCGTTTGACTCGCTGCTATTGAATGTACTATAGAAGGTTTCCTCAATGACAGTTTGAATCATCGAGTCATGCTGTCGAATCGTTGGTCCTTGCGCGGCAACAAGCCATCATTGTCACTAGCCTGCCTTTCGAGATGCCACCCGAGAGTTCCAGGCTCTGTACAAAGATCCAAGGCTGTCAAGGAAAAGCGTAAGTGGTAAGTCTTGATTTGTTTTACCACTCATGAACGGCACATCCTGCCCAAGTGGCTGTGTTGCGCAGGAATGATTCTGTTTGACAACATCTAGTACAGAGTGATGCAGGATTTCACCATGACCAGAATAATTCTACCTGGAAGGGTTGTTTGCAGGCTCTCTCCCCTTGGACATCCAAGGTTTGTATTCGAGAAGTAGGCCTCGGACTCGGAGGGAAACAGTGGCAGGGTTCTGTTATCTTTCCTGAAGTGTACGGTGAAACCCCGAATTGTAAACATCCTCGGAGACCAGGCAACCAGCACATAGTCACAGCGGGAAAGTCCTACTGTATAGTAATGAAGTCTCGAAAAGAAGCAAGTATCAGACCCTCCCAAAGATAGTTTCGATTGCACCGAGAGACCTTGTTCCCTAAACCTCGAGCAGCGCACTTGGACGATCAAGGGATAGTCTGATTATGTGAGCAATCTGGTAGGTCTGATTGGGCCAAGTGCCTTATCCTGCGGGCCAGCTACTGGACAGCTCCAAAAGCTGGCCCGCGCTCTCCCCCCAACAAGCAAGGCAGACGCCGCCAAAACAGCAGTAACACGTGACAGTGGGAAAAAGCTATCCAGCGACGACGACCTCTGCGATCGCGAGCGGCCCAAACAGCCTGAATATCCACATTCACTCGATGACATCATCCAAATAACCATTAGACTTTTTCTCAGCACTCCGCCGAGGCCTGTCGTATGTTTTTGAACCGTGTCTCGACGCGTCTTGCCGCTCGTCGAGGGGGGAAACTCTTTTCTGGCCGACCCGCGCCAGCAACCTAAGGGACGACGAGTTGATCGCGCGCGCATATCGTACTGAACCGCGTCACGCCCGAGCTGCATCCACAGACGCACCTGGCTCCAGCAATTGCCCGTCGGTCATCGTGGCGCCCATTCACCTCTTGCAGCGACGAGACTCTCCCCTCGTTGATTGGCGGGAGGGACTCTGGGGGATGGTTCACGCGACATCCTACACACCTCTGGAGTCGCTACTATTATTTACCTGGATCCGCAGCCATGGCCCCGAGGCCTTTGAGCCTGCCGCGTTCCCGCGCGTCTCCCACGACCTCATCAATAACGACACCATCAAGCAGGATCCCACTTACGATGCCTCACGCCTGACACCCGAGTCGCTCAAGGAGCTCTTCCTGCACCTGCTGCAGGAGGAGCTCAAGGACGAGGCCACACCGAACGAGCCTGCCCCTGCCGACGGCTCTTTGTCCCCGAACAGCAGGAAAAGGAAACGTACCGGGTCTGCGCCAAAGGTGACGTCCCTGGTCGAGGCTCGCCAACATGTCCACAGGCTGCCCGATGCCGAGGCGAAGCTCTACGCCAAGTACAAGCAAAAGGTCGCTCAAGAGCTTTGGCAAGAGCAGGAGATGATGCGCCGGCTGGAGGAGGAGATCAGCCAGCTCGAATCGCAGGAGAGGCAGGAAGCTGAGGCCCGCCGCAAGAACGCCAGTGGTGGTAGTGGTGGTGATGGCCTGGATGCGGCGGCTGGGAAAGTGGAAGAGCCTGTTGGTCGTCCACCAAGCAGTGCGCAAGCTGGTGTCGACGTACTGAAGCCAACGCCGCAACCAAATGGAACCGTTGTTCAGCCGACACCACCAGCACCAGTTCAGGTCGCCACACCCAAGACCGTCCACCCGCCGCCGCCACCACCACCACCACCACTAACTACTCAGGCAGCATCTATAAGGCCGTCTGCGACACCCAGTCCTCTCCAGCCCTTGGCTCAACGGCCACCTGCCGTGTCCCCAGGTCCTCCTCTTGGCCAAAGCACCAATATCGGAAAGCAAGAGCCTCTCAAGGCGCCGAGTGCCCCTCACCCGATCGTGCAACGGCCACCATCAGCAGGTCTGCCTCCCCCCTCGCCTCATGTAGGACAGCCAATCTCTGCCACGCCACCAGCAACAGAGGCCCTGCAGAAGCCAGCTCCCGTGCCGAAGGCAGGAACACCAAACCAAGCATCGCAGAGTCCTCAGATGCCCGCGCCGGTGCCAGGCTCTCTTAAGTGGGAGCCACCGTATCAGCCTCGTCCAGGTTCTCAACAGCAGAGGTCACCTTCACATCCTCCACAGGCCGCCCCGCCACAACCACCACAGCATCCTCCGCAATGGAGTGCACAGCATCCTCTACTCTACTCCCGACAAACACCACTGCAACCTGCTCCACAAGTTCAGCATCAACCTCAGCCACAGCCACAGCCACAGCCACAACCACAACCGTCCGCCCGACCCATCCTTGCGGCTCCTCAGCCAGGTGCCCAAGGGCCGCCTCTGCAGCCAGCACCAATGAGATCTCACTCAGGGTCCCCAGTCACTCTGCAGCAGCCCGTCGGCGCGCCCTCTCCCTTGCCAGGCACGGCACGCTTGCCGCAATCACCATACCAACATAATCAACAAGTATTTCCACCACCGCAGCCTCTTGCACCTCATCACAACCGAATCGTGCCAACCGTGGCCGCGACTCCCCCACCGGTTTCGCCTGCCAATGCTTCACAGCCACTATGGCCCAAGTCTCCAGCTCCGACACAGGCGCTTCAAGCCGGCCCCCAGCCAGGCCAGCCAGGCCAGCCAGGTGCCTCTGTTCCTTCTCCTGGCCCGTCCATCCCCCAGTCTTCGGGACACAACTCGCCATATCCCAAAGGTCCACGTCCTGCTGTGCCTCCCCACATCCTTCCTCAACCTCCACAGGCTACCACTCCAGGCTCTGGCGCGCGGCGTCCTCATCCAGTCCTGCCACAGACCCCTCTCACGATGCCATTCTATTCGCGCCCTCAGGGAACTGGCACCAAATGGACCGCAGCTCAACCAACACCCTCTACGCCGGGTCCTATTGTTGGCGAAGTCCAGAGTCCTGCCTTCGAGCCGCTGAGCCCCATCTTACAGACTTCCAGTTTCACTGGACCTTCTACCAAGAAGCAGCAGAAGCCAGCAGAAGCCGAGCCTCTGGGGGCAAAGAGACCACAAAAGCCTTCCCGCGGTGCAGCGATTGGAGAGGACAACCACCAGAAACGCACTCCCTCCTTCACGTCAGCACATGACGATCAAGACCAAATGGACACGGAATCAGCAACCAAGGTTAAGCGTGAGGATGCGACTCCTAAGCCACTGGAGGACGCCGGCGACACGACAGCAGATGAGAGTGTCTCTGGTCGCCGCCAGGCCGCTTCTCCACGCACATCTAGAGCTGCCGGAAAACGTAAACGCCAGGATTCGGCTACCCCTGAACAGCAGCGCGCAGGATCCGAGTTTCAGCCGCATCTTCAACCACCACCGCCTCGACCTGGCATACCGACCCACGTACTCTGGACGCGTGGCTTTCCTCGAGTTAGTGCCTCGGCTCTGGGGCAGATCTCAAGCCACAAGAATGCCAACATGTTCCAAAATCGGATCAGACCAAAGGAGGCTCCAGGATATGAGGGAATTATATACAAGACACAATTCTTGAAGAACATCCAGAGAGCCATCACTGCAGGGCACAAAGCAGCCGCCGCCGTCGCCGCTGCCCTGCCGGACGGCGACCCCGGTACCAGCAGCGTTTGGCTTCCCATCAGCGAGGAACTTGTACCTCCTCGAGCCATCATCAACAGCGCACAGCTCGAGCGCGAGCTCATACACATGTTTGCGAATGCGATCATGTACAATCTGGACCCGGACCGCGGCCCTGGACCGGCCTTTATGAAGGGCAGTGGGGTCGGGGAGAAGGGAGCCAACGAGGCACATGGCCGTGCCCAGAGCCACGGTGCAGGTGACGCACCGAGCATGATCGGATATAAGGTTGATGAAAATAGCGTCGTCAAAGACACCCAGTCCATGTTCGCCGAGGTCGACAAGCTGCTCATTGAGCTGCGCTCTACAGAAGCGCAACCCGGCATCCCGCCTGCGCCTCTGCCACCTGGAGCCGTGCCTGCTAGTGAGAGGCTGGCGCGCGGATCCATCGCGACTGTCACGGACCAAGGGCAGACGCCTGGTCCAGGCGTGGGTGGCTCCTTTGTGGACGAAGAAACCGAGGACCAGCAGGCAACGGATCGTGAGAATGACGGCACAAGTGGTACAGCAAAGAGGCGACGTCATGCAAGGGGCTGAGTTGAGAGGCGTGGCAATGATTGATCCAAGCTCCCATCTTGGGTATGGATGTTGGGTGGCTTCTTCAAGAACGGCTCACATCCACAGCCTGCATTCTCATCATGTTTGATTAAGGTATATATCACAATGCCATTTTCATCCCACTTTTGGATGATGGCATCCGTTGAGAGGGGGTTTTCCGAGCGGATGATAAGGTACTGGCCTCCAGCGGCTTTTAATACAGAAAAATACAGTTCATCCTATGCGAAGTTCCGGCGAGGTAGTGAGCTCCTTGGAGCCGAATGAAAAGTAGAAGAGGGTCAAAACCGGGGGTATCATTTCTCACAGTGCTCAAGAGCTACTAGTACACTTCTTTATATCGTCGTCACGGAACTCTCAAGCCTTCCTGCTGGGACTTGTGCCCAAGCGTCGTCCACGCACCAGCACCTTTCCAAAAGTCCCCTGGCTCAGCCTGTCGAAACTGCGCACCTTGAGAGGATGCTGCTGCTGCTGCTCATGATGCTGTGCATCTGTCTGACCAGACGTCTTGTCCCCCCCGTCACTCAGATACGACGACATGCTCAGCGGCCGGGAGTAGGCGATATCAGGGATCGACGGGAGTTCCGGCTCACTCGCCAACCCTTCGCCCTTCCCCTGGAGAAACGTCTCCCAGCCCCCCGACGACCGCAAGGACCGCTGTGTCCACCGGGACCGCGAGGACGAGCGAGACCGGGCGGTGGTCGACGAGCGGGCTACGCGGGACAGCATCCTCGACACCCAGCTCGCGCGGCGCGACAGCCTCAGGGCGTGGTCTGCCTCGAGCTCCACGGGCTCGTCTGTTATGAACCCCAGCGGCGGCGCCTTCTCGGAACCTAGCATCTCATAGGGGGGGCCTACGCTCCCGGTGTCCAGTTCCGCGGGGAGCTCTCGAGGTGGGATGGTGGGGAGTGCCTTGTTGTTGTTGTCGTCTTCTTCTCGTGGGTTCTCCTCGTCATCGGGGCGCCCGCCTATCCAGGCTCCCAGGCCCACGGCTCTCACGCCTGTGCTGTTGTCGTTCCTGTACCATCGTCTCCAGGGGAGGTTCCAGAGCCGTTGGACGTGGTGGGATCGGATCTTGAAGAGGCGGAACAGGCACAGGGCCACCACGATCAACAGGGCCGAGAGAACCACTGCGATGACGGCTATAGTGGCTGATCTGTTGTTTCCGGTGCTCGGTTGGATGACGCTCAGAGCCGAGGTCTGGGAAGAAGGGCTTGACGACGACGCAGATGTGGAAAGCGTCTCAGTGATGGGCTTTCCAGCAGATATTATTGTTGTAGTCACAACAACGTTCTTTATCGTGGCTGTAGTGAGTGTCGTAAGACTCGTGTGCGCAGCAGCATCCGCTGTCGTCGACGTCGATGAGGCCACGCTTGAGCCAGCGGCAGCAGCAGACGACAAGGTCAAGCCCGGCGTTAGAGGATGTGTCTCAAGGGACGACAGGTCGGACTGCTGGAACCGGATTTGCAGAGCAGGCCCCACGGTGAAGGTGTCGCCATTGCTGGTCGCTCCCCAGACGCCTCCTCGGTAGTCTGTCAGGTCGGTCGTGCAAGATTGGCCGCTATAAATCATGTGCGCATAAATATGAATACGGTCAGATTCACGACGCCATCAAAGGTCTTGGTTCTTCTTGTTCTTGTTCTCCTTCTTCTTCATCTTGGGCTTGTACAAAAGAGAGAGAAATATGGATTTTGTGGGCGCTTACCTCGGGACGCAGTACGCTGCCGTCTCGCCCGCCTGAACAGCTGGAAACCCCTCAGTCGTCCTGGTCGTCGTGATGCCACAGCCTGGGCCAACCTCGAACCCGCTCGGACAGATGGCGGGAGAATAGTACTGAAAGCCCCTGTACTCGAGATTTGTCGCCCAGTCTGGCGGATCGCACGAGGCAGGCCCTGACGTCGGGAAGGGAGGAAATTGAGACGGGTCTTTGCTGCTCGTCAGCAGCCAGGTTGTAACACATGGCGGTGTGAATATGGTCGTCAGCGCTGCGAGTGGTGCAGTGATAGAAGCAGACATCTCGGGCCACAACACCTGCGAACCGCCCGTCAGCTCTCATGAGAAACAGATGAGAACCGACAACAGGCTACAGGTGTGCATTGTCTGCATTCCACGATGGATGGATCTACGATCATTACATACAGAGTCTGAAGTAGATCACGGGCTGGGGGAGGGGCCCCAACGAGGGGGAGGCAAGGGAGATTTAACAACTGTCTAAGCAAAACACAAAGGCAGGTATGTACAGTATTAATTTTACAGACGTCACAGGGTGCCTCCCTCCAATCCTCCGTCCGAACTATCTTGAGTCGAGCAGGTGCCAAAAAGGCTTGTTGGGACGAGCGGGCATCCTGACAACGATCAAACATTGGACCTCGGTGTTGTGATGTTGTCTTTGGGCCTGAGTTCGAGGGAAAAGTCGGACAACTTTGCCAAAAACAACAACGACGACAACAACAAAGAGATGGGACGATTCATGTATTGGTCCAAGTGTAAGCGCCCCGAGCACCGGAAGGATGGCTCCCTGCAGACATGACACTGCTGGTTGGGACGCCCCAAACCAAGGTAAAACCTTGAGTTGGCAAGAATTAATTAAACTGCGACGCGCGATCCTCCCGAATGCAGGCTGGAAAGTAAAGAAAAGAAAACCGCGCACAACATCTCGGAAAGCAAGAAAATGGGCAAGAGAGTATAGGACGAGAAAGAAAAGGAGGAAAAGGATTGGCATATGGATTATCTGAATTTTCTTTTTCTCCAACTTGTTGCCCTCCTCGAAATTGACGCACCTCCACCAGTCTTGCGTTGCATGTGGGCATTCGCTCTCAATGTTTGGCAGTAGTAAGCTTGAGATATTTTACCCCCAGGCAAACGACTCAAAACCCAGCAATGCTGAAACGGGCCCGGGCATACGATATCACAATCGGGTCCGATGCAATGGTCTCTTCTTGATGATGCAAGATTTGAATTTTATTGGAAACTACTTGGGTAGATTGACGGACAATCTACCCTCCTTCTTGGCGAACCCTTACATGGGCACTTCCGAAACCTTGTGGAACGGGAATAACGATCGGACATTGTTACTGTCAAGCATACATGCGAGTGCTACTGCGACTTCGTCTGTGAGAGCCTCCCGAGGTTCGCAAGGGTCGGGTCTTGGCTGCAGTGATAAGCTTGTTGGATGTTCCGATCGTGGATGAGAATCAAGACTCCACGATGGAGCAGTGTTTAATTATGTAACGTAATTATCGAAACAAATTTCCTCATCAAACCCAATGGCCCATAATTCCTTAGGTGGTCGTGCTTATCGTGAGCTGGTCATTTTCTTCTTTCTTTTTCAGGAAAATGGTCGAGCCTCCTTGCTGTAGGCTACATCGATTCTGCCCAAAGCAAAAGGCTGGCTCTCTTCGTCAGCGAACGACAGTTCTTCCAATCCTTCGAATTAGCGTTGCTCTGGAAGCCATTGGTAAAGGGGTAAGGTTTCTGCTGGAAAAGTCTGGTGAAAGGAATATGCTAACGCCGCGGTTCTCAGGGAGACCGCCCCCAAAGGCCAGCCGGACTACTCTTTCATGAGGGCCCGTTGGTGTTGATACGAGAGTAGCCCGTCAGCAGACGCGGGAACTATTGAGTGTCTGCATCCCACGCGCCCAGTACGGTTCTCATCCCCACGTGTGCGCGGGCCGTGTGCTATCGTATCGCTCCAAGGCCGCGTCACTGACTGCCACTGGAGTCTCCGCCCCGAGGGAAGGTAGCGCTTATGAATCTTGAATTATACTTATGTTATAGTAGGCACAAGCGCGGTGTATGTACGCGCTCCCGGTCCGCGGGTTGCATGGCAGAAGCAGCATTGTCGTGAAACCCACTCTTCGGTTGATGAATGTCCGAGGAGCACTTCACGATGAACGGGCTCCCTCTGAGAGGGTACTATGTAAAATCCGGAGATTGCTACGTGACCAATCGGATCCGAGTGGTTGGAGATCAGGAGAAGCGGCTCGGAGGGCCATTCTGGGCGCTTCGGGGTTCACTGCCGAGAGGCTCCACAACTCAGCCTTGAATAACCATATTAGAAGCTTGAAGTTGGCGTGTCCGCGTCAGCCTGCACTTGTTCTAATGGTTAATACCACATAGTCACTCGCGTCTGTGCTCTGGGTCATGCCGCTTTGGGAAATATTCATGGGGTTCCTTGCTTGAAGAGAGAAGTCCTCCATGCATATACGATACTGCTTTTCTACCCAACTTGCTCTTATCGACCCAGGGCCCAACTCCTTCCAATCCTCAATGGGATTTCACAGCAGGTAGGGTTTTAATTTTAGCTTTTCTCTCCTTTTTTTTTTCTTTTTTTTTTTTTTCTATACGAGGAATGAACAATAGCAACTGTTTATTCATGACTCAAATTTGTTGCTCATTGTTTCATGGTGACAAAAGTGTAGGTAGGACACACAAAACATGTACTCGAGAAATGTAGTAGCCGCCACTGCGACTTGCATACTATGATGCAGGACATATATTGAGCCAGCTTTTTCTCTTTTCTTCTCCACAATTCTCAATATTTCAAGCCTGGATGGCATCTGCGCCCCACTGTTTCTAGCAAGATCTCTTGGTGCATCAGGATAGACTTTGGTTCTGCAAGAAAGTAATAGTGGCTCCACCTGGTCAGGAAACAGAAATGTCCCTGCATCTGGCAGAAGATCCCTTGCAGAAGGGCAAGGAACATGTTGGCGAGTATTGGTGTTATTGTACTTTTATTCTGGCGTCCTTCCTATGGAATGATGGTGCTGACAAGCTTGGAACTAGGTTTAGAAACATTGGCTTGGAACAACACGATACTCTTCGCTCATCTTGCGTTATCAGAGACTTACTTTGAACCCTCGCTTAAGTAAAGGTCACGATACATAATATATGCTGGTATTGGGCACTGTGGACCTTCTCCCTTGACAGAAGCTTGTATCAACCAATGCTCATCTCATACATTGCAATTTCCGCAGCTAACTTTCCTCTTAACCGCAGTTTACTCAAAAGCACACGTAAGACTGAACCCCACCCCCGTTGCACGTGTTAAATTAAGGTTATGTGTGTGTGTAAATTACAAGCTTTTATTGTATTGTTGGTCATCCATTCATAATAGGAGAATCTGAATCATCCTGGATCATAAACAGAAACATATGAGGCTTGTCTACGAGCCCCAATGCTAGATCCCATGATGTGCTCTCTGTTATCATTCCCCCCCCCCCTCCCCACCACACTCACCAGTCTGTAGTTAACAAGAGGAACAGCAAGTTCAACTATGTTGTAACCTCCTTTTCATTACATTAGCCCAGTCACCGTGCCCTTAACATTGCATGCCGAGGCAAGATCTTCCTCGGGCCAATATTAGAACGCACGCGGGTAGGTATGCAGGACGGCCGTCCCGCCTTTCCACTAGTGGACGCATCCTGCATATGTCGACAATATCGTATCTGCTCCTGGGGGCTGGTGTTGCACACGGTTAGCCATCCGGGCGCGTGCACGAGGTGTGATGGAGGCTCGGCCTTTGCGGCATCAAGGAGGAGGAGGACGTCGTCGTCGTCGTCATCCTCATCGTGGCGAATCCCAATGCAGAATCAATAGTCGCCTCGGCCATGGTCTTGTCCGATAGTCTGTCTGTTCGAAATGGATGTTGAGGATTCCTATGCATTGCAAAGCATGAGTGCTCGTGAGGATATAAAGGTAGCCATGTGGTGCCCTCTCAAAGCATGAAAAGGTTCTTAGTATCACCATCACATCACTTGACACTCTTTTCTCAAGCTTCTTCGGCTTCTACAGCATCCTTTCTTTTTTTTACACTCTCCTTCCCTCGGTCCACTCTCGTTGACACATTCATCTTCTTCACTCTTTAAAAGATGATGAAACACACTCTCTTGGCCTTGTCGCTCTTGACGGGCGCCTTGGCAACAGTCATTCCGCATCGTCCTGATCTACATCACGACCTGAAGCCCAGGGCTTCTTGTGAAAACACAGCGACATCTCGCGACTGCTGGGGTGACTACAGCATTGACACTGACTACTACACCACGACCCCAGACACTGGTGTCACCAGGGAGTACTGGCTGAATGTCGAAGAAGGCCCCTGTTCTCCTGATGGAGTTGAAGTGAGCGCCTGTATGTCCTTCAACGGCACGATTCCGGGTCCCACGCTCTCGGTAAGTTTTGTTTGAACAAGAGTCTCCTACAGAAGCACTCCAAGGTCCCCCCAGCTAATCAAATCCATATGATCAGGCCGACTGGGGTGACACACTCAAAATTCATGTGTACAACAACTTGACGACGAATGGCACCTCGATCCACTGGCACGGCCTCCGCCAACTCTACTCGTCTCAGATGGATGGTGTTCCCGGCGTGACCCAGTGCCCCATTGCCCCAGGCGAGGAGATGACCTATGAGTTCCGCGTCACGCAGTACGGAAGCAGTAAGTTTCCCTCCATCCTCCTTCGTGTTTCTATTTCATCTTGCTCGACTATGCGCAACTCCCTTCCTGAAAACATGTGCTAAGACTATTATCTTCTTTGATAGCCTGGTATCACAGCCACTTCAGCCTTCAGTACGGTGAAGGTCTCTTCGGACCCTTGATCCTCAACGGGCCCGCAACTGCTGATTACGATGAGGATTTGGGCCTTCTCTTCCTCCAGGACTGGAGCCACACTCCGGCCTTTGAGCTCTGGGACACTGCTAAGCAGGGAGGCCAGCCCCAACTGGAGAATGGTCTGATCAACGGCACAAACACCTACAACAACAGCGGCACCGTCACCGGCCAGAAATGGGAGACAACCTTTGAGGCCGGGAAGAAGTATCTCTTCCGTATCGTCAACGTTGCTCTGGAGGGCCACTTTGACTTTAGCATCGATGGACGTAAGTCATTACATATATTCCTTGGCCTTCAAGATCTCACGCCACCACACGCGAGGACAAGAATCGCCGAACTAACAAAACTCCCTAGACAATCTGACCGTCATCGGCAACGACTTGGTCCCCATCGTTCCATACACCACCGACAGCCTGCTCATCTCCATTGGCCAGCGATACGATGTCATTGTCGAGGCCAACGCCGAGGCAGGCGACTACTGGCTCCGCGCAGGCTGGCAGACTGCCTGCGCGACCAACGGCAACGCAGCCGGCATCACGGGCATCATTCGCTACGACAGCTCCAGCACCGCCGACCCGACCACGACAGGTAACACGGTCAGCACCTTCTGCGGCGATGAGCCCATCGAGAGCCTGGTCCCTTACCTCAAGAAGGACGTCGGCAACATCGTGAGCACCTCGGAGGAGGACCTCTACTTCTCCTTTGGAAGCTACTTCACCTGGACCCTCAACGGCTCGTCCTTCTACATCGACTATACCGACCCGACTCTGGACTACGTCTTCGACAACAGCACCAGCTTCCCGACCGACTACAATGCTGTGAACGTCGGCGCGTCTTCGCCTAACGCCTCGGAGTGGACTGTTCTCATCATCACCGACGAGGTACGTTCTTTTCTTTCTTATGGCTTTCATTGCTTTTCCTTCCCTTGATTACCTTATGGCCAGAAAGCTCATACTAATCTCTGAAAAATTAGACCGGCTTCGGCATCTACCACCCAATCCACCTCCACGGCCACGACTTCTGGATCGTCGGCTCCGAGGCTGCCACCTTCGACATTGACACCTTCAAGCCCAACACGACCAACCCGGCCCGCAGGGACACCACAGTCCTGCCCGCCAACGGCTACCTCGCGCTGGCCTTCCAGCTCGATAACCCAGGCGCCTGGGTCTCCCACTGCCACATCGCCTGGCACGCCTCCGAGGGCTTCTCCATCGAGTTCGTCGAGTCCGAGGACCAGATCTCGACGACGCTGGGGTCCTCGGCCAGTACCCTCGTCAAGGACACTTGCGCGAGCTACAACACTTACAACGCCACCGCTGTGTTCCACCAGGATGACTCTGGTATCTGATGTATGGGTTGCAGGGAGGTGGTGTTTTCCCCCTCCTGTTTCCTGTATGGGTGCTTCTGATGATGTGATGACCACCATTTACTTAGCTTATTTTTTTTATTGAGGGGCGGAAGTGTGCGTATCTTGCATAAACGATGCCATTGGAGATGGCTGTTGCTTATCTCTCGTTTCTTGTCTATGTTAGACCCTTTGTCTATTTTTCCTTCTGTTGGTACATACTGCATAGTTTCTAGCTCTTCAATTTCCTTCTTTGTAACATGCTCTTGACTTCTTGTCCAAAGGGTTTTCAGTTTACAAAGTCTCAGCCTACACTGTATTTTATATGACTGATACTGTAGATAAATGCTACTAAGACTTGTTCAAGCCCCATTCAAGATCTATTCAAGAATTTACTGATCAGCAGTATGCTGTACAATATGAGGTTTTTCCCCCTCTTCTTTCTAATTCCTTTATTTTTCTCTCTCTTTGTATTTGCTAGGTTGCTTGATGCAAGAGAGTGCTGTTGTGCATATTATATTTGCAAAAAGTCTTTAGGTTTCTGATGTCATCCTTGAACAATCGCTAACGGCCGTTGGTTGCTCAAGCTTGCGAACACTGTCTGAGAAGAAGCAGCTGCTAAAGATTAATGAGAAAGGTGAAGAAGATGAAGAAGGGACTCCTGGAGGTCAACCTTCTCAGAGCAAACCTCATCTGTCCTTGTCCCATTTGGAAGCTTTCTAAGAGCAACGCTAATCATTAATTATCATTCCCTCATCCTGATCAGTCAAGCACTTAAGTATCAAAGCACTGTTGTATTTTGCAGATGCTAGGCACTCACTGCAATGTGTCATCCTAAGACAACCTGCCGCCTTTGCGTACAAACATTGGAAAACCCCAAAGGTCTAATTACTTCAACCAAAGAATGGCGCCGCCAGAGATGATATGGTTCCAATCATGAACCAGTAACGTCACCTCCAAGTGGGAAACTACATATGTATCTAGCTTCGATCCCAAAATAGGCAAATCATGATTAAAATGAAATAGTCAAGTGGCGCACTTGTACCCGACACCAAGACTCGCCTGACTGGCTTTCATTACTTAAACAGACGCCTCAGAGTGTGACATGGGATATGGAAGAATTTCAACTGCAATCAAGAATCTAGATTGTCCATGTGCAGGTAGCCGCTCTGTCGTTGAAATGACTGTTTCACGCGAGCCGCCATTTGTCTGTGTTGGCTTGCGGGCTCGCTCTGGGCTTTACTTTTTCTCCCTGCTAATTACCTTTAGGAACGTGCCAATATGTGTCTCGATATTGTCTGGTGGAAGCTTCACAGCCGTACTACGTGCCTCCGGCTTGCTCCCATCCGTCTGTTCAACGGGTTTGGATGAGTGTCCAGTGTTTCGAGTGCGAGGTTTGTTAACGGATGATCGATGCGCATGAGAGACCAGCCTGCCTGCTGTGAAGGGCACAGCGGAGGGAAAGAAGAATGAAGGAGTAAAGGAGTAAGAAATAAAGAAATAGGCGCTATGCTGACACGACGGATTCTCTGAACTTCTTCACCATTGAGGCCGCCCCCTGGCAGAGTTCTTCAGTCATAGCAGGTTCACATGACCTGCCCTCGCGTGGCCCAGTGATATCTCCCTCGTGACCAGTAATGAGTGGCACAATTTGTGCCCGTGTGTCCAGAACTTGGTCAAGCTACAAGTCGAGCATAATACGATGGAATTTCTAATACTTGTAAAGTTTTGTGTCTCGTAGTGATACTCTCTAGTCACAACAACAGGTGACCTCCTCGCAAGGCCCAACGCTCTCGCCCCAAGGTGACACCTACCTGTTGTCATCCAGATGACACCGTCTTCTCTGTCAAGATCCTGTCCCTCAATAACGTTCGACCACCAACTTTGTGACCATGTTCCACGGTGTTCCGGAGACACACTTGTGCCGGTCTGGTTTTGCCTACCACACGACGCCAGATCTTGTTCCCCTTTTTTGTGTAATTACCTGCCCACGTGGATGCAAGGCTGGGGGCCTCGTCCCCAAGGCAGCAGCAGCGGTGGACAGTGTGATGTACACACCGTGCTTTTTGCGCGTCGTCTTGTCTCACAGTGAAACTACCTACGAGTCCTCCCCCGCCCACATCAAGGGTTTGTCGTTGTCTCCCCCTCCCCTGCATTGTGTCTTTGAAATAGAAACCTAGTGAATCCCTGACCTGGCGAAAAAGAAAAGCAAAAAGGAAAGAAAACTAGAAATAAATAAAAAACGAAAACTTCATTTCGTAGATCCCGCTCGGCACTTACCGTCCGTTACCCGTGGCCAGCAGCGGACAAGGGATGATGTTTCGCAGCGAGTGCCGTCTGGGCCGCCACAAAACTCGAGGCCGAGTGGGACACACCAGCCGGGGGTCGACGACACACACGTTTTGTCGTGCAAAAGAAAAGAAGGAGTCCACTTTCGTAAAGGAAAAAAAAAAAACGACAGCATGATCTTGAGACATCCCTCGGCTACGTATGCCCGACGCGTTGGTGTGCCCAAGACACGCCGAAGGGGCTCCCTTGTGGGGCATGTGACGACGTGCTTGCGATGTGGCATGAGGAGGAACGCAACAGACAACGTGATGAAGTGCGTAGGACATGTTAGGGACGTTGTGTGTGTGTGTGTGTGTGTGTGTGTGAGATGATGTAAAGTAGCCGAGGCCACTCTACCCACTTGCCAGATTCAACCCATCCACGGGGGTGGTGTGAGGTGCTGGGAAACACATCTCTTACCGAGACCGGTTCATGCATACCTGTTCGCAGACGAAATAATGACTGCCTTTGCCATTTCGTGAAACGCTTCCCCAGGTTTTCTCGATTGCACATGAGAGGTCAACGGTTAAAGACCTCCCCTTCCGTTCCTCGTTGGTCTGGACCCCCCCCAGGCCAGGATTCTGGAAGCTCGTGCAGCCCAGCGCTTCCGGAAGGGCCGTGACATCGAAATCTCCCTTTTGCGGAGCCGGACTGGTTCGGCTCCTGAAATTATAGAGAGCAAGCCCCCGGAATGGGGAGATTGGCTGTGGGTCTGCCTGTCAGCCGCGGGATGGGATGCATGGGGGAGTTGGGAGGGGCGTCCCCTCTTCTGCAAGGGTGATGAGTTTTTGAAACGTTCAGACTATGGTACTATGGTACTCTGGTAGATCTGCACGGCGGGCACATTTCTGGGAGGGCCGCGCGGTGTGTGTGTGTGTGCCTGTCTGTGTCTATGTCTGTGTGTGTCTGTGTGTGTACCGCTTCTTTACAACCTCCCTTTTTCGGGTTCTGTGCATTGGTGGGTTTGTTTCATGTTTCGACGAAACCGATTTGGCCGACCAAGCTCCTTCTTGGGGATTGTTTTATAGTACCATCTTGCCCGCAGATCGACCTGTCTCGCCGATATAGCCGACAATGATGGGAGTGAGAGGAGAGCGCGAACTCGCAATCTTGGTGTGATCTTGCGTAGTCGTTCTGATGCACAAACTAGGATAGATGCTAAACGTCGACGCGGATCACGATGCTGGAGCCGAGGGGGTTCTATCCCAAGTCGCCGTTGCCCCAAAACATGGGATAGAATTTTGGCATCTGCAGAATGTACATGGTGTTATGACGACTACTGTGTTGTACATAGTAGAGGGCTGGTGCTGCTAACAGCGGCAAGGGAGTTCAGGCCAAGACTCTTGATGATCTCGGACAGTCGGCATATTGAATCCGAAGCCAGCCAAGAGACCTAGACCTGACTTACCGACGATGAAATGTTGCGACGGCGGATGGTTGGGAGGCCAAGTGCATATAAGCCCGAAAGAGCAAGTACATACAGTCTTGCTGGGGACTAATGATTACCATTACTATTTAGTATAGAACAGTCTTGGTCTCGCTTCTCTCGTACCTCTTTATCTTACATCTGCTGAGACCCGGCCAAGTCGGTCGCTGCACAGGCGGAACCGGGTGGCGGCCGGCCCAACAGGTCTCTTGTCTCCGTTGGCGGCCACACAGTCAGTTTGACTGGGCTCGCGTCATACACATGCCGGGTCTGGATTTAGAACGGAAGACTGGCTCCTTTGCTTTATGCGCAGAAGGCTGATACACTATTGTTGAACAGCACGTGAACTTGGTGCGAGTGACCGAGCCGGGTAGCCTAAATCGATGGGCGGTTTCGTTTCAAGAGTGTGCATGCACGTGTGAGTGCCATCGCATTGGATGGTGTGCTTCAGAACTGCAGCAGCGTAGCAGCCCCGTGGGAGGTGCTGTCCTAGCAGCTGCCCGAGGTGTCTCCAGCCAGTGACAGCGCGAGCGAGTGCTCTCCGTCTCCTCCGTTGGCTGACAAGACGCGTAAGGGAGGTCAAACTGTGTACGCAATGCACCCCCTCCTGCCCGGAGTGTCTCAGCTCAGAAGGTTCCAGCAGGCAGTCAGCTGGGCTGAGGCAGTGTGAGGCGCTCGTGTTCTCATTTTTTGGCAGTTTCAATGTCCGACAACTTACTCATCGCGCTTGTGCACCGCTTGTCATCATCCAAATCAGCTCGGGATCTTGAGACCATGTTGCGTGTATATGTGTGCCTCTCATATTGTCCCATGAAGCAGTCGGATGAAACAAGGCGATTTTCTCCAAGAAACAGAGCTCGTCCTATCGTTAAGCTGACGACGCCTCCCTCTTCACCCCGACCTGAATTCTTACTAGATGAGGAAACCGTGTGGCCAGAAAAGCTTCCTCTATTGGTGTTCGCGCCATGGGATTCGAATTTACCATGCTTAGCGCTACTGCACCAAGGGAACCCTGTGGGACGACGACGGCGTATGAACTTTTAGCAGAATAGCTGTCCGTTGTCCATTAACCCGTTAGCCCATGCTGTGGCAGATTGATTGATGGCGTGAGAGATTGGTGGAATGCCACGATGCTTTTGCATGACACCCCGCAGTGGCAAGTCCAAGAAGGCCGTTCGCCAAAAAAAAATAAAAAAATGCATTGACGAGCGTTTCTCTTTCTCCCTGCATTGGGAGACTGATTCTACCG